CTTGCTTTTTTGCCCTGCCAAATGAAATTGGCCTGGTCCCTCTGCCAATCTTTAAAACATTTTGTCCCAATAATTATTGGAATTGTCTGAAAGAGAAAGAGGATTTTGGGAAGTATTGTCATTTTAATAACTGATATTCTGCCCCATAATGACAGCTTCAATTTACTCCAATTTTCTAAATTTCCTTTAATTTCCTTCCATTTTTAAATGTAATTGTCTTTAAATAAATTAGTGTTCTTATTTGTAATCCAGACCCCCCCAGATAGTTTACTTTATTTGTGGTCTTTAGACCCGTTATTCTTTCTAGGTCCTCTTGTTCCATCTCTTCCATATTTTTTGTTAATAATTTAGATTTATTTTTATTCAGTTTAAATCCCGAGACCTCGCCAAATTCATTCATTTTCACTAGTGCTTTTTGTATGCCTTCAATTGGGTTTTCAGAACAGTGGTACCTCTGGTTGCGAACGGGATGTCATTTTGCACTTGTGTGCATGCACGAGTGGTGAAACCCAGAAGTAGCCCTTTACGGTACTTCCGGGTCACTGTGGGATGTAACCTGAAAGAATGTAACATGAAGCGGACGTAACATGAGGTATGACTATAGTAATAATCACATCATCAGCAAATGCCTTCACCTTGTAATATCGGCTACCTAAATTGATGCCCCTTATTTCCTGGTCTTTCCTTATTGCTATTAATAAGCAATAACGTTGTGATAAATAAGAGTGGGGACAAGGGACAACTTTGTCTAGTCCCTCTTTCTATATTAAATTCTTCAGTGATTTCATTATAATTATTTTGGCTTTCTGGTTGTCATAAATTGCCTTAATTCCATTCATGATGTTGTTTCCTATTCTCAAGCTCTCAAAAGTTTTAATTAAGAAGTTCCACGATATGCTGTCGAAAGCCTTCTTCCAGTAGCATTGCTACCTTTTTGCTTGGTTTCATTTATGTATATTCCAGTAAGTCATTAATTATCCTTGTATTATTTCTTATTTGTCTCCCCGGTAAAAAGCCGGCTTGATCATTTCCTATTACCCTGTTTAAGAAATTTTTTAGCCTGTTAGCCAGGATACCTGTAAATATTTTATAATCCATGTTTAGTAGTGAAATTGGTATATAATTCTTAACAAGTTTTCTTAAATGCCTCCCACTTTTCTTTCTTGTTGGTATTGTCTGCCATTGTGCCTTCAGTATGTCACCCATGACATTAACAGCCAAAATTGTGTTGGAAAGAAGTATGCATTCCACATTAAGCTTTAGGCCACCCAAAATGATGCCTCCACATCACTGGCAGACTGACCTGTATGAGACAGAAGTGAATCCTTTCTATACCAATGCTGTCTTTCGTGCAATACAATGCCAAATCTGTGTGTCAGTGCCAAATAATGGTTAAAAATATGTAGAAAGGGGAAAGGACTCAGTAAAGCTGTTGACATGCACTCACTTTCTCAATATCTAGCAGCAGAGCGACTTTGCAAAATGCATGTTTCAAGGCACCGGCCAGCTGAATTCTTGTCGTCAAAAATTAATCAAGCTCTGGAGGAACTGGTTCCATCAGAAAAAGCCACCAAAGGGTAATTTCTGTACTTATATAATTGACGGAAGCCACCATTTTAGCTACAATTATAGCAATGTTTCCCCCTCTCAGCTAACCCTTCCAATCCAAAACAAACATAAAATCCATTATTCTTAAAACAATTCAAGCTTTCCTGCTTAAAACAAAAATGCTTTAGCACTAATTTAATAAATGTGTGTGTGCCCCTGCTTGGGGGAAAAATACTTTGAAAATTGCTATTTTGGACCTTTCCCACTTTCTGTGTCAACCATTGGGCAGGAAAACCAAAGTGCATATTTTCCACTGATGCTGGCAGGTTGCCAGATACTTTAAAGGCACCTGGGGAATGGAGGCAGGGCTCCACAGGCCTTGGAAGGCCCCAGGGAGTGCATCCGAGGGCTACCTGTGGTCCACTGGCTGCAGGTATCCTGCCTGTGTCATAGAATACCAGACCTGGAGGGAACTCGGTGGGCCATCTATTCTAGTCCAACTGCTGCTTGAAGCAGGAAAGCAAGAGCTGCAGCCTCCCCAGCAAATGACTCTTGGCATCTGAAAGACCTTTTAAACCCTCCAGCCCTGTTTGCCACATTAAGCTGGTCTGAGGGCAGGGAACTTTCCAGTTGCTTGGGGGACAAAGTGGTCGTCAGTGAATGGCTCACAGTCAGGATAGCTTGGCTGGGATTATCATCTCACTCCCGCCCCGTGGAGGGACGAGTTGGGAGGGCATGGTAAGGATTGGAATTTGTTTTGGGGAAAAGAACCCCTAGGGGGCAGGGAACCCAAAGATTGGGGGAAGGTTGAAGGAAAGGACCACAGCAAGGAGTGGTATGGTTCACATAAACTTGAGGCAACCCTGAGGTGGGAGGCTAGAGGGCAACCCATAAGCCAATTTCAAACACTACAAAAGCAACTTCATAATTATATGACAAATTAGCATAGTTTCATCATAACATGTTGATAATATGAATTTAGGTGGGCCAACAGTTTGATTCCGTGTGAGAGACAGTGGCGCCAACTTAAACAAAATATGGGTGGGGCAGGCCTGCCTACTTCCCCTGCCCCCGCCCCCTTGCTGCACTAAGTCTGGTGTCAGGCCAGTGTGCACCCAGGCAGCTGCATTGAGTGTAGGCAGTCGGTGTTGGTGTTTGCAGCACGGCCAGGGTGCTTGCTCTGCCTCCCTCTGTCCCTACGTCAGCTGCCTCCTCTCAGGCAGGCATCCGCCTTGCCCAGGCCTGTCATCACCCACTGGCCAGGCATGCTCATCTTTGCTCAGGCTGCCACCATGGTAGGTTGGGTGGGGGCTGTCCCCACTGCAGGAGGGTGCCACACAGAGAGAGGGAGCGAGCAATGGATGGAGGGATGGGAAGCCAGGTAGGAGACAGACACACACAAACCACACACTCACATCCACCCCCCGCCACTGCTGTGTCCCACTTTGCTCCTCCTGGAGGAAAGCCAGAAACAGAGAGTGATGCCTGGCTGGGGGTAGACAGCAAACCAAGGGAGGGAGATGGGAAGGCAGGTGGGTGGGCAGTGGTGGGGAGGAAATATTGAGGGGGTTGTGTCTCCTCTCCCCACCTTCTGTCACCTAAATAAAATAAATGTTTCTTCCACAGGTCATTGGAAAGATCCACAATCTCTAGTAATGAGATGATCTGCAAGGGAAGAAAACAATTAATGGAAATTCTTGAACCGGATATTGAACATTTTGTAGATGTGCTATACTATTTCTATGTCATCACTCTGAAAGAATACAGAGACATTTGCGAAATGTTGAAAATTTTAAAAAGTGAAAAATTGCTGAGTCTAATCCAGGAAAGGGTGGAGCAAGCTTGTTGCAGGTTCCTGGAATGTGTAGAAATGGCACATCCAGATACCGTTCTGATTCTGCTCTCTGCAATGCATGGTGAGTTTGACTTCGAGTTCTTAAACTTCAAGGGCAGTTCAACTAACTTCCTCCTTGCAACAGTCATCAGGCAAATAATTGTCTTCCTTTTACAGATTTGGATCAAACTCCACTCAAGGCAGCTGGCCCAATAGAGCCAGAGGTGGTATGGGACTCCGAAAGGGGCAACGAAGCATACAGGTGAGTGATCTCTCCATCAGACATTTAAACACCTTTTCCATTCAGGGAACGGTTTTTACATTTAATTGTTCCACAGAGCACATCTGGTTTCTGTGGGTCTCACAGTCATCAGATATGGTGGTGCTCCCTAAGACAGAGTACATCTACAGTATGTTCTGCACGTTGCAATGAACAGTTGGCCATGGTGGGCAAATTCTCTCTGAAGGAAGCTTACCCACCAATCCTGATCTCTTCACTGAGGAACTCCTGGGTCCCTCAAATACAGCTGGAAAATCATTTTTTCTTAAAAATATTTGATTGATATGATTTAAGTTATACCCCATATTTCTTCCAAGGAGTTCAAGGTGGCATGCATGGTTTCCCTCCCAATCACTTTAAGGCAGTGTGCTTTTTGGTCTGGTGTTTAGAGCTAAATGGGTACATGGGTTACAGAACTCTTGCCGTGGTTACCGAGTATGAGAAATTTCCCTGATGATCTCATATCATCAACACAAGGGTAAACAGAAGATGAGTAGTTACTTTCACCAACTTGCTTTGCTCTGCATGAAGGCACCATTTTAAAAACACCTTCTCTGTATAAGAAAAACCACCTTTTTTACTTTTTGGGTGGCCTCATAGCAGTTGCGCTTCAGTTGAGTGATGCTTGACCAGGAGATGTCGTTCTGTCAATATTTTACCTCCATAACTCAGTGTGCAAAGCATCTCCTGCAAAAATATCAATTAGACCAGCAGTGGAAGTTCTCCCAATTCATGTTTGACGTGCAGCGTAAATTAATAATGCAGAATCTTCTTCAGTAAAAGAATAAAAGTTTTACTGATTTAAAATAAATATCCTGCCATTCACTCCCTTTAAGGAGTCTCAAAGCGGCTAACATTCTCCTTTCCCTTCCTTCCCCACAACAAACACTCTGTGAGGTGAGTGAGACTGAGAGATTTCAAAGTGTGACAGCCCAAGGTCAGCCAGAGAAGCGGGGACGCGAACCCGGTTCACCAGATTACGAGTCCATCGCTCTTACCACAACACCACACTGGCTCTCACAGCATAGTGAACAGAAGATTAAGTTAGCTTTAGAGCATACACAGAGTTAGAGTCACACAGAGTCTTCAGTGTGCACATGCTTCACAAAGCTCAGACAGTCACTGCAGACAGAGTCACCAGAGACACTGGGTCTGCCTGCAAACAGATACAATATTTATACAGAGAATGACTCATCCTCAGGATTCAGTGATTCAGCATGCTAAATGATTCTGCAGCTTTTCAGCATTTCACAACATTTCTAGACTCCTTTACTGCTTCTGCTCTCAAATACAATGTTCAACCTGATTCCACTTTCATCTTTCCCTTTGTGCCATTCAGAGTGCGTTCCACTGAGGCTGGCTCCTTCCATTGCGGTAATACGGATCTCATATGTGAAGTGAAAGAAGCTGTGACTGTAACATACCACTTTGATTCATGGCCTAAGCACCTGGAAGAACAGACCACTGAGGAGTTGCATGTCGCTGGCCCTCTGCTCAGCATTAAAGTAGATGTAGTAGAAGCTGTGGCAGCCATTCATGTCCCTCACTTCTTGTGTCTTGAAGGTATGGCAGGGGGAAAGTTCCCAGCATTATAACCATAATAGGAGGAATCCTAAACAGGAATAACTTCCATTGACGTTTCCAGAATGCTATGGGGCCTGCGGTGTGGAGTCTAGAAATCAGTAGCGCTGGCTTTCCAGTCTTTTGTAATTTTTCAAAATGTTCCAACTGTGCTGTTTTATTATTTTCTTTGATTTGCATTCTGTTGTAAGCTGCCATGTCAGCATATTGTCCTGTGGAACAACATTATAAACCTCTTAAAAGACAATAGGAAAATAAATGTTTGCGTGAAATTATAAGGTAAAGGACCCTTGACAATTAAGTCCAGTCGCAGACAACTCTGAGGTTGCAGCGCTCATCTCACTTTACTGGCTGAGGGAGCCGGCATTTGTCCACAGACAGTTTTTCTGGGTCATGTGGCCAGCATGACTAAGCCGCTTCTGGCGAACCAGAGCAGCGCACGGAAACGCTGTTTACCTTCCTGCCGGAGCAGTACCTATTTATCTACTTGCACTTGACGTGTTTCGAACTGCTAGGTTGGCAGGAGCTGAAATGGGGGGGGGGCTAAGTTTCACTTTCCCACTGCTAATATGCTTGTCTTTTCAGGTGACGATAGTTCCCATGTCTACATTGCACATTTTGTTGAAGGGGAGATGAGGCTGGAGAAGCCAGACAGAGTGGAGCCTCACCATGCTGTGTTGGAAAACCCCAAGTTCTCTTCCCTTGGAGTCATTTTCAAAAAGTGGTTTAAGCAAAAGATCAACACTGTCGTACTGCTCTATCATAGGCTTCAGCTGGAAACACCAACGTTTCACCTGTACCTCCTGCCAAATGACCCTTCTATAGTAAAGGTAACTGGGAATCTCCAACTTTGATTGGTATTGCAGATTACCTGGATCTTTTGCTTGATCACTCTAACCATAAGAGGATACCTATGCAAAATTATACATTAGGGTGCATGAACTGTACTTATCTTTGTTGGACTTGATCTGTTTTACCGAACTTCTAGCCAACATCAACATGCTGCTAGAGAGAAGATTCACAGTTGCCCTCCACTGGGTGACTTAGCTTCTCACCAACACTGTTGTTTCAAAGTGAAGTTTGCAATATTGAAATACACCCTTTTCCTTTGTTAGCCAGCCTGCTTGCTAGAGGCCAAATGTCCTGCCTGGTTCTCTAAACAAACGTTGTTGTCACTGACTTGTGAAAACAAAATTCTAAGCACATTTTCTTGGAAGCCTTCATGGAAATAAGTAAGGCTTCCTTCAGATTTATTGATGAACAAATTCAGCTTTGTTCATTAAGGAATCAGCTTGATAATTATGAGCTGTCTATAAGAACTCTTGAGGAAAAACATTCTTCCTGATTTGCAGTGTTGGCACATGGGAGATAAAGCACATTATCATATTCTCAATCTGAACTTTTCTTAAAATTGCCTTCTTATGCTTCATTCAAATATTGAGGTTTTATGGCTTCTGTGGTTTCCTGCATGGTCTCATCAAGAGAAGATGCAGGTGGACGCAGGATTGCTGGTACCTCTCTGCCAACTAGCCCAGGCTTAGTTCAGGCTGCCCAGTTCAAGAGCTCTGGCTTGAGTTCCCCATGTGTAGTTTCTGGTGCCATAGTGGTTTAATCTTCTTCATACTGCAGATGTGGAATCTGAGTATCTGCCGGTGCTCTTGGACTACAGCATCCATCATCCCTGACCCCAGCTGATTGGGGTTGATTTGAGTCCAACAACATCTGGAGGCCATCAGGTTCCACATTCCTGCCTTAGCTGGTGTTACGGTGTCAAGAAGGTCGTAGGGATCCAGTCTTCAAGAAGTTTGGTTCCCTCTTTGCATATCTAAAAAGTGAATTTATTTGCCATTCCCAGGCGGTCGAAAAGCGTGAAGTAAATTCAAAGAGAATAGAGAAACCCCCTGTGACCCTGAAACCGCTGATGATTGGTTCTCAGGTATCTTTGAAGGCTTCAGAGGATGTCACAGTTTATCCTAAGGTGAGACAAATATGATGAAAGGTTCTACTGGGGGAGAGTCAAACTGTGAAGTCTGAGAATGGGAGAAATTCAACCAGAATCCCTCTTCACCCTTTGATTTGACTCCCTCGGAATGGCGGGTTGGGCTAAGCCAGATTCACACTTACAGAGGTTTCATTCTTTCCCACAGGAACTGGAGTTTCAATACCTGGATGCGGAGAAACTGCAGCAGTACGTAGAACTGTCTGCTGAGCAAATGCAAGACAAGTTCAACTTCTACCTGATGAAGAAGGGCACCACTGAAATTGTTTGGGAGGCGCATTTAAAAAAAAGTGAGTTTTGATCAAGGGATCATAGCAGGATCAAGGAGGCAGGATAGAAAAGGACCACTGGTGGCATTCCCTCTTTGACTGCCTCTTATTCTTTTTCAGAAGAGTTAATTTCAGGGGAGCTGGATTCTCCTATTCCACACCCAGCACAAGGTCAGCAGGTTGTAATTTCCCTTGTATTTGTATCCCACTTTCCTCCCAATAGGAACAGAGAGGGCTGAGGATACAGTAGCAGATGAACTGCAGGAAGATAAAAAGTAATGTTTGTGACTTTATTCAACAACAACCCTCCTGGATAAGGTGGTCTGGGCTTATCATTTGGTTTGGTGCCAGATGAAAAACTTTCAACTCAGCTAGGTTTTTTTTACAGACGTTTCCCACCCAGATTCAACTAATTCAGCATGGCAGCACAAGGTACCACCAGGGCAATGGGACTTTGTCCTCTCCTCGCCCTCCTCACCTCAATCTTCCCTGGAGGGTCATAAAACTCTGCAGAACAGAGTTCAGAGGGAGGAGTCGTGAAATTGTCCCATCTGACAAGCAGAACTGCCTTTGCTGGCGTTGAATTCCTCCCTTGAAGTTTTACAGTGTGAGCTTCTCCATTTTAAACTGAGTATCAGTTCTTAACATATCCAAGAGAAACTTGCATGTGATTTGGAAGTCTTGGGCTCATCTCCCACCATGCTCATTTTATTCATTGTCCCTGCTTGCTTTGTATGTATTCCCTCCCTCTTCACCTTCCCAGGTGCTTGTGGCTGCACACCAAGCAATGCATCATTCAGCAGAACTAACCCTGGACATGGTGCGGAAGGCAGGTAAGGCTTAACCCTTTCTCCCCCACTCCATTTCACCAAAAAAGACCCATCTTGCCATTAGGCACAGTGAAGCAGCTGCCTCAGGTGGGCAACGGGTATTGGAGGATGGGAAGCAATGGGGAGGCTCTGAAAGTTGTTACTCAGAATTCAGATAAATTCTCGGGGAAATTGCATGTATGATGAACACTTCTGAAGACAGATCTGTGTGTTCCTGTAAAGAGAGAGAGAGAGAGAGATTCCACCAAATGTGGGGAAATGCACCAATTTCTTTATGGCTGGAGGTTTTATCTACCGCTGCAGATTCACCTAACCCCTAAACCTGTACTCTGCTCTTTACCAATGCCTTGAACTGTATCCCACTAGCTATGGTAATTTTGATGTGGTACAAAGCCAGCCAGACACTGTTTTAATGAAATAAATGTAACATTATATTCTTGATTTATTCTAATCTATAAAGGTATGATGGGATGAATACTCTGCTTCAGTTTGTTACTGTTTTTAAAGGCATACTTACATTTGCTTTAATAAATGTAGCTTACAATCCTTTATCTCAGTATTTAAAGCAGGAGTCGCCAACCTTTTTAGACGGGTGGTCCATTTTGAATCTTGAGAGCGTGTCTGTTTTTTCCTGCCTCTGGGGGGTGACAATGCAGAGGGATGGAGAAGACCATCACAGACAGCCTGGTGTCCACCCTGGAGAACTTGCGAGAGAACGAACTCAAGAAGTTCAAGCTCAAGCTTCATGAGTTTCCTGTTAAGAAGGGCTATGACAACATCCCCCGAGGGACACTGGAGAAGGCAGATGTGGTGGACCTGAGCCTGCTTCTGCTGAATTTCTATACAGGCGATTATGCCGCGCAGGTGACAGCTGAGGTGCTCAGAACCATCAACTGCAGGGATGAGGCAGAGAGGCTCCTCGGGCATTGCAGGAAGTGGTAAGAAAAGAGGAATGCTGGCAGCCCATCCCCAACATGGACAGCAATTTAGATCATCCCTACTTGGGGGCTAAGGAGCCGGAAGGAGGAAAGTGATACATGATACATGAGCCAAACTATGGGAGATGGATGGAGGATTAAATCTGTAGATTTCGATCTAAACCTCCTCTTTTAAGTGTGTGGGAGAAATGCAAATGAAATCTAGCTGTGAAGCCTTTTTCGCAAGCACCTATGAGTTTTGCAGTTTACTAAAGCTTAGGAATTAAGCAAACCCACCATTCTATCCCTTTCAATTGCAGTCTGCTTACCTTCCTCCTCTTCACCTCCATTGCAGAGAATGAACCACACATTTTAGTAAGATAATTGGAAAAGGCTTTCCTTACATTTCCATGCAAGCAGAATATACAGAAAAAGTAGTATAGTATGCAGAAAAATACTTCTAAGTTACAATAAAATTGCAGTAGTCTTAGCAAACATGGCTGAAAGTAGGAGCCTCAACCACACAGGTCTGCTCAGCTTGAAGGCATGATGGAAAGAAAGAGTCTTGTCACAGGCAGAAGGAAATATAAATAATTGTCTACTTTTTTACAGAGTTCCTGCCCAGAGGAGCCAAAGAAAATGACCACACACAGAGAGTCCTCTCTAGGAAGTTCAAGAACTCTGTGTATACTAGCCCTGTACTGTCTAGCAGAACATGTGTTCTTATGGCTGCAACCCCCACACAAATTAGTGCTCTTCAGCTGTCAATTTTTAAAAAATTGAATGTGTATACCACTTAGTTGTAAAAAAATCCCTTCACAGTTTCTTAAGAATACCAAATAAACATTAAAATTTCTGATAAAAGTTGGAAATTTAAAATGATTTTAAAAAATCAAAATATGAATAATATCAGTAGTTAAAAATATAACTTTATAAAAGTAAAGTGCATATTAAAACACTTGTCAGCTTTAGCTCTCTGAGCAGGCCTGTCTCAACAAAGAAGTTGTTTCATGTTCTGAGGATATTTTTCCAGAGGCCAGAGGGATCCTGGTAGTTGGTGCTTCAGTGACTGGCAACATGGACAGCTGGGTCTGAGCTGGGCACACAGACTGCTGGGTCAATTGCTTTCCTGGCTTCCTCACATTCAGAGTGTGCTCCACAAAGGCTCACTGCTTCCTTTGCAGTGATACTGATCTCCTATGTGAGATGGGAGGATCAGTGACCATAACATACCACTTTGATTCATGGTCTAAGCACCTACACAAATGGAAGACAATTCCTTGTTGTTGGTCCAAGCAGTTCCATACACTATCCTCACTTCCTGTGTCTCTCATCGCCCAGTGGTTTTCAACCCTTTTGAGTCCACAGCTTCCTTGACCAACCACACATTCTTCCTTGACCAACCACACTTACACTGGGGATCTGCTACAAGGCACATGTACTGGGGAATCTCTCCATTCCGTCCCACCCCTATTTTTGGCACACATGTAAGTGGGAGTGCATGTGTTGACGGGAAGCCAAGAAACGCCACTGCTCTGCAGGGCTGAGCTGATGGACTCCACATGGCAGCCCAGCTTCCCTTTGGTTGGGCATGGAAAGGGCAAAACAAGATTACAATCAGAAGCAGATTTTTTTTTGTTACCGTAGAGAAGGAAAAGCAAGAAACACACAGCACTGGACACACATGCAGACATGATCCTTTCCTGCAACATTCTCCCTGTCCCCATAAAGCTGGCTGACTGTTAAGGAGGAGGGGGTGCCTGGGGGGAGAGGTAGAGATGAAGGGGAGGGGGAATGTTGAAGGTAGAAGGAGTAAGAAAAACAAAAGACACAGCTCACTTTCAGGGTTATTTTTAAATCCCTCTTTATGGGGTGGGTGTGCGTGCACACACACACATACACACCCATCGAGCTACTTTGTTGGTTTCTTGCATTTCTCAAGCCCTCTGTGTAAAACTAAGGAACTGTTAGTTACTGAAGCTGGGGAGGGTTTTTTGTTTGGAGGAGGGAGATTTTCAGAATATAAACAGTCATGCAAAAGTGTTTGCCACTTTTTTGGTCACTGTTTTATTTCGGGAAGATAATGGGTTGAAAGTTAAAGTTGCCAGCTCCCCTGAATGTTCCTCAGAATGAGAGAGAGAAGGAGAGAGAGAGAGAGAGAGAGAGAGAGAGAGAGAGAGAGAGAGAGAGAGCGCAGGAAGATCAGGGTTGCAAGTTAATGAAAGGACGGCTCCCCTGAATGTTCCTCAAGTCACCCCAGGGTGACATGACACACCATCTGAAAATACCCACAACAGCAGGAATTCTAAGTTGAATTGAATATAATGTGGTGGAACACAGAAAGAGAAATAGGGGTGCTTGGTTTCTAAACCCAGGCTTGTATTTCCCCCTTTGTAGCATGTCTGTCCCTCTGAAATCACCCTGACTGATTATAGCATGGTGATTCCTCAGCATCAGTAGTTCTTGAGTACAAACCTCCAGTGTTTCTGCAAACATCTTCCCAGGGCACAAGGACTCTATATTTCTATGATTCACACCTGCTGCTTTCTCATACCTGGCCCTGCCCTACATTGTAGGGAGATGTGAAGCTGCATTTTTGAACTTTAGTTTTATGCCAACCAACCCAGTTAATAACGTTTGCTGGTAGCATGAAGAATTCAGGCAGGTTATTATAAACAAAGGCTGGGCCACAGCAAGAGTAAACATTGAAGCATTGCATGTTATGGAGGCATAATCTGCACTGTAGCAAAGTGATCTCTTCTTTGTAGGCAGCAAGGATGAGAAACATCGGGCATGGATGAATCCGTATATAAGCATTGGGCTTGTGGGCTCCTGCAGAGATCCATCTGGTCTCTGATGCAGCTTAGCATTTGCATGAAACTGCTGGAACAGGTTTTTTTGGAAATTTCTGATATGGTTTCATGGAGCCAAATCCTGGGGTGGGGAGCTCCCTCAGTGGAGGTCATAGGAGCCAAGTCCTAGTGGCCAAGGACCCTTTGCCCCCCCCCATAAAATAGTTGAGGACCCCCCCCCCAAAGTTGACAGACAATGTCGTTCAAATGGTGTGTGTATACCACATACTGTGATCGATTATGTGGGGTGGGGTTTATCTGCCCCCCCATATTTTTTTCAAGTTGGCACCCCTGCTGGTGGTCTTCAGGAAAACTCTTGACAGCCACCTGTTGAAAATGCTGTAGGGCTGGATTTTCTGCATCAGGCCAGATGGCCTAGAAAATTCCCTCCAGCTCTATAGGATGCTGATGATACTCCTCTCTCCCCTCCTCACATTATTTCAGGGAGGGTGTGGAGGTCCTATATTCTTGTCTGAGACTTTTCTGCAGACAAGTTGTAGGTGAAGAATCTGGATATTAATTACTGGGATAAGTGGGCCGGTTACCTGCTGCAACCCTTGTGTAAGCAAAATCTGCAGTGTTAGGCTGGTGAATCTCATTAGAATCATAGAATCTTAGAGTTGGAAGAGACATCAAGGGTAATCTAGTCCAACCTCCTGCAATGCAGGAATCTCAGCTGAAGCATCTCCTGACTAAAGATATTAGTTTAGTCACAGGAAACGGAGGTGATGCTCCAGAAACCTGCTAAAGGGCAAGAAACTGCAGGAAGGAAGCAGCATCAGGGAACAACTCATGGTTTCATTTCTCTCTCCATGATGCACAGAGCATGGGAAACAAACAAGATGAACCGGAGCTTTTTATCCAGGATGGCAAATACGACTTGATAGGCATTACTGAATTCTGGTGGGCTGAGACTCATGACTGGACTGTAGGAACTGAGGCGTATAAGCTGTTCAAAAGGAATAGACCAATCAGGAAGGGAGGCGAAGTAGCATTATATAAAAAGGATGTGTACACTTCAGAAAAAATCCATGACCTGGAGCATGAAAAGCAGATTGAGAGTTTATGGGTAAAAATTGTAGGAGAGAGAGACAACAGTGATCTTACTGTGGATGTCTGCTATAGACCGCCAAGCCAGACTTGAAGACTTGGATGATGCCTTATTAGAGCAGATTACCAAACATTCCAAAAGGAGAGAAATAGTTATCATGGGGGACTTCAGCTTCCCCGATATCCATGCAGACTCAAACTCTGCCAAGAGTGTAAGGTCTGACAAATTCCTCCATTGCATCACTGACAAATTCATTTCCCAGAAGGTGGAAGAACCAACAAGGGGATCATCTGTCTTGGACCAGGTCCTTACCAATAGGGAGGAACTGACTGATGAAGTCAAAGTGCTCAGAAACTTGAGGGGAAGTGATCATGTTCTCCTAGGTTTCAGGATACAGAGTCAGACATGCACTCCGGACCAATTTTGAAAAGCTGAAGGATCTAATGGGTTTCATCCCGTGGTCAGAAATATTCAATGAGAAGGAAGTCCAAGAAGGATGGGAGTTTCTAAAGGGAGAAATATTTAAGGCCCAAATGCAGACAATACCAACAAGAAAGAAAAGTGGGAGGCATCTAAGGAAATCGGTATGGCTGCATAAGGGGCTTACAGGTGAGCTGAGAGTTAAGAAGGGCATGTATAAGAAAGGCGAAATCTCAAAGAAAGAATATACATGAGTAGCCAACAGTTGCAGGGGGAAAGTCAGGCTGCCTAAAGCTCAGAATGAGCTTAGGCTTGCAAGATGTTAAAAATAATTTAAAAAAAGGTTTATTTGGCTATGTCCGAAGTAGAGATGGGAAGGCCTGGGGAAAAAACAGGAAAAATGGGGGGAAACTAAGTTGTTTTCCGTTTTTTCCAAATGGCTTTGGGGGGGGGGGACAGAAAAAGACTGTGTGTTTTTTCAATTTTTCCAGGTTTTTTCCAGGCCTTCCCATTTCTAGTCTGAAGTAAGAGGAAGAACAAGCAAGTGGTAGATCTTCTGCACGGGGAACATGGAAAAATACTATTGGATGACAGAGAAAAGGCAAAACTACTCAACACCTACTTTGCCTATGTCTTCATCCAGAAGTAAAGGTATGTCCAACCTGGTGATAACAGGTTTTTTAAGAAGCAGTCTCACCCTTCGGAGTGCTTTTGGACCTAACAGAGCTCCTAGGTAGCCAGGGCTGCTCTTGCCTCATTTAAGCTGCTGCAATAGCTCTGATTCTGAAGGAAGCTGATCTTGTCATGGTTATACATTAGAAGTGAGGAGAAGCAGTGGCAGCAGTCAGAGCTCCCTTGAACCCCCAGCATAGGAGCCAACTCCTAGGGGCTATGAGGTCTTCGGCTGCCCAATAAAATATTTTAGGGAGCTTTCCCCACCCCACCACCCGCCCTAGTTGATGGGCATGAACCTTCTGTTTGTTTCTTTCACACAGAGAAGCTTCCAGAACCCTCTTGAATTAAGTAGAATAGGGAAGATCTCTACACATCGTATCAATACTTTCTGCATTAAGAAATGCAAACTGACAGCACGTGCATAGCGTCATGTGATTGATTATGCAGGGCTGGGCTTGACTGCCCCCCTAATGTGTTTTTCAAATTGGCACCCCTGGACCGCCACCACCCCCGATTTAATATTTGACTGTCACGCAGTAAGTAAATGAAAGTTTCTGTGGCAGGATTATGCCTCATGCAATTAAAAAATAAAAGCGCTCACTGTCTGACTTTGTTCTACTGTATTCCATTGCGCTCGATTGCCATGCTGTGTGCGTGTCTGGAAAATGGGCATGATTACAGCGGGGGTGTTATTCTGTATTTCTTGGAGGGCAGTGCTATGACCTTCTCAAAACAAGAGCAGATTCTCTTCACCCCTGCAAATCTTGCGAGGGCTGCCTTCGGAGATCTTCCGCCGAGAAGCTCTCAGTTCTTCCAACGCAGGGCGGGGCTGGGGAGCCCGAAAGGTGAGCTGCTGGAAAGACGCCCCTGTCGCCCTCCCCGCCCTCGAGTCTCCTGTTCCTGCCGGAGGGAAGAATCTCCAAGAGTTTCCTTGCCAAAGGGAGCAGAAAGCGACGCGCAGGGCAAGAGACGGGGCTCTCGGAGCGGGCTTCCTGCTGTCCACCGGCCACGCCTTTCTCCTCCAGGGCATCAGCCACGGCGAGTTCGCACGGGGATCGGGCCCACCTGCCTCTCTGCCTTGACAGAGTCTCCAGACCTTTGAGGTTTTTCTCTGGCCGATGTTTTTGCTGCGCTGGGGCTGGTGAGGAAGGAGCGCAATGGCGAAGAAGTTAGCCTTTTCCAGAAATCCGTCGAGTCGCTTCATTCTCTTAAATACTGAGATCGAGGAGAGTCAATCCGCCGCTCTCCTTCTTGTGGGCACCTTGCTGAACTTCCGGGATGGGGACAGGGAGAAATTCAAGGGCGAACTGCTCAGTTTCCCATTCAAGGAGGGCGTCAGAAGAATCCCCAAAAGGTTGCTGAAGGAAGCCGATGCTTGGCAGCTCAGTGACCTGCTGATGGGCTACTATGGTGAGGCTTATGCTGTGGAGGTGACGGCCCTGGTGCTGCAGGCGATGGACTACAATCCTCCGGCGGACCATCCCCTCGCTGTCAGCTGCCTAAGTAAGGGACTGGGAGCGGGGCGGGGGTTCGATCCGACTGATGGTGCTGGCACCTCGCGGGTTCTGTCAACCTCCCATGGTTGCCTTCGTCCTTGGGTGGGGAAACCTTTCGAGCAGAAGAGTCGCATATCCTCCTGGGCAACATTCCAAAGAATCATAGGATCTAAAAGTTGGAAGGGACCCCAAGGGACATCTAGTCCAACCCCCTGCAATTTAGGGATTTCAGCTAAAGCATCCATGATAGTTAGAGTCGAAGGGGCAGGGCCAGGGTGAAATGAGCAGAATGATGGATGTAAATCTTCCCTGTGTTCAAAGTGAGGTGGCGTCTTCCCACACCCCTCTGCCCTCCATCTAAACCAGGGCTGGCCCAGGACATGTTAGCACCTGAGGTAAAACACTATACGGCATCCGCTCCCCACCGGGGAAGAAGGAACATCAGAAACAGGGTGGGAAATAAATGTAGAAGCCTCCAAAGTGTTAAGAAGAGGCATGTAAATTAAGAGAGTCTTCAAACCCTCCTGGATCAGCTTCTCTCTTCTGGGCCAGGCTGAGCTCCTTCAATCACCTGAGAGGCTAGAAGGATGGGAAGCTGCCTTCGGGCACATTGGTCCACTGGGTCCATGTAGTTCGTTCCAGGGATTTAGGCAGGATCTTTCCAAGCCCTATCTGGAGATATCCAGGGATTAAACCTGGGATCCTTTGCATGCATGTGATCTACTACGAATCCACAGCCCTTCCCTACTTAGTCCAGTCTGAAAGTGCTACCTATTCAATGTGCTCCAACAGGAAGACAAGGGTGATGTAGGAATGCTGGATTTTTCTGTTCAATACTTCTACTAACATCAATAATCACCACAGTGCAGCTTACACAATTATGCCTGCTGGCCACACTGAATACATTGAAGGAGTCAGATCTGAAGAAGTTCATGGTCAAACTCAGCAAGTTCCCCGTCAAGGAAGGCTATGTCAGTATCCCCAGGAAACTGCTGCAGAAAGCAAATGTTTGGGAGGTCACAGAACTGCTTCTTGCATACTGTGATGAGGATTATGCTGTGGAAGTGGCTTCAGAGGTGCTGAAAGCCTTTGACCGTGAGCCCCTGCCAGAATGTCCCCCAAGTTTCACCAGGGAAGGTAAGGAACTTGGAAGGGAGAACGTTGGGTGAGTCTGATGGGACTGGGTGGAGAGGAGGCTTCTTGAGCAGGGCTGTGTGTGTGTGTGTGTGTGTGTGTGAAACCTATGTGCCAATCTGTGTATGTATTTTTGACATTATGGGAATGTTAAGGAAGGTAGGAGATGATATATTGTTTTGATATTATCCCTCCTCACTCACGCTAGTGATAAACAGCAGAGCACATTCCCTTTGCAACTTATTGGAAGCAAGTTGATGATTTGTTAGAACCTCTGCTGATAAACCTCCAAGGAAGGAGAGACCATCACCGCCCAAGGGAGTCATCTGAAGAAGTGTGCATGCACAAGAAAGCTCATACCAATAAGTAACTTAGTTGGTCTCTAGGGTGCTACAGGAAGGAATTTTTTCATTTTGTTTTGACCAAGGGAGTCACTTGCACTGCTGAACAGCTCTTACTGTCAGAAAGTTCTTCCTGATATTTAGTCATAATCTCCTTTCTTGTAACTTATCAGTTTCCTCTTTTCCAGGCTAAACACAGCCAGCTACTTCAAGCGCTCCTCATAAGGCTTGATTTCCGGACCCTTGATCATCTTGGTTGCCCCCCTCTGTACACGTTCCAGCTTGTCAACATCCTTCTTATATTGTGGTGCTCAGAACTGGACACAGTATTCTAGATGTGGTTTGACCAAGGCAAAATAAAGTCATTACTATTATTAGATTAGACAATAGACTTCTGTTGATTCAGCCTAGAATAGCATTAGCCATTTTTTGCTGCTGTATCACACTGCTGACTCTTTCTGCCTAAGTGCAGAACCTTACATTTGTGCCTATTGAAACTTATGTTATTAGTTTGGGCCCAGTTCTTCATTCTGTTAAGGTTATCTTGAATCCTGATTCTGTCCTCTGCAGCATTAGCCACCCCTCCCAGTTTGGTGTCATCTGCAAGTTTGATTAGCATTGCTTCAATTCCTTCATGCAAGTCATTTATAAAGATGCTAAACAACAACAGGCCCAGGACAGAATCCTGCAGCACACCACTTGTCACCCCCCACCCCCCGGATTATGAGCATTAATGAGCACTGTTTGGGTTCGGTCAGTCAACCAGCTACAAATCCACCTAACAGTTACCTTGTTGAATCCACACTATTACCGGCTTTGTCAAAAGGATATCAGGGGAGACTTTGTCAAAAGCCTTCCTGAAATCAAGTTTCACAACGCCCACAGCATTCTCCTGATCCACAAAGCTTGTAACTCCATCAAAAAAAGAAATGAGATTAGTTTGACATGACTTGTTTTGGATAAAACCATGCCGGGTTTTAGTAATCACAGCATCCTTTTCTAAGTGCTCACAGACTGACTGTTGAATTATCTGTTCTAGGACCTTTCCTGGTATCAATATCAAGCTCACTGGTGGTAGTTACTTAGGTCTTCTTTCTTCCCCTTTCTGAAAATGGGGACAAATTCATCTGCTTCCAGTCTGCAGGGACCTCACCTATTCTCCAAGAATTCTCAAAGATTATAGTGAGAGGCTCTGAGATTACATCTGTAAGCTCCTTTAGTACACTTGGGTGAAGCTCATAAGGCCTGGATATTTGAATTCATTTTAAGTAGCTAGGTGTTCCCTGACCACCTCTTTTCCTATCTTGGGCTGCAGCTCCCTCCTTACAAAATTTATTATGTTATTGTTGCAAGTTGAGCATTGCTTTTCTTTTGGAAGAAGACAGAGGCAAAGGAGGTGGCGAGCAGTTACACCTTCTTTCCGTCACTCAATAGCATTTCTCTGTCTTCTCCACGCAGAGACCTATCACTTGCTTGTTCTTCCTCTTGCTTCAAACATAGCCTGAGAAACCTTTTAAAATTATTTTTAATCTCTCTTGCAAGCCTGAACTCACGCTGAGCTTTAGCCAGCCTGACCTTCACCATGCAACTGTTGGCTACTTGCAATGCTTTTTTTCTGGGGGGGGGCGCGGGGGTACACATACACCTAAACATTTTGTGAATCTAAGTTTGGCTTCATTGTGGGGAAGTATTTCAATATGAGTAAGAAAATTAGAGCACTCCTAAACACTTTTTTTAAAGAAAAAAAGCACTGGCTACTTGCATATACTCTTCCTTTGTGATTTCCCCTTTCTTACATTTCTTATAGAGTGGTACCTCTAGTTACGTACTTAATTCGTTCTGGAGGTCTACTCTTAACCTGAAACTGTTCTTAACCTGAAGCACCACTTTAGCTAATGGGGCCGCCTGCTGCCGCTGCGCCGCCGGAGCATGATTTCTGTTCTCATTCTGAAGCAAAGTTCTTAACCTGAGGTACTATTTCTGGGTTAGCGGAGTCTGTAACCTGAAGCGTATGTAACCCGAGGTACCACTGTATATGCCCGTCTTTACTCTCAGTTCATCTGTAAGCTCCTTATGCAGTCACACTGGTTTCTTTAGATGCCTCCCACTTTTCTTTCTTGTTGGGATTGTCTACTCCACCTTTGTGCCTTCAGTAGGTCACCCATGACATTAACAGCCAAAATAATGTTGGAAAGAGTGAGCAAGTCGTGTGTATGCATCCCACATTACGCTCTAGGTCACCCAAAATGATATCTCCACATCACTGGAAGGCTGACCTGTATGAGATGGAAGTGAATCCTTCTATACCAGGCATATCCAAAGTCCGTTTTGGGGGCTTAATCCAGCCCATCGGTTGGTTTAATCCGGCCCCTCCTGTGGCAGTTAACAACTTTGGACGGCCCTTTGGTCGGCCCTCACAGCCCTTCACTTCATCAAATCTGGCCCTCTTTGAAAAAAGTTTGGACACCACTGTAATCTATACCAGTGCTGTCTTTCAGGCAATACAATGCCTAATATGTGTGTTGATGCCAAATAATGGTGAAAAATAAGGGAAAAGGAATTGTGGGTGTTACCGGTATATGATTTCTCACTGCTCACTTATGCCTCTTGGTGCAGGGAGAATTTCAGCCAGACAGCCCTTTCCCAGGAAGGTATACCTGCTGCTGGCAAATATGATAGTTTTGTTTTGGGAAGCAAGAAACTCATTCCACTATGAACTATGGTTCCCATGAGTTTGCAGTTGCTCCTAGGAGGCCTTTCCATGGCCATCTCTTTCCTGATAAGAACTCCCATGCCAGGATAAATGCTAGCCCAGGTGAAACTGGGAAGAGACGGTTCAATCCAACTTGACTTCTTCTCCAATTCAAATAGGCCAAGGGTTTGACTCAGTAACACTTCTGATGTGCACTCACTTTCTCAATATCTAGCAGCAGAACGACTTTGTGAAATGTATGTTTCAAGGCACCGGCCAGCTGAATTCTTGTCGTCAAAAATTAATCAAGCTCTGGAGGAACTGGTTCCGTCAGAAAAAGCCACCAAAGGGTAATTTCTGTACTTATATAATTGACTGAAGCCACAATTTTAGCTGCAGCTTTAGCAATGTTTTCCCCCTCTCAACTAACCCTTCCAATCCAAAGCAAATGTAAAATCTATTGATCTTAAAACAATACAAGTCAGTTTGCAAGCTCTCCTGCTAAAAACAAAAATGTTTTAGCACTAATTTAATAAGTGTCTGGAGGTGGTTGGAGGATGGATGGCGGCTAACAGATTGAGGTTGAATCCTGACAAGACAGAAGTACTGTTTTGGGGGGACAGGGGGCAGGCCGGTTTGGACAACTACCTGGTCCTGAATGGGGTAACTGTGCCCCTGAATGACCAGGTGCACAGCCTGGGAGTCATATTGGACTCACAGCTGTCCATGGAAGCGCAGGTCAATTCTGTGTCCAGGGCAGCTGTCTACCAGCTCCAGGCTGAGACTCTACCTACCCACAGACTGTCTCACCTGAGTGATGCATACCGTGGTTATCTCCCACTTGGACTACCTTTGAAGGTGACCCGGAAACAACAATTAATCCAGAATGTGGCAGCTAGACTGGTGACTGGGAGTGGTCACTGAGACCACCAGTCCTGAAATACCTTACATTGCGTCCCAGTATATTTCCAAGCACAATTCAAAGTGTTGGTGGTGACCTTTAAAGCCCTAGATGGCCTTGGCGTCTCCACCCCCATCGTTCTGCCAGGACACTGAGGTCCAGCACCGTGGGCCTTCTGGCGGATCCCTCAATGTGAGAAGTGAGGTTACAGAGCACCAGGCAGAGCGCCTTCTCGGTAGTGGCACCCGTCCTGTGGAACACGCTCCCACCAGATTTCAAGGAAATTAACAACTATCTGACTTTCAGAAGATATCTGAAGACAGCCCTGTTTAGGGAAGTTTTAATGTTTGAACTTTTATTGTGTTTTTAATATTCTGTTGGGAGTCACCCAGAGTGGTGGGGAGGCCTGGCCAGAACAGTGGGGTATAAGTAATAACTTCTTCTTCTTCTTCTTCTTCTTCTGATGATGATGATGCATATGTTCTGCTGGTGCTGGCAGGTTGCCAGATACTTTAAAGGCCTCAGTCTACAACCTTAGAGGAGTGGAGCCAGCAGAGTACAGGGAGCAGTGAAGCAAAAAAGTCCAGCTCTGTAAGATAGTCACTATGTGAACAGTTTCTCAGTCTCCACACACACACACACACACACACACACAGAGAGAGAGAGAGAGAGAGAGAGACCAGCCAATATAAATGTAATAATGTTGACATAATAAAGATAGAACTTTATTATGATAGAACTTTATGAAGGATATTCAAGTTCCTGTATTACATAGAACAGGGGATGACAGGACCATCTCTTTAGCCCTGAGGGCTGCATGTGGGAGTGAGTGGTGGGTTGGGGGCTTCACACTCAATCAGACGCATAAACTTCACAATGCCCTTTCCATCCCACACATGTGCAACTTTCCCCTCGACTCACTTTCTCTCATCTCTCAGAAGCACGCACACTTTCAGCTCCCTCCCAACTTACTGTCATGCCTGATGAAGGCACCATCACACAGCTTAGTAGCTGGGAAACGGAGGCAGGGCTCCACAGGCCTTGGAAGGCTCCAGGGAGTGTTTCTGAGGACTACCTGTGGTCCACTAGCTGCAGGAATCCTATCTGTGTCATAGAATACAGAGGTACCTCAGTTTATGAACAGTCCTGTTTAGGAACTATTTGGTTTACGAACTCCGCAAAACTGGAAGTAGTGTTGTTGTTTGCGAACTTTACCTCCGTCTAAGAATGGAAGCCGAACGGTGGAAGGGCACCGGTGGTGGGAGGCCTCATTAGGGAAAGCACGCCTCAGTTTAAGAACAGAGTCGTTATAAGAAAGTACTTCAGGAATGGATTAAATTCATAGACTAAGGTACCACTGTACAAGACATGGAGGGAACTCAGTGGGCCATCTGTTCTAGTACACCTGCTGTTGAAGCAGGAAAGCAAGAGCTAGAGCCTCCCCAGCAAATGACTCTTGGTATCTGAAAGACCTTTTAAACCCTCCAGCCCTGTTTGCCACTTTAAGCTGGTCTGAGGGCAGGGAACTTTCCAGTTGCTTGGGGGACAGTGGTCGTCAGCAAATGGCCCACAGTCAGGATAGCTTGGCTGGGATTATCATCTCACTCCCGCCCCGTGGAGGGACGAGTTGGGAGGGCATGGTAAGGATTGGAATTTGTTTTGGGAAAAAGAACCCCTAAGGGGCAGGGAATCCAAAGATTGGGGGAGGGTTGAAGGAAAGGACCACAGCAAGGAGTGGTATGGTTCACGTAAACGTGAGGCAACCCTGAGGTGGGAGGCTAGAGGGCAACCCATAAGCCAATTTCAAACACTACAAAAGCAACTTCATAATAATATGACAAATTAGCATAGTTTCATCATAACATGATGATAATATGAATTTAGGTGGGGCAGGCCAGCCAGGTCAGGTGTCAGGTGTGCACCCAGGCAGGTGCATCGAGTGTAGGCAGTCAGTGTTGGTGTTTGCAGCATGGCCAGGGTGCTTCCTCTGCCCCCCTCTCTCCCTCAGTCAGCTGCCTCCTCTCAGCCTGGCACCTGGCCTTGCCCATGCCTGTCATCACCCACTGGCCAGGCATGCTCACTGGGTTGAGTGGGGGGTTGTCCCCACTGCAGGAGGGTGCCACACACAGAGGGAACGAGGGAGCAATGGATGGAGGGGTGGGCAGCCAGGTGGGGGATGGACACACACAAACCGCACCCTCACATGCACCTCCTGCCACTGCTGTGTCCCACTTTGCTCCTCCTGGAAGAAAGCCAGAAACAGAGAGTGATGCCTGGCTGGGGGTAGACAGCAAACCAAGGGAGGGAGATGGGAAGGCAGGTGGGTGGGCAGTGGTGGGGAGAAAATATTGAGGGGGTTGTGTCCCCAGAAGAAAATTATTGGGGGGTTGGCCTAAGGACCCTGGTTGGCATTTATGGTAAGGGAGCAGTCTGTATCCTACCTACGTTCTAATTCTCCTCTCCCCACCTTCTGTTGCCTAAATAAAATAAATGTTTTTGCCACAGGTCATTGGAAAGATCTACAATCTCTTGTAATGAGATGATCTGCAATGGAAGAAAGCAATTAATGGAAATTCTTGAATCGGATATTGAACTTTTTTATGACGTGCTATACTCTTGCTTTGTTATCACACTGAAAGAATACAGAAACTTTTTAAAAATGTTGAAAAATTTAAAGTGGAAAAGTAAAGAATTGCTGAGTATAATCCAGGAAAGAGGGGAGCAAGCTTGTTGCAGGTTCCTGGAATGTGTAGAAATGGTGCGTCCAGGTTCAGTTCTGATTCTGCTCTCTGCAAGGCATGGTGAGTTTGACTTTGAGTTCTTAAACTTCAAGGACAGTTCAACTAAGTTCCTCCTTGCAACAGTCGTGTCAGGCAAATAATTGTCTTCCTTTTACAGCTTTGGATCAAACTCCACTCAAGGCAGCTGGCCCAATAGAGCCACAGCGGGAAGGAAGCATAAAGATAGAGAACCCAGCAGGTCCTGGGGAAAGTGTCCTATGTGGCTGGTGTCCCAGTGAGGTAAGAGGCTGACCTGTCTTGATGTGCATTCCCCACCCACAGGAATCATGGATGGATTGGTTCTAAATTCCAGGATGCTGCTTCTGTGTTATCCCTACTTAGTTGGATGATGAATATTATTGAATGTGTGTCAGTATAATGAGATCTTAAAATCAGAAGGAAAAATGTTGCATTAAACATACATTTTTTAATAATGCTGATTTTAATAATCAGTCTAGGTTAGTCTACTGTGGCCAAAATGAATACAGAGCACAGCAGGTGAAGAAGAAGCTGTAGCAGTGTACAGTGGTACCTTGGGTTAAGTACTTAATTCGTTCCAGAGGTCCGTACTTAACCTGAAACTGTTTTTAACCTGAAGCACCACTTTAGCATATGGGTCCTCCTGCTGCCGCTACACCGCTGCTGCACGATTTCTGTTCTCATCCTGAAGCAAAGTTCTTAATCTGAAGCACTATTTCTGGGTTAGCGGAGTCAGTAACCTGAAGCGTATGTAACCAGAGGTACCACTGTATAGTTGTGGCTTTGGCCTCAAGCAGTGCTCCTTGGTGTGGTCACAGGAGTGATAGAAACAGACAAGAATGCCGTCTTTTCAGATGGGATCCACATTCTGGCATCCACATAAATGATTATATTTTCATTATAGGGTCTTCCAGAAAAAATAAAACCAGAGGTGGTTTGGGACTCAGAAAAGGGCAACGAAGCATACAGGTGAGTGATCTCTCCATCAGACATTTTAAAACCTTTTCCCTTCAGGGAATGGTTTCTACATTTAATTGTTCCACAGAGCACATCTAGTTTCTGTGGGTCTCACAGTCATCACATATGATGGCGCTCTCTAAAACATACATCTATGTTTTGCACGTTGTAGTGGCATGGTGGGCAAATTCTCTCTGAAGGAAGCTTGTGAACCAATCTTGATCTCTTCTCCTGGGTTCCCTCAAATACAACTGGAAAATCATTACCTTGGAGCATTGCTATTGCTTATTATTTCCAGAAGGGTGAAAAAATATAGAACTCTGCATTTTTTCTTAAAAATATTTTATTGATATGATTTAAGTTATACCCCATATTTCTTCCAAGGAGTTCAAGGTGGCATGCATGGTTTCCCTCCCCATCACTTTAAAGCAGTGTCCTTTTTGGTCTGGTGTTTAGAGCTAAATGGGTACATGGGTTACAGAACTTTTGCCATGGTTTCTGAGTATGAGAAATTTCCTTGATGTTCTAGTATCATCAACACAAGGGTAAACAGAACATTAGTAGTTTCATTAGTACATTAGTAGAACATTAGTACTTTCACCAGCTTGCTTTGCTCTGCATGAAGACACCATTTTAAAAACATCTTCTCAGTATAAGAAAAACCACCTTTTTTATTTATTGGGTGACCTGACAGCACTTGTGTTTTAGCTGAGTAATGCTCGACCAGGAGATATCCTTCCATCTATTTTTTACCTCCATAACTCAGCGTTTGAAGCATCTCCTGCAAAAATATCAGTTTAGACCAGCAGGGGAAGTTCTCCCAATTCATGTTCAACCTGATTCCCCTTTCATCTTTCCCTTTGTGCCATTCAGAGTGCGCTCCACTGAGGCTGGCTCCTTCCGTTGTGGAGATACAGATCTCATATGTGACGTGACAGAAGCTGTGACCGTAACATACCACTTTGATTCATGGCCTAAGCACCTGGAAGAACAGTCCACTGAGGAGTTGCATGTTGCTGGCCCTCTGCTCAACATTAAAGTAGATGTAGTAGAAGCTGTGGCAGCCATTCATGTCCCTCACTTCTTGTGTCTTGAAGGTATGGCAGGGGGAAAGTTCCCAGCATTATAACCATAATAGGAGGAATCCTAAACAAGAATAACTTCCATTGACGTTTCCAGAATGCTATGGGGCCTGCGGTGTGGATTCTAGAAGTCAGTAGTCCTAACTTACCAGTCTTTTGTAATTTTTCAAAATGTTCCAACTGTGCTGTTTTATTATTTTCTGTGATTTGCATTCTGTTGTAAGCTGCCATGTGCCATATTGTCCTGTGGAACAATGTTATAAACCTCTTAAAAGACAATAAGAAAATAAATGTTTGCATGAAATAAAAAGGTAAAGGACCCCTGACAATTAAGTCCAGTTGCAGACAACTCTGGGGTTGCAGCGCTCATCTTGCTTTACCGGCTGAGGGAGCTGGCATTTGTCTGCAGACAGTTTTTCTGGGTCATGTGGTGAAACCAGAGCAGCACACGGAAACGCTGTTTACCTTCCGACCGGAGCAGTACCTATTTATCTACTTGCAATTTGATGTGCTTTCGAACTGCTAGGTTGGCAGGAGCTGGAATAGGGAGGGGTTCCCTATTTCCCACTTTCCCACTGCTAACATGCTTGTCTTTTCAGGTGACGATAGTTCCCATGTCTACATCACACATTTTGTGGAAGGGGGGATGAGGCTGGAGAAGCCAGACAGAGTGGAGCCTCACCATGCTGTGTTGGAAAACCCCAAGTTCTCTTCCCTTGGAGTCGTTTTCAAAAAGTGGTTTAAGCAAAAGATCAACACTGTCGTACTGCTCTATCAGAGACTTCGACTGGAAACACCAACATTTCACCTGTACCTCCTGCCAAATGACCCTTCTATAGTAAAGGTAACTTGGAATCTCCAACTTTGATTGGTGTTGCAGATTACCTGGATCTTTTCTTGATCACTCTAACCCTGATAGAATAGCTATGCAAAATTATACATTAGGGTGCATGAACTGTACTTACCTTTGTTGGACTTGATCTGTTTTACCAAACTTCAAGCCAACATCAACATGCTACTAGAGAGAAGATTCACAGTTGCCCTCCACCGGGTGACTTAGCTTCTCACCAACACTGTTGTTTCAAAGTGAATATTGAAATACACCCTTTTACTTTGTTAGCCACCCTGCTTGCTAGAAGCCAAATGTCCTGTCTGGTTCTCTAAACAAACGTTGTTGTCACTGACTTGTGAAAACAAAATTCCAAGCACATTCTCTTGGAAGCCTTCAATGAAATAAGTAAGGCTTCCTTCAGATTTATTGATGAACAAATTCAACTTTGTTCATTAAGGAATCAGCTTGGTAATTATGAACTGTCTATAAGAACATTCTTCCTGATTTGCAGTGTTGGCACATGGGAGATAAAGCACATTATCATATTACATTCTCAATTTGAACTTTTCTTAAAAATGTCTTCTTATGCTTCATTCAAATATTGAGGTTTTTATGGCTTCTGGGGTTTCCTGCACGGTCTCATCAAGACAAGATGCAGGTGGACGCAGTATTGCTGGTACCTCTCTGCCAACTAGCTCAGGCTTAGTTCAGGCTGCCCAGTTCAAGAGCTCTGGCTTGAGTTCCCCATGTGTAGTTTCTGGTGCCATAGTGGTTTAATCTTCTTCAAACTGCAGGTGTGGAATCTGAGTATCTGCCGATGCTCTTGGACTGCAGCATCCATCATCCCTGACCCCAGCTGATTGGGGTTGATTTGAGTCCAACAACATCTGGAGGGCATCAGGTTCCCCATTCCTGCCTTAGCTGGTGTTACGGTGCCAAGAAGTTTGTAGGGATCCAATCTTCAAGAAGTTTGGTTCCCTCTTTGCATATCTAACAAGTGAATTTATTTGCCATTCCCAGGCGGTCGAAAAGCGTGAAGTAAATTCAAAGAGAATAGAGAAACCCCCTGTGACCCTGAAACCGCTGATGATTGGTTCTCAGGTATCTTTGAAGGCTTCAGAGGATGTCACAGTTTATCCTAAGGTGAGACAAATATGATGAAAAGTTTTACTGGGGGAGAGTCAAACTGTGAAGTCTGAGAATGGGAGAAATTCAACCAGAATCCCTCTTCACCCTTTAATTTGACTCCCTCAGAATGGTGGGTTGGGCTAAGCCAGATTCACACTTACAGAGGTTTCAATCTTTCCCACAGGAACTGGAGTTTCAATACCTGGATGCAGAGAAACTGCAGCAGTACCTAGAACTGTCTGCTGAGCAAATGCAAGACAAGTTCAACTTCTACCTGATGAAGAAGGGCACCACTGAAATTGTTTGGGAGGCGCATTTAAAAAAAAGTGAGTTTTGATCAAGGGATCATAGCAGGATCAAGGAGGCAGGATAGAAAAGGACCACTGGTGGCATTCCCTCTTTGACTGCCTCTTATTCTTTTTCAGAAGAGTTAATTTCAGGGGAGCTGGATTCTCCTATTCTACACCCAGCACAAGGTCAGCAGGTTGTAATTTCCCTTGTATTTGTATCCCACTTTCCACCCAATAGGAGCAGAGAGGGCTGAGGATACAGTAGCAGACGCACTGCAGGAAAATAAAAAGTAACATTTGTGACTTTATTCAACAACAGCCCTCCTGGATAAGGTGGTCTGGGCTTATCATTTGGTTTGGTGCCAGATGAAAATCTTTCAACTCAGCTAGGGTTTTTTTTACAGACATTTCCCACCCAGATTCATCTAATTCAGCATGGCAGCACAAGGCACCACCAGGGCAATGGGACTTTGTCCTCTCCTCGCCCTCCTCACCTCAATCTTCCCTGGAGGGTCATAAAACTCTGCAGAACAGAGTTCAGAGGGAGGAGTCGGAAATTGTCCCATCTGACAAGCAGAACTGCCTTTGCTGGCGTTGAATTCCTCCCTTGAAGTTTTACAGTGTGAGCTTCTCCATTTTAAACTGAGTATCAGTTCTTAACATATCCAAGAGAAACTTGGATGTGATTTGGAAGTCTTGGGCTCATCTCCCACCATGCTCATTTTATTCGTTGTCCCTGCTTGCTTTGTATGTATTCCCTCCCTCTTCACCTTCCCAGGTGCTTGTGGCTGCACACCAAGCAATGCATCATTCAGCAGAACTAACCCTGGACATAGTGCGGAAGGCAGGTAAGGCTTAACCCTTTCTCCCCCACTCCATTTCACCAAAAAAGACCCATCTTGCCATTAGGCACAGTGAAGCAGCTGCCTCAGGTGGGCAACGGGTATTGGAGGATGGGAAGCAATGGGGAGGCTCTGAAAGTCGTTACTCAGAATTCAGATAAATTCTTGGGGAAATTGCATGTATGATGAACACTTCTGAAGACAGATCTGTGTATTCCTGTAAAGAGAGAGAGAGAGAGAGAGAGAGAGAGAGAGAGAGAGAGAGAGATTCCACCAAATTGGGGGGGGAGCACCAATTTTTTAATGGCTGGAGCTTTTATCTACCGCTGCAGATTCACCTAACCCAAGCCAACATTTACCTGTACTCTGCTTTTTGCCAATGCCTTGAACTGTATCCCACTAGCTATGGTAATTTTGATGTGATACAAAGCCATCCAGACACTGTTTTAATGAAATAAATGTAACATTATATTCTTGATTTATTCTAATCTATAAAGGTATGATGGGATGAATGTGGGAATGTTCAGGGATGCAGGAGAGGATATATTGTCTGATTATATCCTTATCTAACTTGTGTTAACAAGTTCCACAATTTCAGCAGAGTAACATTCCCCTTTATTTTAAGTTTGCAGCGGCTGTGTTTGCTCAGGCTCGCTAAAGCCTCTATAATAACTATTCTGGTAATTTCCCCTTATTCCCTCTTAAATAGAAGAGACGACACAGTCTTTTACAAAAGTATAAAAAGAGTTTACTCACATTCTGTTCACAATCAGATCCCAGAAGGCAGACTTAGCTTAATGAAGTAACATACACTTGGAATCTATCTCTTAAGAAGACAGTCCCTTTGTTCTCTCTTGGCTGGAAGCCAAGAGGGCATCTTTGGCTTAGTAGATGCTGTTTCTTCGATGCATGCGGAGAAAGAGAGAGAGATGACTGCCCTGCCCAGTGCTTTTGTCATTGCCTGCACAGGTGAGGCCACACCCACCTCTAGTCACATGCAGAGGAAGTCTGTCCCAGCCCAGAAGGAAACAGGAAGTTTACCTGCTGGCTGGACAAACATCCCTCCCCATGTGTAAACATGTTCACTCTAGGAATGTTGTACTTGACTGCTCTTGTGTTTCACATCCCACAATGAATACTCTACTTTGTTTCGTTACTGTTTTTTAAGGCATACTTACATTTGCTTTAATAAATGTAGCTTACAATCCTTTATCACAGTATTTAAAGCAGGAGTCGCCAACCTTTTTAGACGGGTGGTCCATTTTGAATCTTGAGAGCGTGTCTGTTTTTTCCTGCCTCTGGGGGGTGACAATGCAGAGGGATGGAGAAGACCATCACAGACAGCCTGGTGTCCACCCTGGAGAACTTGCGAGAGAACGAACTCAAGAAGTTCAAGCTCAAGCTTCATGAGTTTCCTGTTAAGAAGGGCTATGACAACATCCCCCGAGGGACACTGGAGAAGGCAGATGTGGTGGACCTGAGCCTGCTTCTGCTGAATTTCTATACAAGAGATTATGCCGTGCAGGTGACAGCTGAGGTGCTCAGAACCATCAACTGCAGGGATGAGGCAGAGAGGCTCCTCGGGCATTGCAGGAAGGGGTAAGAAAAGAGGAATGTTGGCAGCCCACCCCCAACATGGACAGCAATTCAAATCATGCCTACTTGGGGGCTAAGGAGCTGGAAGGAGGAAAGTGTTACATCAGGGATAGCCAAACTATGGGAGATGGATTGAGGATTAAATCTGTAGATTTCGATCTAAACCTCCTCTTCTAAGTGTGTGGGAGAAATGCAAATGAAATCTAGCTGTGAAGCCTTTTTCGCAAGCACCTATGAGTTTTGCAGTTTACTAAAGCTTAGGAATTAAGCAAACCCACCATTCTATCCCTTTCAATTGCAGTCTGCTTACCTTCCTCCTCTTCACCTCCATTGCAGAGAACGAACCACACATTTTAGTAAGATAATTGGAAAAGGCTTTCCTTACATTTCCATGCAAGCAGCATATACAGAAAAAGTAGTATAGTATGCAGAAAATTACTTCTAAGTTACAATAAAATTGCAGTAGTCTTAGCAAACATGGCTGAAAGTAAGAGCCTCGACCACACAGGTCTGCTCAGCTTGAAGGCATGGTGGAAAGAGAGAGTCTTGTCACAGGCAGAAGGAAATATAAAGAATTGTCTACTTTTTTACAGAGTTCCTGCCCAGAGGAGCCAAAGAAAATGACCACACACAGAGAGTCCTCTCTAGGAAGTTCAAGAACTCTGTGTATACAAGCAGGGACGCGGACTTATAAAAAATATTGGGGGGGCCCGGGAAAGCTCATGAATAATAAATAAGCTCATGAATATGCAAATAAAGTGGCGCCGCCTCCTCGTGAGCGAATAGGGGAGAGCGTGCTGCTCCTATTAATCAGCTCCGAAGGTGGAGCTTTTGCTCGGGAGGGAGGGCAGGAGGCATGCAGCCCGACCCTGTGTATTTTGGGCTGGGGGAGGGGCGGCGATGGCGCTCTGCTGGAGGGGCGCCGGAGATTATTGGGGGGGCAGAGCCCCCCCAAACGAATTTTTGAGGGGGCTCGGGCCCCCTCAAGCCCCATGGAGTCGGCGCCTATGTATACTAGCCCTGTACTGTCTAGCAGAGCATGTGTTCTTATGGCTGCAACCTCCACACAAATTAGTGCTCTTCAGCTGTCAATTTTTTAAAAATTGAATGTGTATACCACTTAGTTGTAAAAAATCCCTTCACAGTTTCTTAAGAATACCAAATAAACATTAAAATTTCTGATAAAAGTCAGAAATTAAAAATGAATAAAAAATGAATAATATCAGTGGTTAAAAATATAACTTTATAAAAGTAAAGTGCATATTAAAACACTTGTCAGCTTTAGCTCTCTGAGCAGGCCTGTCTCAACAAATAAGTTGTTTCACATTCTGAGGATATTTTCCCAGAAGCCAGAGGGATCCTGGTAGTGGGTGCTTCAATGACTGGCAACATGGACAGCTGTGAGCTGGGCACACAGACTGCTGGGTGAATTGCTTTCCTGGCTTCCTCACATTCAGAGTGTGCTCAACAGAGGCTGACTCCTTACTTTGCGGCGATACTGATCTCCTATGTGAGATAAGAGGATCTGTGATCATATCATACCACTTTGATTCATGGCCTAAGCATCTGCACGAATGGAAGACAATTCCTTGTTGCTGGTCCAAGCAGTTCCATACACTTTCCTCACTTCCTGTGTCTCACCACCTCGCCCTGTGGTTTTCAACCTTTTTAAGTCCACGGCTTCCTTGACCAGCCACTCATCCTTTCTGCAGCTCCCCTATGGGAGCCACTGACGCTGGGGTTCTGCTACAAGGCACATGTACTGGGGAATCTCTCCATTCCGTCCCACCCCTATTTTTGGCACACATGTAAGTGGGAGTGTGTGTGTCAATGGGAAGCCAAGAAACGCCACTGCTCTGCAGGGCTAAGCTGATGCACTCCACATGGCAGCCCAGCTTCCCTTTGGTTGGGCATGGAGAGGGCAAAACAAGATTACAATCAGAAGCAGATTTTTTTTTTATTGTGGAGAAGGAAAACCAAGAAACACACAGCCCTGGACACACATGCAGACACGATCCTTTCCTGCAACATTCTCCTGCACACACACACACCCCATCAAGCTACTTTGTTAGTTTCTTGCATTTCTCAAGCCCTCTGTGTAAAACTAAGGAACCGTTAGTTACTGAAGCTGGGGAGGATTTTTGTTTGGAGGGGGGAGATTTTCAGAATATAAACAGTCATGCAAAAGTGTTCCCCTCTTTTTTTGTCACTGTTTTATTTTGGGAAGGTAATGTGTTGCAAGTTAAAGGAGCCGGCTCTCCTGAATGTTCCTCAGAATGAGAGAGAGAGAGAGAGAGAGAGAGAGAGAGAGAGAGAGAGAGAATGCAGGAAGATAAGGGTTGCAAGTTACCGTAATGAAAGCACACCTCCCCTGAATGTTCCTCAAGTAACTCCAGGTGCCATGACACACCATCTGAAAATACCCACAACAGCAGGAATTCTAAGTTGTATTAAATATAATGTGGTGGAACACAGAAAGAGAGATAGGGGTGCTTGGTTTCTAACCCAGGCTTGTATTTTCCCCTTTGTAGCATGTCTGTCCCTCTGAAATCACCCTGACTGATTATAGCATGGTGATTCCTCAGCATCAGTAGTTCTTGAGTACAACCCTCCAAAGTGTTTCTGCAAACATCTTCCCAGGGCACAAGGACATAGGCGCCGACTCCATGGGGCTTGAGGGGGCCCGAGCCCCCTCAAAAATTCGTTTGGGGGGGCTCAGCCCCCCCAATAATCTCGGGCGGCGGTGGGCGCGTCCGCGGCTTTTATAGGGCGCCCGGCGCGCACCAGCTCGATAACGGGCACCGGCGCGGCGGGGGGCGCCGGGCCGGGGGAGGGGGGCGGCCGGCCTGTCTCCTTGGCAACCCCATTGAGCAGCGCCGGCTCCCCCGGGAGGGCCATCCCCCCGCGCCGCCGATCGCCAACACCGCCGACGCTGTGGCTGCCCGAGCCCGAGCCTGAGCCTGAGCCCGACCCGGAGCCCGAGCCCGACCCGGAGCCCGAGCCCGAGCCCGAGCCCGAGCCCGAGCCAAAGCCAAAGCCCGACCCGGAGCCCGACCCGGAGCCCGAGCCCGTCAGTCAGTCAGTCAGGAAGGAAGGAGAAATGGGGAGGGAGACGAGGGAGGAAAATTGTGCGCAGGGTGAAGAAAGGAGAAGGGCGAACGAGACGAGCTTCCAACCCAAAAAAGGGCTGGAAGACTGGGAGGATGCAGGATCGGGAAAGAAAGCGACGCCTTCCCCGCCCGCCAGCGGCGTAGCGTGGGTTGTCAGCACCCGGGGCAAGGCAAGTAATTTGCGCCCCCTAACCCGGGGCAAGGCAAGTAATTTGCGCCCCTAACCCCTAACCTGCCGCCGCTGCCAGCTTCTTGCTGCTGCCTGGGCCGGGTATTCACAGTTCTACAAATCTTTGGCGCTGGCTTGCTCCATTAGTTTAACTTGGGGGGGGGGGTGAGAGAGAGATTGCAATCGTGCTATGTGCACCGAGAGGGGGGGCACGGTTGTAACGCAGTGGGGGGGGGGGGAGAGAAGAAGAGAAACTAGCAGGAGAACCTTGATTTCCCTCTGCAGCTCTGTGGGGAAGGAGGGCGCAGACTGGGCTCCTTCCTCGCCACAAGATCCCTCGGCTGGCCGGGGCCGCGCTCCCCTCTCCCGGCCGGCAGCGCCTGCAAAGGCTGCGGGTTCCGCTGCTCCTCCGTCTCTCTTTCCACTGGTAGCGAGAGCGGGTGGGAGGGGGCCACCCGGGAGCCGGAAATGGGTGCCAAATAAGGAGAGCGGGGGCCTGGATCCTGGCCTTGTTTGGCGCTTCCCCTCAGCCGGTCGCCCAGCCAAGCCCGCGGCGGCGGCGAGGCGATGCCCGCGCAGGGGGGCGCCCACCCCTCGGCCCCCGCCCGGCACTGCCGCCCCAGCACCTGCCCGCTCCTCCCAAGGGGCCTCCTCTCCCTCCCGCCTCTTCGCAGCAGTCCTCGCGGGGCGGACAGGCTCGACTCTCCCCTCCCTCTTGCGCCCCATCCCGCGCCCGATCCTGGCCAGGCTCCGGCTCCGGACCTCCTTGCTAGCGCCTGCTACTCCCCCTGGTCACCCAGCCCGACCCCTCCTCCCAAAGGAGCTGAGCCCCGAGGCTCTTCGGCGACTCTGGAGGTGGCGAGTGCGCCCCCCCAGATGTTGCGCCCCGTGCGGCCGGCACCCCTTGCACCCCCCACGCTACGCCACTGCCGCCCGCGACGTCGCCCGCTTGTCATTGGCAGCGCAGCGGGCGCCCAGAGGGGCTGGGCACCGGCGCAGGGCCGCTCCGCAGCCGCGGAGGACAGCTGTGCGGCTAGCAAGGTGTGCCGCGTAGAGCGCGGCCCTTGTGTGGCCCGGTGGCCAGGCAAGCTCGGGCGGGGACCCCCATGCAAATCTAAGACGGGAGAAGAGGGCAGAGCAAAGGGGGTCCCTTCCCCAACCTCCGGCTCTGAGACTTCCCTGAGCCCCAGAAAAGCGAAAGGATTTTCTCTTCTTCTTTTTTTATAAATATTTTATTAAGTTTTCAAATACAAAGTTAGAAACATACACTGAAGAAAAAAGTAAAAGAACAAGAAAAAGAAAAAAAGAAAAAGAAGAAAAGAAAACCAACCATTCAACACATTTTTTATATAACTAACTGGACTTCCTCGCATCTCCCTTACCCTGCATTCTTTATAATAAAGATATCAGCAAATTATTACCTTGTTTCGTACCTTATTTTGTTTTTTTCAAATACTATACCTCTAAATTTAACATACTTTTCATCAGTTACTTATATCTTAAATTAAACATAGTATTACCTTAGATTTTGACCTTTTCTTACTTAAAATATAATTTCCTGTTTCCCAAATCTAATTGCTGAAGCTATAGTTTCCGAATCGTGTAAATTTTTAACATTCATACAACTTATATTGTTTTTGTAAATAGTCCTTAAATTTTTTCCAGTCCTCTTCCGTTGTTTCTTCTCCCAAATCTCGGATTCTGCCAGTCATTTCAGCCAGTTCCATGTAGTCCATCAATTGCGTCTGCCACTCTTCCAGTGTGGGCAAATCTTGTGTCTTCCAATATTTTGCGATAAGTATTCTTGCTGCTGTAGTTGCATACATAAAGAAAGTTCTATCCTTCTTTAACACTTTCTGGCCAACAATGCCCAAGAGGAAGGCCTCTGGTTTCTTGGGAAAGGTATACTTAAATACCTTTTTTAACTCATTATAGATCATTTCCCAGAAGGCCTTCACTTTTGGACAAGTCCACCAGAGGTGAAAGAATGTCCCTTCAGCCTCCTTACATTTCCAACATTTATTATCAGACAGGTGATATATTTTTGCAAGCTTGACTGGGGTCATGTACCACCTATAAATCATTTTCATAATATTTTCCTTCAAGGCATTACATGCTCACAACTCGGCCCAGGGACCCCCAGCAGCGGATCTCCGGCCCAGCTGAAGAATCCGGCAACAAGCCCCCTCCTCCCCAATCGCTCCGCCGAAATACGCTCCAAAACCCCCCAGATAGGCCACCGGCCGCCAAGTCTAGTGGCGCCCTGAGCGAGGGTCTCTCCCCAACACCGCCACCTCGAACTGCGTTCTCCCGGCTACCCGAGCGAACCAGCGGCAGGACCCCGGTATGGGCCCCCCCAATATTTTTTATAAGTCGGCGCCCCTGCACAAGGAGTCTATATTTCTATGATTCACATCTGCCCTACATTGTACTTTGAACTTTAGTTTTATGCCTACCAACCCAGCTAATAAAGTTTCTTGGTAGCATGAGGATTTCAGGCAGGTTACTGTAAACAAAGGCTGGGCCAGTGATCTCTTCCTTGTAGACAGCAAGGTGGAAAAAGATCAGGCATGGATGAATCCGTATATGAGCATTGGGCTTGTGGGCTGCTGCAGAGATCCATCTGGTCTCTGACGCAGCTTAGCATTTGCATGAAACTGCTGGAAGAGTTTTATTAGGAAATTTCTCATATGGATTCATGGAGCCAGTTCCTGGGGTGGGGAGCTCCCTCGCTGGAGGTCATAGGAGCCAACTCCTAGTGGCCAAGGACCCTTCGCCCCCCCCCATAAAATATGATACCCCCCCAAAAAAAGTTGACAGTCATTGACATTCAATCCATGACTCTTGAATTAAGTAGAATAGGAAAGATCTCTACACATCATATCAATACTCTCTGCACTAAGAAATGCTGACTGACAGTGTATGCATCGCAGGGCTGGGCTTCTCCGCCCCCCCTCATGTGTTTTTCAAGTTGGCACTCCTGACCCCCACCCAGCAGGTTTAGTATCTTGGCTGCCACGCCGCAAGTAAATGAAAGTTTCTGTGGCAGGATTATGCCTCATGCAGTTAAAAATAATTCACTGCCTAAGCTGGTTCTATTCCAGTGCGCTCGATTGCCACGCTGTGTGTGTGTGTGTGTGTGTGTGTGTGTGTGTGTGTGTAAAATGTTCCGGTGGGCTCTTTGGTTTTACTGTGCCAGTCTCCTCAGCTGCAGCCCTTACAAAGTGGGGCATGACTTGGCTGACATGCGGGGTGGGTATTCTGCATTTCTTGGAGGGGAGCGCTGTGTCCTCCTCAAAAGAAACTAGCCTCCGAGAGCGCAGCACAAGTGCCAGAAGGCACGCATTTCAAGCCCACGCCCCGGAAGAATCCTGGGAACCACAGTTCACCTCTGAGAGATCTACAAGTCCCAGCACCCTGAACAAAATCACAGGTTCCTTTTCTTTGGGTGGGGTGCGTTAGATTTCCAAAGGACGAGCAGGTTTTTCTCGCGCGCTCCCACATTTTCCTGCTCTGCCTCCTCGCCGCTCCTCCCGGCTTCAGATCCTGCGCAAAGGGAGAGCAAGAGCGGATTCTCTTCACCCCCGTCTTGCAGCCAAAGCGCCCCTGCAAATCTTGCGAGGGCTGCCTTCGGAGGTCTTCCCCCGAGAACCGCTCAGCCAAATTCTTCCAACGCAGGGCTGGGCTGGAGTTCTGCGGGAAAGACGCCCCTTCCGCCCTCCCCGCCCTCCAGTCTCCTGCTGCTGCCGGAGGGAAGGATCTTCAAGAGTTTCCTCGCCAAAGGGAAAAGAAGGCGACGCGCAGGGCAAGAGACGGGCTCTCGGAGCGGGTTTCCTGCTGCTCACCGGCCAGGCCTCTCTCTTTCCAGGCGAGTTGGCCCGGGAATCGCGCCCACCTGCCTCTCTGCCTTGGCACAGTCTCCAGATCTTCTGAGTTTTTCTCTGGCCGAGGTTGTTGCTGGGCTGGTTCTGGTGGAGAATGAGCGCAATGGGGACTAAGTTCTTCTTTTCCACAAATCCGTCGCGTGCCCTCATGAGGGATATGCAATCCGCCGCTTTTCTCCTTCTGGACACCTTGCAGCAGTTGAGGGAGGGGGACATTGAGAAATTCAAGGGCGAACTGCTCAGATTCCCATTCAAGGAGGGCGTCGGAAGAATCCGCGAGGAGTTGCTCCAGGAAGCCGATGCTGTGCAGCTCGTAGAGCTGCTGATTGGCTTCTACGGAGAGGCTTATGCCGTGGAGGTGACGGCCCTAGTGCTGCAGGAAATTGACTACAAGCCGCTGGTGGAAGATGCCTCGGTTATCACCTGCCTAAGTAAGGGACTGGGAGCGGGGCGGGGGTTCGATCCGACTAATGGTGCTGACCCCGCGGGTTCTGTCTGTACCGAGAGCTCAGCTCCCTCCCATGGTTGCCTTCGTTCTTGGGTGGGGAAACCTTTCCTGCTCGAGTCCCCATATCCTCCTGGGTAACATTCCAAAGAATCATAGAATCTAAGAGTTGGAAGGGACCCCAAGGGAGATCTAGTCCAACCCCTTGAAATTTAGGGATTTCAGCTAAAGCATCCATGGCAGATAGATGGCCATCCAACCTCTGCTTAAAAACTTCCAAGGAAGGAGAGTCCACCACCTCATGTGGGAGTCTGTTCCACTGCTGAACAGCTCTTACTGTCAGAAGGTTTTTCCGAATGTTTAGTCGGAGTCTCCTTTTTTTTTTTTTTTTTGCAGCTTGAAGCCATTGTCTCGAGTCCTACCCTCCAGAGCAGGAAAAAAGAGCCAAAGGGGCAGGGCCAGGGTGAAATCAGCAGAATGATGGATGTAAATCTTCCCTGTGTAAAGTGAGGTGGCGTTTTCCCACACCCCTCTGCCCCTTTGGCTCTTTGGGTGTGAGATAAACGTATAAGCCTGCAAAGTGTTAAGAAGAGGCCTGTAAGTTAAGAGAGTCTTCAAACCCTCCTGGATCAGCTTCTCTCTTCTGGGCCAGGCTGGGCTCCTTCAATCACCCGAGAGGCTAGAAGGATGGGAAGCTGCCTAGATGGGTCCATCTAGTTCGTTCCAGGGATTTAGGCAGGAATCTTTCCCAGCCCTATCTGGAGGCTCCAGGGATTAAACCTGGGATCCTTTGCATGCATCTGATCACCTACAAATCCACAGCCCTTCCCTACTTAGTCCAGGCTGAAAGTGCTCCAACAGGAAGAGAAGGGGAATGTAGGAATGCTGAATTTTTTTGTTCAATACAGCTACTAACATCAATAATCACCACAGTGCAGATTACACAATTATGGCTGCTGGCCGCACTGAATACCTTGAAGGAGTCAGATCTGAAGAAGTTCAAGAAGGATCTCAGCATGTTCCCCGTCAAGGAAGGCTATGTCAGTATCCCCAGGAAACTGCTGAAGAAAGCAAATGCTTGGGAGCTCACAGAACTGCTTCTTGCATACTGTGATGAGGATTATGCTGTGGAAGTGGCCTCAGAGGTGCTGAAAGCCTTTGACCGTGAGCCGGTGCCAGAATGTCGCTCTTGTTTCACCAGGAAAGGTAAGGAACTTGGAAGGGAGAACGTTGGGTGAGTCTGATGGGACTGCTTCTTGAGCAGGACTGTGTGTGTGTGTGTGTGTGTGTGTGTGTGTGTGTGTGTGTAACCTATGTGCCAATCTGAATATGTCTTCTTGACATTGTGGGAATGTTAAGGAAGGTTGGAGATGATATATTGTTTTGATATTATCCCTCCTCACTCACGCTAGTGATAAATAGCAGAGCACATTCGCTTTTCAACTTATAGGAAGCAAGTTGATTATTTGTTAGAACCTCTGCTGATAAACCTCCAAGGAAGGAGAGACCGTCACCGCCCAAGGGAGTCACTTGCACTGCTGAACAGCTCTTACTGTCAGAAAGTTCTTCCTGGTATTTAGTCAGAATCTCCTTTCTTGTAACTTGAAGCCATTGGTTCGTGTCCTACCCTCAAGAGCAGGAGAAAACAAGCATGCTCCCTCCTCCATGTGACAGCCCATAAGATATTTGAAGATGGCTATCATATCTCCTCTCAGTCTCCTCTTTTCCAAGCTAAACATACACCTGTTCTCCAAGAATTCTCAAAGATTATAGTCAGAGGCTCTGAGATTACTTCTGTAAACTCCTTTAGTACACTTGGGTGCAGCTCATCAGCCCTGGAGATTTGAATTTATTTTAAGTAGCTAGGTGTTCCCCGACCACCTCTTTCCTATCTTGGGCTACAGCTCCCTCCTTACAAAATTTATTATGTTATTGTTGCAAGTTGAGCATTGCTTTTCTTTTGGGAGAAGACAGAGGCAAAGGAGGTGTTGAGCAGTTACACCTTATTTCTGTCACTCAATAGCATTTATCTGTCTTCTCCACACTTGCTTGTTCTTCCTCTTGCTTCAAACATAGCCTGAGAAACCTTTTAAAATTATTTTTAATCTCTCTTGCAAGCCTGAGCTCACGCTGAGCTTTAGTGCACTTGATCTTCACCCTGCAACTATTGGCTACTTGCAGTGCTTTTTGGGGGGGAGGGGTGCAGGGGTACACATATGCCTAAACATTTTGTGAATCTAAGTTTGGCTTCATTGAGGGGCAGGATTTCAATATGAATATGAAAATGAGAGTACCCGTAAATTCTTTTTTTAAAAAAAGCACTGGCTACTTGTATATACTCCTCCTTTGTGATTTCCCTTTCTTACATTTCTTATACATGCCCTTCTTTACTCTCAGCTCATCTGTAAGCTCCTTATGCAGCCACACTGGTTTCTTTAGATGCCTCCCACTTTTCTTTCTTGTTGGGATTGTCTACTCCACCTTTGTGCCTTCAGTCGGTCACCCATGACATTAACAGCCAAAATAATGTTGGAAAGAATGAGCAAGTCGTGTGTATGCATCCCACATTACGCTCTAGGGCACTCAAAATGATATCTCCACATCACTGGAAGGCTGACCTGTATGAGATGGAAGTGAATCCTTCTATACCAGGCATGTCCAAAGTCCATTTCAGGGGCCTAATCCAGTCCATCGGTTGGTTTAATCCAGCCCCTTCCATGGCAGTTTATTTCCTGGGGTAAAAAAAAATCCTAAAAAAACCTCAACTACTTCAATCCTAAAAAAAGGTTAACAACTTTGGTCGGCCCTCACAGCCCTTCTGTAGTGAAGTTGGGAAACCTTGGTGAAATATACTCAGAGTCGCAAAGTGATTTCATGCTCTTTATTCAGCTCATAGTGGTGAGGAGGAATGAATGAAAGTCCCCTCACAGTATCTGCTTTATTTACACAATAGGCTGCCCATGATTGGCTAATTCCGGAATTCTACTGTAAGCCAATCAGGTTGTGGATTCACTTCTATCTGGAGCAGGATTGGGTGGTTCCTGCCAACCAATCATACTGCTGCATTCTGAATCCTATTGTTCTAGGACCAATCAGACTGCTGCCTTTTGGATCCTATTGTTCTAGGACCAATCAGACTGCTGCAGTTTGGATCCTATTGAACTCAGTACATAACACTTGGTATGTTAAACGTTGGTTCATGCAGGAGTGAGGCATTGTGGGAGAGTTAAAACTGTGGCCTTCTGGGGAATGTGTATCTGGTCTCTTTAATTGTAAAACTCTGTCTTTAGAAGTGTGAATCAAATTGCATCCTGACTTTGGGCAGGAAGAGATGTTATCTGATTTGCAGATCCTGGCACAGCTGGGGGTTGAATGTGGATTGGGTTCGAAAAGGTGCAAGAGGCAATTAAGTAATTTACAGCTCAAAAGCCTGGTACATGTCAAAGCGGGGAGCCTTTAGATCTCAAGGTCTGTAAGACTAAACAAAGTTCAGCTGTGCTGGGCTCCTGTCAATCAGGAGATATTGTCTCATCATACAACCATTGGTAAATTGGTAATTGAGCTAAAGAAATTATTGGTCCCTAACCTGGTTTCCGGGACGCGGGTGGCGCTGTGGGTTAAACCATAGAGCGAAAAACTCATTCCACTATGAACTATGGTTCCCATGAGTTTGCGGTTGCTCCTAGGAGGCCTTTTCATGGCCATCTCTTTCCTGATAAGAACTCCCATGCCATGATAAATGCTAGCCCAGGTGAAACTGGGAAGAGACAGTTCAGTTTCATCTTGACTTCTTCTCCGATTCAAATAGGCCAAGGGTTTGACTCAGTAACACTTCTGATGTGCACTCACTTCTCAATATCTAGCAGCAGAGCGACTTTGTGAAATGCATGTTTCAAGGCACCGGTCAGCTGAATTCTTGTCGTCAAAAATTAATCAAGCTCTGGAGGAACTGGTTCCATCAGAAAAAGCCACCAAAGGGTAATTTCTGTACTTATATAATTGACTGAAGCCACAATTTTAGCTGCAGCTTTAGCAATGTTTCCCCCCTCTCAACTAACCCTTCCAATCCAAAACAAATGTAAAATCTATTGATCTTAAAACAATACAAGTCAGTTCGCAAGCTCTCCTGCTTAAAACAAAAACGCTTTAGCACTAATTTAATAAGTGTCTGGAGGTGGTTGGAGGATGGATGGCGGCTAACAGATTGAGGTTGAATCCTGACAAGACAGAAGTACTGTTTTGGGGGGACAGGGGGCAGGCCGGTTTGGACAACTACCTGGTCCTGAATGGGGTAACTGTGCCCCTGAAGGACCAGGTGTGCAGCATGGAGGTCATATTGGACTCAAAGCTGTCCATGGAAGCACAGGTCAATTCTGTGTCCAGGGCAGCTGTCTACCAGCTCCATCTGGTACGCAGGATGAGACCCTACCTATCTGCAGACTGTCTCACTGAATGATGCATACCTGGTTATCTCCTGTTTGGACTACTGCAATGCACTCTATGTGGGGCTACCTTTGAAGGTGACCCAGAAACAACAATTAATCCAGAACGTGGCAGCTAGACTGGTGACTGGGAGTGGTCACTGAGACCACCAGTCCTGAAAGACCTACATTGGCTCCCAGTACGTTTCCGAGCACAATTCAAAGTGTTGGTGCTGACCTTTAAAGCCCTAGGTGGCCTTGGCCCAGTATACCTGAGAGTGAAACAGAAACAGAGAGTGATGGTTGGCTGGGGGTAGACAGCAAACCAAGGGAGGGAGACAGGAAGGCAGGTGGGTGGGCAGTGGTGGGGAGAAAATATTGAGGGGTTGTGTTCCCAGAAGAAAATTATTGGGGGGTTGGCCTAAGGACCCTGGTTGGCATTTATGGTAAGGGAGCAGTCTGCATCCTAACTACGTTCAAATTCTCCTCTCCCCACCTTCTGTTGCCTAAATAAAATAAATGTTTCTGCCACAGGTCATTGGAAAGATCCACAATCTCTAGTGATGAGATGATCTGCAAGGGAAGAAAACAATTAATGGAAATTCTTGAAGCGGATATTGAACTTTTTTTAGACGTGCTATGCTTTTGCTATGTCATCACTCTGAAAGAATACAGAGACATTTTCAAAATGTGGAAAATTTTAAAGAGGAAAAGTAAAAAATTGCTGAGTATAATCCAGGAAAGAGGGGAGCAAGCTTGTTGCAGGTTCCTGGAATGCATAGAAATTGTACGTCCAGGTTCAGTTCTGATTTTGCTGTGTGCAAGGCATGGTGAGTTTGACTTAAACTTCAAGGGCAGTTCAACTTACTTCCTCCTTGCAGCAGTCATGTCAGGCAAATAACTGTCTTCCTTTTACAGGTTTCAATCAAATTCCATTACCGCTACCTGGCCATATAGCGCCACAGTGGGAAGAAAGCAGGAAGCTGGAGAACCCAGCAGGTTCTGGGGAAAGTGTCCTGTTACCTCTCAGGGAGGTAAGAGGCTGACCTCTATTGATGTGCATTTTTCACCCACAGGAATAAGGTACACATTGATATTTTTAACATGAAGCCACTGAATTTAAATTTCTAGTTCCCTAAGGATAGCATTTATCCCATCCTTGGTAATTATTTACATATTTGCTAATGGCTGGTAGTGGGAAATAAGGCTGCATCTAGCCAGGTGCTAATAATAATAATAATAATATCTTTATTGTCATTGTAATGATGTGATTCCAGTTTACTGTGGAATCTTCTTGTGTCACATTAGTTTTAAAGGGGCCCACTTGATGTGGTCATCCATCTGCTATCCTCCTATATTTTTCAGTGTTGTAAACATTTTTTATTAACACACATTCAACTCATGATAGGCATCTTCAGATGCCACTGTGTGGACACCTGTCTCCAGAAAATAATTCTCTGAGTGCATCTTGACTCCTGGTTACATGCATATGTTCTAAATTCCAGGATACTGCTTTGCTGTTATCCCTACTTATCTGGATGATGAATATTATTGAATGTGTTTCAGTGTAATGAGATCTTACAATGAGAAGGGAAAATGTTGTATTAAACATACATTTAAAAAATAATGCTATTATCAGCAATTAAGTAACACACTGCACTTCAGGAATCATTCTAGGTTAATCTACTGTGGCCAAAATGAATACAAAGCACAGCAGGGGAAGAAGAAGCTGTAGCAGTGTGTAGTTGTGGCTTTGAGCTCAAGCAGTGCCCCTTGGTGTGGTCACAGGGGTGTTAGAAACAGACAAGAATGCTGCCTTTTCAGATGGGATCCACATTCTGGCATCCACATAAATGATTACAGTTTCATTATAGGATCTTCCAGAAAAAATAAAACCAGAGGTGGTTTCGGACTCAGAAAGCGGCAACGAAGCACACAGGTGAGTGACCTCTCCACCAGACATTTAAAAACCTTTTCCATTCAGGGAACGGTTTTTACATTTAATTGTTCCACAGAGCACATCTGGTTTCTGTGGGTCTCACAGTCATCAGATATGGTGGTGCTCCCTAAAACACACACAGAGTACATCTACAGTATGTTCTGCACGTTGCAATGAACAGTTGGCCATGGTGGGCAAATTCTGTCTCAAGGAAGCTTACCCACCAATACTGATCTCTTCACTGAGGAACTCCTGGGTCCCTTAAATACAGCTGGAAAATCATTACCTTGGAGCATTGCTGTTGCTTATTATTTCCAGGAGGGTGAAAAATATGGAACTCTGCATTTTTTGAGGAATTGTTGTTTCTCCTCCTTAAATATATTTTTATTGATTTGATTTAAGTCATATCCCACCTTTCTCCCAAGGAGTTCAAGGTGACATGCATGGTTTTCCTCTCTGCATTTTACCCTCACAAGAACCCTATGAGGTACTTTAGGCTATGAGGCAGTGACTGGCCCAAGGAGCTTCTTGAAGGAAGGTTGTCGTCTCCTTACCTCCCTGCCTCCCTGCCATTTCCTAAGCTTTCTTGCCACTCCCCTAAAATCTATTTTTTTTGTTCTTTCCTACTAGAAAAAGAACCATTCATGCCATTTTTTTCAGTTGAGGTATTGGAGTTGTGTTTCCACATCTCTAAGCCAATACTCACATAAAGGAGTATAGGTGTGCACAGTTCTCTTGTTAGTCTTGAGTAGCTTTCTGCATTCTTTGATATTTCATGGTCAGATGTTCTCAAGTGCAACTTGCCCATCTCATTCTATGTGAGAGGATCCAGACCAGGGGCCCTCTGAGGACAAAAGACAACTGGGACCAAGGCAGGTACAGAACTGACCTGCTTGTTTTTCTTTTCTTCTTCTTTTTTGAATTTGCATTTTATTTAACATTCTTATATTACATCAGTAAATGTTGACATATTACATTACAGGACTTACTATAATATAATTTCCAACATGTATACAAAAATTATATACAAATTTTATATACCTAGAAAGAAAATAAAACAAAAAGAAAGAAAGAACAAAGAGAAAAAACAAAAACAATTCCCCCCCCAAAAGATCATATACATACCAACAGACTAGACTTCCTGTCTATTCCGTTGTATATTCCTTTTTTACAAATGAATGTACTCTTATTATTGTATATTTCTTTACATTTTATCTAATACATTCCTACATCAATATGTGCTTTTAGTCTTATTTCTCAACTCATTCTCGCTCCAACGTCAATCAAATGCTAGCATAGATAGCGAACCATTACTGTATTTTTTAACATATGTTTTATGCCTATCCCACTTTTACATAAATTTTTGTTTTGAATCGCCTCTCAGGGTATTTGTTAACTGCACCATTTCAGCAAATTCTTGTAGCTTGTAATGCCAGTCCGTTATTGTCGGGGCTTCTTGTTCCTTCCACCCCTTTGCCACCAAAGTCTGATCTGCGGCTGTTGCATATAAGAATACCTTCCTAAAGGCCATCGGGATGTCCCTGCCAACAAGGCTTAACAGAAATGCCTCTGGTCTTTTTTAAAAAGTTATTCCAAACATTTTTTTCAACTCCTCGTAAATTAAGCCCCAGAATACTTTGATCTTCCTACATGTCCACCACGTATGATACATGTCGCCATTACTCCCACCATACCTCCAACAAGTATTCGCTAATTTTTTATACATCTTCGATAGTCTTGTGGGGGTGAGGTACCACCTGTGCTGCATCTTTAACATATTTTTTTTAATGTTATAACACGCTGTAAATTTCATATTTGTTCTCCAAAGCTCTTCCCATTTGGCCATCATTATTGGACGTCCAATGTCCTGTGCCTAACTAATCATTGTTGCCTTAACCATCACCTCCTTAACTTTCCATTCCAGGAGGAGTTGATATATTCTCGAAATTACCCTGATTTTATTATTTATTAATTCTGTTTAGAGGGCTGATGATCAAATCAAGTCTTTTTATCTTGTTTAAATATTTTGTATATTTGATGGTATTCCAACCAACCAGAAAGCTGGTCTTTTATCTCCTCATATTTTCTAAATTTAATTTGGCCGTCCTCTTCTAACAATAAAGAATTATATGTTATCCGGTCTCCTTTCATGTTCTTCTTTTTTACCATGTTTGCTTCGACTGGCGATATCCAATATAGAGTCTTTTATATTTTCCCCAAACTCTAAACAGGGAATTTTTTATTATGTGGTTTGTAAAGATCTTATGTACTCTATACTTATCATAATTTCCAGTTCACAGTTGGATCCCTGAAGGCAGGCTTAAGCTTGTAGTTACAGAACAGAGTTTGAGTTCATCCCATATGGGAATGAGCCCCTTGTGCTGCTGGCTGAGAGCCAGCAGACAGCAAAATACATCAGTATCAGCATCAAAAGAAGAAGAACAAAAAGAAGGGGGGAGATGGATGCATGACTAGCCCTTTTATGGGGTCTCCCAGGGTCATACCCATCTACCTGGTCACATGCAGGGGGAAGAAGCTCCAGACCAGGTATGACAGGAAGTCCTCCTAGCTGGAGTAACCCCCCCCCCCCCGCATGTCCACTCTGGACAAACAGGAAGTGTTGTACTTGACTGCTTATGTTACATCCCACATAACATACCCTGGGAGCTAATGGTAAAGCCTGGGTAAAAACAATCAATCAATCAATCAATCAATCAATCAATCAATGTATGTACATACATGTTTCAGGCTTTTCACCAGAACTTTCCTATTTAAATAACATGCAACAAGCTGATACAGCTACCACAGCCCAAACTAGATGTGATAGTGGCTGTTTCCCTTATTAGAACCAGCTCCTCCCCATCCCTTTAAAACAGTGTGCTTTTTGGTCCAGTGGTTAGAGCTAAATGGGTACATGGGTTACAGAACTCTTACCATGGTTACTGAGTATGATAAATTTCCCTGGCATTCTAGTATCATCAACACACAGGTAAACAGAAGATTAGTAGTTTCTTTCACCAGCTTGCTTTGCTCTGTTTTAAGACACCATTTTAAAAACAGCTCAGTATAAGAAAAAAACACCTTTTTATTTATTGGGTGGCCTCATAGCAGTTGTTCTTCAGTTGTGCTTCACCAGGAGATATCCTTCTATCAATTTTTTACCTCCTTAAATCAGCATGTGAAGCATCTCCTGCCAAAATATCAATTAGACCAGTGGAGGAAGTTATCCCGATTCATGTTCAACCTGATTCCCCTTTCATCTTTCCCTTTTGCCATTCAGAGTGGGCTTCACTGAGGCTGACTTCTTCTGTTGCTGTGACGCAGATCTCATATGTGAGGTGAGAAAGGTCAGTACTGCATGCCTCTAAGGTCTGCACCCCAGTTGACCTAATGAGAACATCAGCCTTGTGTAGTTGTGGGTTTGGCTTTAAGCAGTGCTCCTTGGTGTGGCTGCAGGCGTCTTAGACAAGAATACTCTGTTTTCAGACAGGACAAAAGGTCTGGCAGCCATATTAACGATTGCTGTGTTACAGGATCTTCCAGAAAAAATGAGACCAGAGGTGTTTTGGGACTCAGAAAAGCGCCATGAAAAATACAGGTGAGTGGTCTTTTTGAACTGTTTCCTTTTGGGATTCAGAGACCATGGAATACATTTGGTATATGTTGATCTCATAGTCATCACACATGGTGGTGTTTTCTAAAATGTATCCAATTACACTAGAGACCTGCACATTGCAATGAAAGATCAGTCATGATGGGCAAGTTCTCACTGATATCTTCAATGAGGAGCTTCTAGGTTTCTTGGAACACAGTTGGGGGGGAAAACATTACTCTGGAGCAATTCTGTTGCACATATCCAGTTGTTTATCCACTTTGAAGATATGGGTAGCATCATAGACTATAACTATAGAATTGTAGAGTTGGAAGGGACCATGAGAGTTATCAAGTCCACCTAGTTTTTTTACTCACAGGGCAAGCCTCACAGCAAACCTGCTTCTCCATGGAATAATGCTGAGTGTGTAGAATGATGCTTGCCCAGGAGGTTTCCTTCCCTAAAAGTTTCAACTTCTAATTCAGTATATGAAGCATCTCCTGCAAAAAAAATATACCATATTTTTCTATGTACTGGATGAGGTTTTTTGAACAAAAATGTGTCAAAAAACTGGAGTCACCCAATACACGGATAGTGGCATGGGGGGAGATGCTGCTGTGCATGGGGAGCAATCTGGGGGCACTGGCTGGCTGGAGCACAACTTCCCCTGGTGCTGCTGCACGAGTGAGGGAAACACTCGGTACCTGCACACAGGAAATGATCTAGGGAGTGTTTCCTGCCCACAGCTGCGTGGGAGGAGAGACTCAACAACTTTGGGCCATCTCCCCTCATTTTCTCAAAACTGAGTCCCCCAAAATGGGGGGGGTCCATTATACACAGGGGCATCTAATAGATGGGAAAGTATGGTAAATTAGAACAATAGAAATTCTCTTTATCCATGTTCAACCTACTTCCCCTTTCATCTTTCCCTTTGTGCCATTCAGAGTGCGCTTCACAAAGGCTGGCTCCTTCTATTGTTTAGATACGGATCTCATATGTGAGGTGAAAGAAGCTGTGACCGTAACCTACCACTTTGATTCGTGGCCTAAGCACCTGGAAGGACAGACCACCGAGGAGTGGCATGTTGCTGGCCCTCTGCTCAACATTGAAGTGGATCCAGTGGAGGCTGTGTCAGCCGTTCACTTCCCTCATTTTCTGTGTCTTGAAGGTATGCTAGGAAACAAAGGCTTCCAATAGTACGACCAAAATAGGTAGAATCCTTAGCAAGAATAATGGATCAGGAATGCTATGAGGCCAGCAGTGTTGGTTCTATGGATCAATAGTGCTCACTTACCTATCTTTTGTACTTGGTTTCAATTTTGCAATTTTAACTCTGCTATTTATTTCCTATGATTTCTATATTTTCTTTGTGAGCTGCCTTGAGAGGACATTGCCTGTAAGGAGACCGGGGGGGGGGGGGCTTAGATTATGACGATGATGATGACAACAACACAATACATGCCTGCATTAACAGGCAGGGTGATGAGTTTTGTCACCCAGACTCAAGTTCACCCTTTCCTACTTGTAACAGGTTTCTTTATTATTCCTTTGTGCTCCTTTTCAGGCGAAGACAGTTCCCAAGTCCATATTGCTCACTTTGTTGAAGAAGGGATGGTACTGGAGAGGCCAGACAGAGTGGGACCATATCATGTTGTGTTGGAAAATCCCACCTTCTCTCCCCGTGGAGCCATTTTCAGAAAGTCATGGTTTAAGCGAAAGATTAAGGTCCACACTGTGGCACTGCTCTATCAAATGCTTCGATTCAAGGCACCAACATTTCACCTATACCTCCTACCCAATGACTCTTCTGTGAGAAAGGTAATCAGGATTCTCCAACTGATTGGTATTCCAGACAGCCTGGATCATTTGCCTGAACATAGGAAGCCTGACAGAGTAGCTATGCAAAATTATGCATCAGAGTGTGTCATGGTTCATGAACTCATTTACCAAACTGCTCGTCAACATCAACATGCCCCTAGAGAGATTAGTAGTTGCCCTTCACTGAGTTACTTTGGTTTGCACCAGTAGTGATGTTTAAAAGTGCTAGGCAACCTCCTTTCCAGAGGGCAAATGCCATGCCTGGTTCCATAGACAACAGCATTGTCACTGAATTGTGAAAACAAAATATCCTTATGCTACTATTTCTAAGTACACTCAGCCTTCTCTGAAGTTAATGGAGATTCCTTCAAAATAAATGTATTTAGCAATGAAGAAATTCATCTTACTTTGTTTAGGAATTGGTTTGGTATTTACTAGGAGCTTTCTCCAAGAACTCATGAGGGAAATGTTGCTTCTGGTTTGCAAAGTTGGCACATGTGGGATAAGTTGCCTTCTCAATTTCAACAGCTCCTCAGAATACTGTCCTATGTTTTGGTCAAAGTGTCATGCCTTCTATGGTTTCCTGGGTTGTCTCATCAGGAGAGGTGGCTGTATTGTTAAGTATAATTGTTTAATTGCACATTGAAATGGAAAAAAACTCTGTATGTGTAGTACTAAAAGTGCAACATGTTATGGAAACTTCTACTGAGCTGCAGAGTGCCTAACAGTTAATGATTAGTGAGAATGTATCTCTACCACTGTCACGACGTGTTTAACTTAGATCATGAGGTATTCCGTTACAGGTCTCCATTTTGGTGGTGTGAATTAGCTCTGTGTCTGAAAGCACCAAAGAGAAAGGATGTATGATTCTCTCTCTCTAGAATGCAGCCTCAGGCTAGTGGAGGCTGGAATGGGAGAGGTAGAGCTTTGATTTCAGCTCTGAATGAAGATGTTTATATTTCTAAGATATTTTTACCTGTGCTGGGATCAGCACATGATATTAGTATGCAACTATAATGTAACATTATTGTTGAAAGTTTATTTTAGATCAAGTTCTGATAGTAAACATTTTGAAACATATTTTCACACTGGGCAATTTTTATTTCGTCCTCTCACTTCCAAATGCACAATATTCATAGCCTCAATATTTATGTGCTGTGAGAATGCCAAAGCAGAGGTAGGGATCCAGCTTTTAGCAGCTTGGTGCCCTCTTTGTATGTCTCAAAAGTAACATTGTTTGTCCTTCACAGGCGGTTGATGAACATGAAGTAAATTGTCCTTCACACAGAATAGAGAAACCCCCTCGGACCCTGAAACCTCTGACGATTGGCTCTCGCTTCTTTGTGGAGACGAATGATGTCACTGTCTGTCCTGAGGTGAGAAACAAAGAAGAAAGGTTTTGCCGGGGGAGAACCCAGAATGGGAAAAACTATTCCAGGATCTTTCTCTACCCTTTAATTTGACTCCCTTAGAACTGGGTGCTATTACTAAGCCCTATTCACATCTACAGAGGTTTCATTCTTCCCCACAGGAACTGGAGTTTCAATACCTGGATGCAGAGAAGCTGCAGCAATACCTAGAACTGTCTGCTGAGCAAATACAAGACAAGTTCAGCTTCTGTCTGATAGAGAAGCACACAAATAAGCTTGTTTGGAAGGCTCGTGTGAAACAAGGTGAGGGTTTTTTTCAGTGGAGGACCACAAGTCTGATTGTGGCTTGGGAGGCAGGATGAAAAAGGACCACTAGTCATATTCCCTGTCTGACTGTCTCTTTCCTGTTCTCTTTCAGAGGAGTTAAATTCAGATGAGATGAATTCAACACAAGGTCAGCAGGTTTTAATGATTTATTTCCTTTTGCTTAACCTGTATCCCTTCTCTTTCTCCCAATGGGAGCACAAGAGTGGCTGGTGATATAGTACTATATACATGGTACAGCAACGGGAATTGTAACATTCTGAAATAGAGATGAGTTGACTTGGCTTTATGGACTTTTTTTGGTGTCACATGAAGATAACAATAAGAATAAACAGCTTCCAACAAATTAAAACATCAAACACAGTAAAACATCACACATTAAAAACTTCCCTATACATTATCAGATCTCTGGAGATCATGACATATTAGGGGTCATCATGTGGGGTGGTCACCCACAGTAGGCTTCTAGCAGTGCACCATACATTTAAAGTCCGCTTTGTATCACCTCAAGAGTCATAGGGAATCCTATGAACTCGATCATTAAGGATCTCCTTACAACTCCCAGCACCCATAAGAACAGGATTTTTCTGACTAGATTGCTCACTGCAATGCCTGCCAAGCTTCCTCTGCAAATTCTTCACATTGAAAGAGCTTCTGCATTCCTGACTTTCTTCCCCAGCCATTGTTTACTTGCTGGTTTTCAGCTCCCTTCTTGGGATTATAGGTGCCAATTTGGGCCCCAGGTTATGGGTGCCCAATGGCACCCGCGACGTAACATGACATTGTGACATCACATAACATCAACTGGAAGACCTGGTAGGGCCTCAGGCGTGATCTCAGAGGCCTCACAGGGCCTTGGAGATCATGTACAAGGCCTAGTGAGACCTTTGACGAGACTGCCAGTTTGTACCAGAAGTCATGTTGGAATCCACGCTGTGGGTGCCGAGCACCCACAAATTTTTGTGGGGGGGGCTTGACCCCCAGGGCTCCCTATAGTTGGTGCCTATGCTTGGGATCATGACTGGGGAAGAGTGAAGAGCTATTTAGATGATATTTGGAAGTCCTGGGTTCATCTCTCACCATGATCATTCATCTTCTCAAAGGTACCTGCTTGCATTGTACGTATCCTCTCTCTCTTCTTTCCAGCCTCTCGTGATGGCACACTCACCAATGCACCACCCAGAAGAACTGACTCAGGGCATGGAGTGGAAAGCAGGTAGGGCCTGATCCTTTCTCTCACACTCCATTTCCAGTCCTACCATTAGAATAATGAGGCAGTTGTGTCTGGAAAGTAGCAGATATTGGGCGGGGGTGGGGAGGTATGTTACAGTTTCTTTAAGACTTATTTACATTTGCCTTAATGAAGTTACAATATCTTTAAATAATAGTTACAGAGAGTCACCTAAGGCGGGCTGAAAAAGCTTAGTGCTCTTAGTTCCATCTTCTCAGTCAATTTCATCTTGATGCACTGTGGACTTCAGCTGGTTTGCTTTGAGCCAGTGTTTGATCTCTCTCATGAGAGCCACCAGAGCCCATGTGAGATTCTCCCAGAGCCCCGTAAGCAAGGTGGAGAGCTAAAAAACTTCTTTGTGCAGGATCTTCCTGGTACAGAAGCACTTTTTTGCTTTCTGCATTGTGTTTAACTGATGAAAATAGGGATGCCCTATTTAATCATCATCATCATCATATCCTGCCCATCTGACTGGGTTTCCCCAGCCACTCTGGGTGGCTTCCAGCATATATAAAAACATAATAAAACATGAAACATTAAGAAACTTCCCTATACAAGACTAGCCTTCAGATGTCTTCTAAAGGTTGGTTAGTAACTTATCTCCTTGGTTTGGGGGGGGGTGTCACATACATATAAGCGAAATCTGTGTAAGTTGGGAGTTAACTGTACATTCTCACACAGACACAGATGTGCATGGTGCCTCTCTTCCGCACTCCCTTGCACTGCCTGCAGTAGTGTGGAGAGGGGTAGACATGTTGCCTTGTACTCTGCATGGAAGTTCCACCCATGCCAGCACTGTTGCTTTGCAATCTTCAAAGAATAGGCAGGAGAGTTGCTCTTTAAGGTGTTTTGCTGCTCAGCAATCGAAGATGGCTCTCCAAGCTTTAGAACCCCCTCCAGCTACAGTTCTTCCCGCTCCCTCTTTGCTGATCTAAGTTTTGGAAGTTATAGCAGCACCTCCAAATAAACAGGAGTCCTTCCTGGGTCCCTTTGCTGAACTTCTTTTGTTTTATGCCTGCTTTTCCCTGCCTCTGGGCGGCAACAATGCAGAGCGATGGTGAGGAGCATCAGAGACTCCCTGGTGTCTACTCTGGAGAACTTGGGTGAGGACGAACTCAAGAAATTCAAGCTCAAGCTCCATGAGTTCCCTGTCAGTGAGGGCCACGACAACATTCCTCTGGGGCGGCTGAAGAAGGCAGATGCCATGGATCTGAGCCAACTCCTCCTGAGTTTCTACATGGAGGATTATGCCGTGCAGGTGACAGCTGATGTCCTCAGAGCTATCAACTGCAGGGATGAGGCAAAGAAGTTCCTCAGCCTCACTGGGTGAGAAAGGAGGAGTCCCAGCTAGTGGAATTCGTTGTTAGGTAGGGCAAATGGATTGTCACCTACCCCAGCCCCACACCACCCTGTGAGTGGAGGGAGATTAGGAATGTCACTTGATACTAAACCAAGCAAAAAATGCCTCTGGTTTTTTAAAGATTGAACTCCTAAATATCTTTTTAAGCTCTTCATATATCATAATCCAGAACTGTTTCACCACTTTGCACCCCCACCACATATAATACATCGTCCCCACCTCTGTTTTGCATCTCCAACGGATATTTGATTGTTTTTTATACATTTTTTATAGTTTCACTGGGGTGAGGTACCAGCAGTAAAACATCTTCATTATATTTTCCTTAATCGAATAGCACACTGTAAAATTTATATCAGTTTTCCATAATCTTTCCCTTCTGTCTAAATGAATTGTCTGGCCCAGCTCTTGTGACCATTTTATCATTGGTTCTTTTATTACCTCATCTTTCACTTCCCATTCAAGGAGCAGGCTGTATAATTTCGACATTTTCCTCTTTGGTTGTGGAAGTTCACTTTGTAATTTTGATGTTTAGACTTTAGGAAATGGAAATTGAATATTCAGCCACTTATTATTGAGGGGAAGTGCGTGGAACAGGTCTCAGTGTTTCGATTTCTGGGAATGGAGTTGAGAGATGACCTAACCTGGGGAGAGAACAGCAAAGACCTGGTGAAGAGAGCACAGCAGAGGTTATATTTTCTGAGAATCCTCCGGAAAAACAATCTCTCAAAGGACCTGTTGATGGCATTTTACCATTGCACTGTGGAGAGCGTACTAACTTATGGTCTGTGTGTGTGGTTTGGGAGCTGCACAGCCAGGGAAAAAACAATGCTATCCAGGGTTGTAAAGACTGCAGAGAGAATTATTGGGTGCACTCTTCCCACCTTAGATAAAATCTATGCTGCCAGGTGCCATAAGAAAGCAGCAGAGATAGCACAGGATAGTACACACCCCAGAAATGATCTCTTTCAGCTTCTGCCTTCTGGAAGAAGGTATAGGGTTATAAAGGCCAGGACTAGCCGCCTGAGAAACAGTTTCTACGCTAATGCAATTCTGGTTCTAAACGCAGCTGTCAGAGTTGCTTCCAGATCCTAGCTCACAGAGGATCACGCTAGCCAGCGATCATTAAATAAAAGTCTTTATTGAGTTACAGTTTCCATTCTCAAGCTGCTGCGTGCAACTCTACGTCTTATGCTTAGATCGGCGAAGCTCCGTCTGAGTCTCCGCCCCCTGTACACCAACTTAATGTCCTAGCCCTGCTCCACCTTTTCCGCCTGACTGTTCTTCTCTGGGTCCCTCTGCCCCCCGGGGTCTCTTCCTTCCGGGATTCTTCTGACGCTGACCCCCCGGACCCTCCTGTCTCCTTGCGCCGGGCTTTAGGACCTGGCTCCCTTTCCGGGCTGCCTACTGCGCCACCTTCCTGTGCATTTGAATTTGGCGCGCGCGCCCAACCTTCCACCTTCCGTCTAACCGTCTCTTCGCTCCCAGATGGAGGTGTGGCCACTCCTGACTCGTGCCCTCCCTCCTGTTGTGAGCTGCCAGCGCTTGATCCCTGGCGCCCTTCCTCTTCCCTGCTCTCTGGCGGTGACGCTGGTCCCGATTTCCAACTGCTCCCCTCTGAGTCCCCTCTGGCTCTATCTTCCTGGGGTGTCCCCCTAGTCTCCCCCCTTGCCCTGGCCACTGGTGCTCCTTTCTGTGAATCTTCTGATTCACTGGAAAGACTCGGAGATCTCGGGTCGTCGTCATCACTCATCTTTTCTTCTGCCTCCTCCCCCTCGCTCTCTGTTTCCTCCCTTGCCCTCGCCTCTGCTCCTGAACCCCTGACAGCAGCATAAGGGGTTTCTGTAGTATAGTGTATTTTAAAATGGGGTTTTAGAGTTTTTAGGGGTTTTTGAATGTTTCATGTAGTTTTTATGTAGTTTTATATAGTTTATGTAGTTTTATGTAGTTTTTTATGTAGTTTTGTGGTAGTTTTATGTAGTTTTATGTAGTTTTTCAATTTCATTGTTCTGCAAGGGACAATGACAATATAGATATCGTTATCGTTATCATTTTTTGTTCAAATCCTATTTTTTATCTTGGTTGAAGATAAGCAATACCTGGTGATATTGTAGCCAGCTGTTACAACAGTTCTTAACCTCTTCATAGGGTCTTATTTTTATCTCACCGTGCTCTTTTATCAGTAACTGTTGATATGTTGGCCAGCCCTTTTCCATATTTACTATTTTCACTGCCAGTACTTCTAGTGGGGATAACCACCATGGTATTTTAGGTTCTAACAACCATCGGTAATTTGCCTACACTTTATATAGAGACTTCCTGACTATGTGGTTCAGGAAGTCCCTGTTTACTGCCACTTTATCATAAATTAAATAGGCATGCCATCCAAAGCGGTTGTTCCATCCTTCCAAGTCTAGAATCTCTGTTTTGTCTAGCACAGCCCAGTCTTTTATCCATCCTAAGCATGCAGCCTGGTAGTAAATTCTCCAATCCGGAAGTCCAAATCCACCCCTCTCTTTGGTGTCTGTTAACAGTTTATATTTTATACGTGGTTTTTTTCCTTGCCATAAAAATCGGGAGGAGAGGAGTTGAACTTTAGTTTTATGCCTACCAATCCAGATAACAAAGACTGCTGATGCATGAGAGTTACTGTAAACAAGATTAAACATTATAAGCAGTATAATGCACTGCAGGGCGGTGATCTCTTCCTTGTTGACAGCAAGGTGGAGAAAGGTTTGGCATGAATTCATACATACATGACCTTTGGGCTTGTGGGTTCCTGCAGAAAATCACCTGGTCGCTTATGCAGCTTGGCATTTGCATGAAACTGCAGGAAGAGTTTTATCTGGTGATTTATCCTATGGTTTCTTTTCTTTTCTTTTTAATTTTTATTGAAATTTTATTTACAACCTAACATAAACCTCCCACCCCCCAATACAGAAATCCACCCTCATTAAACATGAACATAACATACAATGAGCATAACATACAACAATACAAACAACCAAATAAAAGACTTCCTTTATCCTGTATCTGGCCTCCTTATTTACCGTACTTCTTCTGTTTATGAATAATTATTAAGATTTTTCTAATTATAACTTAAATATCCACAAATTGCTAAAAACTGGAAAAAAGAAACTGTACCAACAAAAAAGGACTGGCAAGACAAACTGTTAGAGTATATTGGGCTGGCTAGATTAACAGAGGCAATTAGACATCACACTAAAAAAGAGTTTCAAAAAGCATGGGGGAAATGCAGAGAATACTTCACAAAACAGTGCCCTAAAATACATACCTGGACTTGTTTCGATTAATGTCCGAAGGAGACTTTGTGAATTTATCCTAGGGTTTCATGGAGCCAATTTCTGGGGTGAGGAGCTCCCTCACTGGAGGGCTTCAGGCAGAGTCTTGACAGCCACCTGCTGAACATGCTGTAGCGCTGGATTTTGTGCCTCAGGCCACATGGCGTACAAAACTCCCTCCAGCTGTGTAGGATGCTGAGGATACTCCTCCCTCCCCTCCTCACATCATTTCAGGGAGGATGTAGAGGTCTTGAATTCTTGTCTGAAACCTGCCAGGGGACAGGATGTGGGTGCAGAAATGGAATATTAATCGCTGGAATAACTGAGCCAGTTACCTATTGTAACACAGAATGTGCAGCCGCGTGGCTGTTGAATCTGCTTAGAGAGAAGATTTTACCTGTTGCAATCACATGCTTGTATGTTAAAAAATAATAATAATACTTGTTGCGTCACAAAACTTACCGGGGGACTCGGTTAAGGAGTTCCTCCAGCCCTTTGTGGGTCGGGAATTAGTAATAACATTCCCCAAAGGAGAAAGAAAACTAGCGCTGGAGAGCACAACCAAAGCGCTAGAAGCTGCCGACACGCATCTCAAGCCCACCCCCAAGAAGAATCCTGGGAACCATGGTTTACCTCTCAGACGCGTCCCAGCACCCTAACAAAATACAGTATTGCTTTTTGGGGGGGGGTTGCTTTAAATTCGCGAAGGACGAGTAGTTTCTTCTCGCACACTCAGCGTTTTCCTGTCCCACCGTCCGGGCGCTCATCCCGGCTTCAGATCCTGCGCAAAGAGAGCGCGCGAGCGAATTCTCTTCCCCTTGGAGAATTGCGCTTCGGAGTCCTTCCTCGAGGAACCTCCGGGCCAAGTTCTTCCAGCGCAGGGCTGGGCAGCAGGTGAGCTCGAAAGGTGAAGCGAAACCCCGCCCTCGAGTCTCCTGCAGCTGCCGGAGGGAAGGATCTTTAAGTTTCCTCGCCAAAGGGAACAGAAAGAGACCAGGAGAGGAGAGAGAGCCGGCTGCGCTCGGAGCGGGTTTCCCGCTGCTGCCCTCGCGCCAAGCCTCTCTCCCCGGGGAGTCAGGCGCCGCGAGTTGGCACCCACTTCCCTTGGCAGAGTCTCCAGATCTGGGTCTTTGGGTGGCCGTGGTTTCTGCTGCGCTGGGGCTGGCGGGGAAGGAGCGCGATGTCGAAGAAGATCGTCCTCAATCTCCCGGCCCTCTCCTTCACAGCTCCCCCCAGAAAGGGGGACGACGAGGGCAGCATTTTCCCCGCGACGCGGCTGCCCAAAGCGGGTCCCTCGCTCTTTCTGGAGCCGCAGCCTTGGGCGATTCACTGCGCCGCGCTCCTCCTTCTGGGCACCTTGCTGGACTTGCGAGACGAGGACTGGAGGAAATTCAAGGGCGAACTCCTCAGATTCCCGGTCAAGGAGGGCGTCGGAAGAATCCCCAAAAGGTTGCTGAGGGAAGCCGATGCTCGGCAGCTCAGGGATCTATTAATCCACTACTACGGTGAGGCTTATGCCGTGGAGGTGACGGCGCTGGTGCTGCAGGCGATGGACTACAAGCCCCCGGTGGGCTCTCTCTTTGTTTTCATCAGGCTAAGTAAGGATCTCCGGAGAGGGGTGGATCCATCCGGCTGGTGGTGGTGACACCTCGGGGTTCTGTTTGTACTGACAGCACAGCTCCTTCCCACGGCTGTAGTCGCCCAGGGATGGGGCAACTTTTCCAGCAAAGGCCCATGTTAGGCAGGGCCAGCAGTGAAAGGGAGCAGAATGACGGGTGTCAATGTTACCTGCGGAAAGTGGGCTAATATTTTCACACATCCCTCTGCCCTCCATCTAGACCAGAGAGAAGCTTTGTCGGAGCTAGGGCTGCCCCAAGAGAGTTTAGCGCCTGAGGCGAAACAGAAAAATGGCTCCCCACCAGGGAAGAAGGAACATCAGGAACAAGGTGGGGAATAACGATCTGCATTGGGATCTGCTGCTCCTGTGGATCATGCCTCACGAGTGCGCCAGCCCTGATCGGAGCTCAAGGCCCCATTCCAGGAAGGCAGAGACACCCCAGGAGGGTTTAGGCGGGGTCAGTGAGGAGTGTGGCCTGGGGAGCATTCCAAGGGCTTGAAGGAGGGGCCTGGAGGAGCCCATTTGGCCACAGGGCTTGAGACTCCCTGCTCCTAGATTAGCCTAGCCCCAAAGTGCAGCAATAAATGACAAAAAATATCAAGCTGAGATACTTTTAGTACATGCACTGTTTTCTATAGAAAGCTTTTGGCTGATGGCAGTAATTCTCAGTAGCTTTCAACAATTGGATTGCCAATGCTTAAAGGTAAAGGTAAGGACCCCTGACCATTAGGTCCAGTTGTGGCCGATTCTTGGGTTGCGGCGCTCATCTTGCTTTATTGGCCGAGGGAGCCAGCGTACAGCTTCTGGGTCATGTGGCCAGCATGACTAAGCTGCTTCTGGTGAACCAGAGCAGCGCACGGAAACGCCGTTTACCTTCCCGCCAGAGCGGTACCTATTTATCTACTTGCACTTTGACGTGCTTTCAAACTGCTAGGTTGGCAGAAGCTGGGACTGTGTAATGGGAGCTCACCCCGTCGTGAGGATTCGAACCACTGACCTTCGGATCGGCAAGTCCTAGGCTCTGTGGTTTAACCCACAGCACCACCTGTGTCCCTTGCCAATGCTTAATAAATTGCAAATATGGTATCTTCATCTTAGGATGCAGAGAACAGCAAAGAAACAGTTTACATGAATTTATTGTGGTCCTTTGGACTTGGGGTTCAGATTTTTCCTTGTGGAATGCAGTATTCTTTCCTTCATGTTTGAAGCCTGAAATAGCTAAGAAGAGGCATGTAAATTAATAGAGTCTTCAGGCCTTCCTAACCCCCTTGGAGTTTTTTCTTCTGAGTCAGGCTGAATTGCTGGAATCATTGGAAATCATAGAAAGATGGAAAGCTGCCTTAGGGCACATTGGACCAGTTGGTCCAGCTCATTCCAAGGTTTTAGGCAGGAATATTTCCCAGCCCTATCTGGAGATTCCAGGGATTCAACCTGGGATCCTTTGTATGCATGTGATCTACCACTGATCCACGGCCCTTTCCCACTTAGTGCTACCTATTCAAGGTTTTCCAACAGGAAGAGAAGGGGAAGGGGAATGTAGGAACGCTGGTTTTTTTCTGTTCAATACTGCTACTAACACCAATAATTCCAACAGTAAGGATTACACATTTATGCCTGCTGGTCACCCTGAAAACCTTGAAGGAGTCAGATCTGAAGCAGTTCAAGGATAAACTCAGCGTGTTCCCCTTCAAGGAAGGCTATGTCAGTATCCCCAAGGGGTTGCTGGAGGAAGCAAATCTTTGGGAGCTCACAGAATTGCTGCTTACATACTGTGCTGAGGATTATTCTGTGGAGGTGGTGTCAGAGGTGCTGAAGGCCATTGAATGTGAGCCCTTGCCAGAATGGCTCTTTCGTCTCATCGGGAAAGGTAAGGAACTTGGAAGGGAGAACATTGGCTGAGTCTGATGGTCTTCTTCTAGGAGTGGGGCTGGGTGTAAAGGAAGCTTCTTAGATGGGCTTTGGGTGTGTCTCAAATCTGTGCAGCATTCTGAATATGTATTCTGGACAAAATCGGAGGGAAGACTCTGAAATCAGTATCTCTTCAAGTTTCACAATGATTTTATAAAATCAGTGCCATCACTTCAGAACAATATTATCCCTTCCCCTCTGCTTACATATGCCTCCTGGCCCTGAAGGTTCTGGCAGAACTTCAGCTAAGCCATGGGCTTGATTAACTAAAACTGTTTGTGTGTACTCATTTTCTCAATATATCTAACAGCAGAGCAACCCGCCGAAACACATGTTTCAAGGCATCGGACAGCTGTAGTATTGTCTTCAAAAATTATTCAAGGTCTGGAGGAGCTGCTTTCATCAGAAAGAGCCACCAAAGGGTAATTTCTACACTTTACTTAAGTGACTGAAGCCACCATTTTAGCAATGTGTTTTCCCCTCTCAGTTAACACTACACCAAGCTGCACTCTCAATGCAAAACAAATGCAAAACGCTTCAATTTTAAACATTATATGACAAGAATGTTACTTGCCCAAAAATGGAAAGAAGAAGTCCAAGCAAAGGAAGAATGGATACAAAAACCTATAGAATATGCAGAAATGGAGAAACTTACCGGAAGAGTAACAAACCAAGATAACAAACTTTTTTATATAAAATAATGGAAATGGTTTATTGAATATTTACAGATAAATTGTAAACAGATAAAAATACTGGCTGGATTATTGTAATAACCTGCAGCTACGTAAGAGTATATATATAAAGAAGATAAATACATGAGCAAGTTAAATTAATCTGGATATGCAGAAAATATTAAAAATAAATTTAAGGAACTGCAGAAAGAAGGGGAAGGAAGTAAAGTTTTTAAATGTCAAAATGATTGTAAAATCAGTGAAATGTATATATCTGAAAATTATATAGGAGGCCCCATTAGCTAAAGTGGTGCTTCAGGTTAAGAACAGTTTCAGGTTAAGAACGGACCTCCGGAACGAATTAAGTACTTAACCCGAAGTACCACTGTAAATATTGTAAGTAATTTAGCAAGCTCTTCTGCTTAAAACAAATAAATGCTTTAGCACCAATTTAATAATTGTGTGTGTGCTTTTTAAAGGAAAAGGCTGCTTGGAAGAAAGAATATTTTTTAAATCACCATGTTGAACCTTTCCGTTTCCTGCCCACAGATGACTTTCTAAGTCAACCATTGGGCAGTAAAACCAAAGTGCATATTTTCTGCTGAAGCTGTCAGGCTGCCAGATACTTTTCAGGCCGTCCTCACTCCACAACCATAAAGGTGCAGAGCCGCTGGAATATAGTGAGCTGTGAAACAGGGAAGTCCGGGTTAGATTTTGCCTCTACAACGAAGCCACTGTGTGGACTGTTTCTCAGCCTCCCCCATCCTGCTCATATAAAGATAATAATGCTAAGATAAGAACTAAAGATAAGAACTGACTGGGGTTACTGGGAGGATATTCGAGGGAGTCTATTTCATAGACTCCCATCAGATGTCAAGGAAGGAAGGAAGCAACTATCTGACTTTTAGAAGAAATCTGAAGGCAGCCATGTTTAGGGAAGTTTTTAATGTTTGATGTTTTATCATGTTTTTAATATTCTCTTAGGAGCTGCCCAGAGTGGCTGGGAAAACCCAGCCAGATGGACAGGGTATAAATTTGTTGTTGTTGCTGTTGTTGTTGTTGTTGTTGTTGTTGTTGTTGTTGTTGTTCTAGAATAGGGGACAGCAGGGCAATCTTTTTACCCCTGAGGGTTGTGTGTGCAGGTGAGTAGTGTGTTGGGGGCTGCACACTTGCTCAGATATGTGCACAGACACACCCACCTTCACAATTCTCATTCCCACTCTCTCTTGCACACACCACTTTCTCCTCCGCTCATTTCACCCGTACGCTTTTAGCTCCCTCTTCACCTGCTGGCACACCTGATTATGATGGTGAAATTGCACAGCTTAAGGCTAAGAAAAGAAGGCAAGGTTCCCCAAGTCTTGGTGGGCCCCAAGGTGTGCAGCTGAGAGCTACCGATGGTCCACTGGCTGCAAGTTGGCCACCTAACCAGGTTCCAGTTCTTCCCCTGCTTCTGTTTCTGCCACAGGTCATTGAAAAGATACGCATTCTTTAGTGATGAGATGATCTGCAAGGGAGAGAACAGTTGATTGAAATTCTTGAAGAGGACCTAGACTTCGTTTTGCACACCCTACACTCTTGCTCTGTCATCACACTACAAGAATACAAGGATGTTTTCAAAATGGAGAAAGATTCTAAAGAGAAAATCAAAAAATTGCTAAGTATAATCCTGGAAAGGGGAGAACAAGCTTGTTGTCGGTTCCTGGAATGTTTAGAAATGGTACGTCCAGCTTCTGTTCTGATCCTACTATTTGCAGTACTGGGTGGATTTGACTTCATGTCATTCTTATTCCTCAAGGTCATTTTTTGCACCTTTCTTCATTTTCACAACAGTCATATTGGTTTAAAAATAAAGTCCAGGTTTCTGACCAGTCAGTGCTGCAGTCTGAATCCCTCCTATTCAGAAAGGAAACGAGGAACCAGAAAATGGAGCATTCTGAAGATCCTGGAGAAAGCGTCATGTGCATCCAGTGTCCCAGCGAGGTAAGGGTTGTACTGGCTGCATCAAAACAGGGGGCTCCATGTGCTAATAAACCATGGCAAGTGGGCAATGGGCACTTATGACACTGTGTATCCAGTTTAGTTTGGAATCTTCTTGCCTCACTCATATTTTGTGGGGGGTCCAGCTATTTGTTACATTGCAATCCTCCTGTTTCCCGGAGCTTAAATCTTTCTTCATTTGCATGCATTGTGGTACAGAACTTTCCAATACTGCCATGTCCACAGGTGTCTCCAGAAATATTTCTCTGGGTGAAAGGAGAGTGGGAGAATCTGGTATGGATGGACACCAAGTGCCAACCCACAGTGTCCCCTTCTTCCCCCTCATCAGTACTTAGGGAGGAAATGTTAATGGATGTTTGGGTTGCAGCCATGCTATAATCACCATAATGAGATATTTTGGAAGATTATATCTTCTTTTAAAGTTTTTTTTAATGGATCAGCAGTTCACACAGTATTTCAGAATTCAGCACAGGTCCAATTACTATACTAAAAATGAATACAGAATGCAGCAGGTATAAGAGCTTTTAGCAATGTGGAGCTGTGGAGTGGAGCTCAAGAAGGGATCCTTGATGTGGTCATAGTGGGTGTTTCTATTTTCAGATGGGAGGAGGAATATGGTATCAATTCGGACCCTTTATTCTTTGTTATAGGAGCTTCCAGGAAAGATAAGACCAGAGAAAGTTTGGGATTCACAAAGGAGCCATGAAACTTACAGGCGAGTAGTACTTCCTACCATCAGAGAATGGTATTCTACTATCAGAGAATGTTTTCTGCATTGCATATGGATATGGTGATGCTCCCACATTGTGATGCTCTCTAAGGCATACTCTGCTTGCCCCTGTGGGTGCACATCGCTGTGGAAGATGAGTAGTGGACATAAAGCATGTACCCCCTAACATAAATCCTGCCCCTCGCCCATGCCACAGCACAGTATCAGATGAAGAGCCAAAAGTTAAGTACCAAAATTCCAGTCAATGCTGGACTGAAATACTGCTAATGATCATTGTTATCAAGAGAGCACATTTGACATGACCCCCAAATTGCTTATAAGAGTATCAGCTGGAACAGTAGAGGAAGATGCATCAATCTCTTTCAACCCCTTTTGTCTTTCTTGCCTTCAGATTTTGCTTCACTGAAGCTGGCTCCTTCCTTTGCTGTTGTACTGACCTTATATTTAAGGTAAGGGGAGCTGTGACCATAACATACTACTTTGATTCATGGACTCAACACCTGCACGAATGGCAAATGATAGAGCTGGCTGTTGCTGGTCCTTTGCTCAACATCCGAGCGGATCCAGAAGAAGCTGTGGCAGAAGTTCACTTCCCTCACTTCTTGTGTCTTACAGGTATGGTAGGAAGAAAAGCTTCCAAGAATAGAGTGGTAATATTCATTCCTGTTTAAGATTCTTCCTTTTGTCTATCATGTACATTCCTTAATGGCTGAATAATGCTATGGGCTGGTTCGGTGGATCACAATGCTTTATCTGCCTTTTGTGGCTTCTTTTGATTTTGTAAGAATTCTGTCTTTTTGCAAGAATTCTGCTTTTTTCTTTGACTTACTCTATTTGTACTGTATGACTTGCTGTATACTGTATTTTGTCCTGTAACTTGCTTTGGGAGGGCATTGCTCTGTAATGCAGGCTTTTAAAAACACCTCTAGATTATGATAACAAAATAAACACTTAAGAACATAGAATGGGTCTGCTGGATCAGGCCAATGGCTTGACTTGCATTAAACAGGAAGGGAGAAGGGGTGAGTTTTCTCACCCAAACTCAAGTCTACAGTATAGTGAACTGTTTGCCCATGTTTCCCTTGTGTTTCTTTTCAGGGAAAGACAGTTCCCATGTCTACATAGCACATTTTGTTGAAGGAAAGATGAGACTGAAGAAGCCAGATCGCGTGCAGCCGTATCATGTTGTATTGAAAGCCCCCCGCTTCTATACCTGTGGGGTCATCTTCAAAAAGGCATTGTTTAAGCGAAAGATAATGGTCCACGCCATGGCATTGCTCTATCAGGAGCTGGAAATCTCAGTCCCAAAATTCCACCTGTACTTCCTACCCAATGACTCTTCCCTAAGAAAGGTAACTAAGAATCTCCAACTCTGATTTGTGTTCCAGGCAGGCTAGATTATTAGTCTGATTTTGATTATTAAAACAATGATACTATTGAATGTCTGTTCTGTTGGAAGTGCTGAGATGCAACTCCGTATGTGCTGAAGGCTGATGTAGCTGCATGGGTGAAAGTAGTAAGAGAGAGGACTCTCTAAGTTTTCCTAGACTGTCCTTTAACTTTGCTGACCTTCCTTCAGGCTAGAGTGAAATTCTTTGGGTTACTGATCTCTACTTCCTTCTTCTCCATGCCATCCTTGGGAGAGGAGACATCTCTTTTGGATCTCTCTCTATCCGAGATCCAGGAGTAATCAAAGGGATCCTGTGTTCCATAGATTTGGTGTCTTCCTTTCATGTCTCCAAAGTGACCATGTTTGCCGTTCTCAGAATGTCTATAAATTTGAGGAAATGTGGCCTTCAAGGAGACTGCCAAAACCCTCTGGAGCACTCAAGCCTTTGAAGATTGGCTCTCGCGTCTTCATCCAAAATTTAGATGGCGTCACAGTCTGCCCTGAGGTAGGAGACCAGAGATGATTACAGGGGTTGTCTGGAGGGAACCAAGGCTGTGAGGTTTAACAATGGGAGGAAGCAAACCAGGATCCCTTCAGTCTTTTGTTTACCCCCTTTTGAATGGTGGGGAGGTGGGGGAATTACATCGGAAGTGTTGGGATGCATCTCAGCTTGCACTTGAGGCAGATATGTCTGCATGGGGAAAGGGAGGCAGAGGAGGACAGAGACTTCCCGCTTTCCTAGATTGTCCTGTCTGACCTAACCTGTGCTGACGTCCTCTCAGGTGCTACACTGATATGTCATTTACTACTTCCTTTTTCTTCATCCTCATCTTGGTAAAGGAGACATTTTGGTGTCTCTCCTGCTGAGATGCAAAAACAACCATGGCTGTTTGCATCTCCTAAACCCAGAGTCTGGGTGTGATTATGCCCAGAGTAAAGTCTGCTAGTTCAGTTCAGCTTCTTCTCAGCATTTGGAGATAAAATGTCCATCAGTTAAGTCACATTCACACCTACAGAGCTTTTTCACAGGAACTGGAGCTTCAATACATGGAGGAGCAGTTCCTCGAAATCAGTGCTGAATTCATGCAAGGCAAGCTCAACTTCAACCTGATAGAGAGGAGCACGAATGAACTGGTCTGGGAAGCCCATGTGAGGCAAGGTGAGCTTTGGCTGAGGGAGGACCACAAGGTTGGGCCATAGCTCAGGAGGCAGGCTGGAAAGGACATCCCATCTGACTGCCTCTTTCCTGGTCTCTTTCAGAGGAGCTGAAGTTTTCAGGCCCACATCCAGAACAAGGTCAGTAGGAGAGATGAGATGGCTCTACCATGAGGTTGACCAAGGCTGAGCTTTTGGGGTTGGAACAGACTTTGGAAGTCACCAAGGCCAACCTGCTGCTCAATGTGCTCTCAACAACACTGAAGAAATACTCTCTTTTTTTAAGGATTAAGAGGATGTTTCTAAAATCATAGTGGGTAGTAGTGATCACCTGGTTTCTGTTCAGTGTCTTAATCAGGTTACATAGGGGGTATTTTCTGGTTTGCCTCAGGTAGAAAAATGTATTGGGCCAACCCTGAGACAGAAACATGGCATTAGCCACAATCCACACCAGAGGCGAATTTTGGGCAGTGAGACTGGTTCCTAGAGGGTACTGCAGGGCTTTGCAACTGTAACATAGTGAATTGAGTAGTATGGAAAGAGAGAGGTGAGGGAATTTTGGCCTCACACAAGGCGCTCCTCTTCACATCCTATGGGTTCTTAAGAAATACTGTATTTTTATGTGTTCACCCTGCAAACCAACTTCCAAAAGTCATAGCAGGCAAATAATTGTCATTCTTTTACAGCACCACACTCAGAATCCCCCTTATATGAAGGGGAACAAAGAAGCATGAAGATGGAGAACCCAGTAGGTTCTGGGGAGATTATCACAAGCAACTGGTGTCTCAGTGAGGTAAAGGGTGGGCATTCTTCTCATTTGCATTGACCACCCATGATAATGAAGCCTATATTGGTACTTCTAACAGAAAGGTTCTGAATTTGAATTTCTTGTGCACTGTAGAAAAGCCCTTGCCCCTCTTTAGGTATTTTTGTACATTAATTAATCATCTTGCTAGTTGGCACTAATTGCTGGTATTGAGCCACAAGGCTGTTTCCAAACAGGTTGCTCCTAGTGCTTAAAAAAATCATCAAAAAACAAAGCATTGCATTTCTGCACAATTGTAATTATGTGATTCCAATTTCATGTGGAATCTTCTTGCCTTGCTGTGCTTACATTTAGTTGGGAATCATCTTGCTTTGCTCATATTTACAGAGGGAAGGAAGCATGAAGATGGAGAACTCAGCAGGTTCTGGGGAAAGTGTGCCGTGTGGCCGGTGTCCCAGTGAGGTAAGAGGCTGACCTGTCTTGATGTGCATTTCCCGCCCACAGGAATAAGGTACACAATGATATTTTTAACATGAAGCCACTGAATTTAAATTTCTAGTCCCCTAAGGTTAGCAACTATCCCATCTTAGGTAATTATTTACATATTTGTTATTCAAAGCTAGAGTCTGGTAGCAGGAAATAAGGCTGCATCTAAACAGCTGTTTCCTTGTGCTACTAACTCATGGTGAGAGTCATTGCAATGCACACCTAGCACACTGTGTTTCCATTTAGTTGGGAATCATCTTGCCTCGCTCTTATCTTACGGGCGGTCCAGTTGATGTAACATTTCAAATTGTCCCATATTTTCCAGTGCTTAAACACTTTCCATCTAAAAAGATCATTGCACTACTGCAGAACTCTAATGCTGTGATTCCGGTTTAGTGTGGAATCTTCCTGTGTCACATCTGTTTTAGAAGGGTGTGGTCTCAAGGGTCTTAGGAACAGACAATAACGTCCTGTTTCCAGATGGGATGTGGATTCTGGCATCTACATGAATGATTATGGTTTCATTATAGGATCTTCCAGAAAAAATAAAACCAGAGGTGGTTTGGGACTCAGAAAGGGGCCATGAAGCTTACAGGTGTGTGATCTCTCTCTCTCGCTATCTCTCTATCTCTATCATCTCTATCATCTCTATCTCTCTCAGACCTTTTGAAACATTATCCCCTCAGGGAGTGGTTTCTACTTTGAATTGTCCAACAGAGCACATCTGGTTTCTGTGGGTCTCACAGTCACCACATATGGTGGTTCTTGGTAAAACTTATGCAGAGTACATCTGTGATCTGCATATTGCAGTGAACGGTCAGTTGTGGTGGACAAATTCTCTCTGAAGGAAGCTTAACCACCATTCCTGATGTCTTGACTGAGGAATTCCTTGGTTCCATGGAGCAGAGCTGGAAAAAAACATTACATTGAAGCACTGCTGTTGCTAACTTCCAGTTGCTTATATCCCGCCCCCTTTTCAGGTTGGGGTAGCATCAAAAGAAGGATGCAGAGTTTGAGAAAGGTGAAAAATCTGGAGTCTGGATTTTTGGAGGAATTGTTGTTTCTCTTCCTTAAAAATATTCCACCTTTCTCCCAAGGAGTTCAAGTTGGCATGCATGGTTTTCCCCTCTCCATTTTCCCCTCACAACTCTGTGAGGTACCGTACTTTAGGCTAAGAGGCAGTGACTGGCCCAAGATAACCCAATGAGTTTCTTGAAGCAAGGGAGTCATTTCAGCTCCTCTTGTCCCCTGTCCCTTCCTTGGCATTATTGCCATGGCCCCAAAATCAATTTCTCTTGTTCTTCTCTAGTAGTTTTTGTGGGATGTAATCCACCAGAGCAGTCAAGTACAACATTGCCTGTTTTGCTAGAGTGGACATGCAGGGGAATGTTGGGTCCAGCCAGCTGAACTTCCTGTTGCACTTGGCTGGAGCATCCTTCCTCTTGCATGTGACTAGCAGGTGGTTGTGACCTTACCGACCTGATAAGAGGCCAAGTCATGCACCCGTCCTCTCTCTCTCACCTTTCACCTTCGACCTGCTTCCAGCTTGGACTGCACTGCTGGCTCTCAGCCAGCACTGGGTTATTCCCAGATATGGGGTAAATGCACATTGTACATACTTGTAACTTTAAGCCTTAAGCCTGCCTTCAGGATTCACACCGTGTTCTCTTTGAATGTAAGTAAACGACTTTTTAGCACTTATGAATAAGACTGCAGTGTCTTTATTCTTTTAGGAGGGATTAAAGGGGTCTTTAATCAGCCAACCTAGCAAATCAAAGTGCAAGTGGATAAATAGGTACCGCTCTGTCGGGAAGGTAAATGGCATTTCCGTGCACCACTCTGGTGTTGCCAAAAGCGGTTTAGTCATGCTGGCCACATGACCCAGAAAAACTGTCTGTGGACAAATGCCGGCTCTCTCGGCCAGTAAAGCAAGATGAACACCGCAACCCCAGAGTCGTCTTTGTCTAGACTTAACTGTCAGGGGTCCTTTACCTTTACCTAAAGGGGTCTTACCAGGTATAATAGAATACATCTCAATCTGGACAAGCCGGATTGAATTGCCTATAGTCTTAAGAGACTCACACGAGTCTGCAACCAGTTTCTGCTGCGTAAGAAGGGGAATGCACTTTGCTAAATAAAGAAACTTGCTAGCGCAAGTTAGGATATTAATAATCAATAGACCCTCTCTTGCCACCCTCAACATTCCCACAGTTTGGTTCAACAACCCAAATGTCAGCTATTCAAAGGCAAATTTAGGGGAGCACGGCCAGTTCAGCTGCACTGGGTGTGGAGCCTGAGGGTCTCTGCAAGAGATGCCACAAATATTATTCAGAATGGAGTGCGAAAGGCATGGGTAAAGTGCTGAATTTTGGCATTGCTCAGGGAGCTGCTGAAATTTGAGATCCCAAGGTACACCGAGTGGGGTCCCCTTTTCCTTTTCATCTTTCTCTTTGTGCCATTCAGAGTGCGCTCGACTGAGGCTGGCTCCTTCCATTGCGATGATACTGGTCTCATATGTGAAGTGAAAGAAGCTGTGACCTTAACATACTACTTTGATTCATGGCCGAAGCTCCTGGAAGAACAGAACACTGAGGAGTTGCATGTCGCTGGCCCTCTGCTTAACTTTAAGGTGGATGCAGCAGAGGCTGTGGCATCCATTTGCATCCCTCACTTCTTGTGCCTTGAAGGTATGTCAGGGGAGAAGTTTCCAGCATTATAACCATAATAGGAGGAGTCCTAAATGTCCATTGATGTTTCCAGAATGCTATGGGTGGGTTCTAGAGGTCAGGAGTGCTGGCATACCAGACTTTTGTGATTTGTTTCAATTTTTCAAACTGTTCCAACTGTGCTGTTTTATTATTTTCTGTGATTTGCATTCTGTTTTAAGCTGCCATGCAAGCATATTGTCCTGTGAAATGATGTTATAAACCTCTTAAATTACAATGAGAAAATGAATACTTGCATGAAATAGGGAGGATTAAGTGATGATATTTTTGTCACTTTCCCACTTCTAACATGCTTGTCTTTTCAGGTGACGACAGTTCCCATGTCTACATTGCACATTTTGTTGAAGGGGAGATGAGGCTGGAGAAGCCAGACAGAGTGGAGCCTCACCATGCTGTGTTGGAGAACCCCAAGTTCTCTTCCCTAGGAGTCGTTTTCAAAAAAGTGGTTTAAGCAAAAGATCAACACTGTCGTACTGCTCTATCATAGGCTTCAGCTGGAAACGCCAACATTTCACCTGTACGTCCTGCCCAATGACCCTTCAATAATAAAGGTAACCAGGAACCTCCATCTCTGGTATTCCCGATTGCCTGGATCATTTGCTTGATCATATTAACCCCGACTATGCACAATTGTTGGACTTGATCTCTTCTACCCAACATCAACATGCCAGTAGAGAGTTGCCCAATGGGTTACTTAGCTTCCCACCAGCACTGTTGGTTTAAAGTGATTTTTCCAATATTGAAATATGCCCTTTTCATTTGTTACACAGCCTGTCTGGTTCTCTAAACAAACGGGTTGTCACTGACTTGTGAAATCCTAAGCACATTCTCCTGGAAGCCTTCATTGAAATCAGTAACACTTCCTTCAGAGTAAACGTATTTAGCAATGAACAAATACTGCTTCGTTCATTAAGGAATCAGCTTGGTAGTTATGAGCTTTCTCAGATAACTCCTGAGGAAAAACATTCTTCCTGATTTGCAGTGTTGGCACATGGGAGATAAAGCACACTATCATATTGCCTTCTCAATTTAAACTTTTCCTTAAAATGTCTTCTTATGCTTCATTCAAATAATGAAGTTTCATGGCTTCTGTGGTTTCCTGCATGGTCTCATCAAGAGAAGATGCAGGTGGACCCAGGATTCATGGTACCTCTTGGCCACTTCATAGTCCAGGCTGCCCAGTCCAAGAGCCTTGGCTTCCTTCAGTTCCTCATGAGGCCAGGAAATCTCCGCTCCACATTTTAGTTTCTATTGCCATAGTGGTTTAATTTTCTTTATATTGCATATGGAGAATCTGTGTCTCTGCAGATGTGCTTGAACTATGAAACCCATCATCCTTGGCCCATGCTTGTTGGGAAGGATATGAGTCCAACAACATCTGGAGGACACCAGGTTCCCCATTCCTGCATTACCTGGTGCTACAATGCCAAGAATGTTGTAGGCATCTAGTCTTCCAAAAATTTTGTTCCCTCTCTGTGTATGTCAAAAAGTGACTTTCTTTACCCTTCCCAGGCGGTCGATAAGCATGAAGTAAATTCAAAGAGAATAGAGAAACCCCCTGTGACCCTGAAACCTCTGATGATTGGCTCTCAGGTCTCTCTTAGTACTCCAGAGGATGTCACAGTGAATCCTGAGGTGAGACATGAAGATGATGGTGGTTTTTTGATGGGGCAGAACCAAGACTGTGAAGTCTAAGAATGGGAGAAATTCAACGAGGATCCTTCTTCACCCTTTAATCTAACTCCCTTGGAATGGTGGGTTGGGCCAAACCAGATTCACACCTACAGAGGTTTCATTCTTTCCCACAGGAACTGCATTTTCAATACCTGGATGCAGAGAAACTGCAGCAGTACGTAGAACTGTCTGCTGAACAAATGCAAGAGAAGTTCAACTTCTACCTGATGAAGAAGGGCACGACTGAAGTTGTTTGGAAGGCCCATTTAAAAAAAAGTGAGTTTTGAACAAGGGATGATCGTGAGGTTGAGTCATATCTTGGGAGGCAGGATGGAAAAGGACCACGGGTCACATTCCCTCTTTGACTGACTTTTTCTTCTTGATTTTCAGATGAGTTAACTTCAGGGCAGATGGCTTCTCCTATTATATACCCAGCACAAGGTCAGCAGGTTTAATTGTTTCTTTCATTGTACTTGTATCTTATCTTCCTCCCAATAGGAAGTGCTGGTGATACAGTAGAAACATACACTGCACAAAAATGAAAAATAACTTTGTACAGTGGTACCTTGGTTCTCAAATGCCTAGGTTCTCAAATGCCAAAAACCCGGAAGTAAGTGTTCTGGTTTTCGAACAATTTTCGGAAACCGAACATCTGATGCGGCTGTCGCCTATTGTTTCTGGGGCGCCTGCACCAATCAGAAGCTGTTCCTAGGTTTTCAAACATTTTGGAAGTTAAACGGACTTTCGGAATGGATTAAGTTTGGCACTTTTGTTTCTGCTACCTTATTTTGCATTTTTGGTTTTGAGGCTTTTCCGGTTAATTTGTTTTTGTGACTGTGGAACCCAATTCAGCTACTTGATTGATGTGATTGATTGATTGATTGTGTGACTGCAGAAATGGATAAAAGCCCCCCCATCCAAACAATGGCTATCATCAGTGCAGGTAAGAATTTTTATTTTTTTTTAATCATCTACAATACTGTCTTACTTTTTTATAGTACAGTACATTGATTATTAGGGACGTGGGTGGCACTGTGGGTTAAACCACAGAGCCTAGGACTTGCCGATCAGAAGGTCAGCGGTTTGAATCCCCGCGATGGGGTGAGCTCCCATTGCCCGATCCCTGCTCCTGCCAACCTAGCAGTTCGAAAGCACATCAAAGTGCAAGTAGATAATTAGGTACCGCTCCGGCGGGAAGGTAAATGGCATTTCCTGTGCGCTGCTCTGGTGCGCCAGAAGTGGCTTAGTCATGCTGGCCACATGACCCGGAAGCTGTACGCCAGCTCCCTTGGCCGATAAAGCGAGATGAGCGCCCGCAACCCCAGAGTCGGTCACGACTGGACCTAATGGTCAGGGGTCCCTTTACCTTACCTTACCTTACCTTACATTGATTACTGCTTTCATTTTATGGACCAATTATCTCGTTAGATAGTAAAATTCATGTTAAATTGCTGTTTTAGGGGTTGTTTTTTAAAAAGTCTGGAATGGATGAATCCATTTTGCATTACTTTCTATAGGAAAGTGCACCTTTTGTTTTGGAATGCATTGGTTTTGGAACCGACTTCCGTAACGGATTGAGTTTGAGAACCAAGGGTACCACTGTAACTTTATTCAACAGCCTTCTTAGACAAGGTTGTCTGGGCTTATTGTTTTGTTTGCTGCCAGATGAAGATCTTTCAACTCACCTAGGTTTTTAAGAACATTTTTTACCCAGATGCAACTAACCTGACATGGCATCAGAAGGGCTCCCACTAATGCAATGGGGCTTTCTCCCTCAATATCCCCCTTGTCCCTCTCCCTCAAAGTCCTCTCTGGAGGGTCACAATAATCCGCAGAACACAGTTCAGAGGGAAACTAAGAGAATTGTTCCATCCGGCAAGCAGAACAGCTTTTGCTGACATTGATCTCCTCACTCTAGGTTTGCTCACTTCATAGTTCAGGCTGCCCAGTCCAAGAGCCTTGGCTTCCTTCAGTTCCTCATGAGGCCAGGAAATCTCGCTCCACATTTTAGTTTCTATTGCCATAGTGGTTTAATTTTCTTTATATTGCATATGGAGAATCTTGTTCTCTGCAGATGTGCTTGAACTATGAAACCCATCATCCTTGGCCCATGCTTGTTGGGGAGGATATGAGTCCAACAACATCTGGAGGACACCAGGTTCCCATTCCTGCATTACCTGGTGCTACAATGCCAAGAATGTTGTAGGCATCTAGTCTTCCAAAATTTTGGTCCCTCTCTGGTATGTCAAAAGTGACTTTCTTTACCCTTCCCAGGCGGTCGATAAGCTGAAGTAAATTCAAAGAGAATAGAGAAACCCCCTGTGACCCTGAAACCTCTGATGATTGGCTCTCAGTCTCTCTTAGTACTCCAGAGGATGTCACAGTGTATCCCGAGGTGAGACATGAAGATGATGGTGGTTTTTTGATGGGAGAAACCAAGACTGTGAAGTCTGAGAATGGGAGAAATTCAAGAGGATCCTTCTTCACCCTTTATCTAACTCCCTTGGAATGTGGGTTGGGCCAAACCAGATCACACCTACAGAGGTTTCATTCTTTCCCACAGGAACTGCATTTCAATACCTGGATGCAGAGAAACGCAGCAGTACGTAGAACTGTCTGCTGAACAAATGCAAGAGAAGTTCAACTTCTACCTGATGAAGAAGGGCACGACTGAAGTTGTTTGGAAGGCCCATTTAAAAAAAAGTGAGTTTTGAACAAGGGTGATCGTGAGGTTGAGTCATAATAATAATAATAATAATAATAATTATTATTTATACCCCCGCCCATCTGGCTGGGCCTCCCCAGCACTCTGGGCGGCTTCCCATAAAAACCAAAATACAGTAAAATATCACACGTTAAAAACTTCCCTGAACAGGGCTGCCTTAAGATGTCTCCTGAATGTCAGGTAGTTGTTTATCGCTTTGACATCGCTGGAAGGGCGTTCCACAGGGCGGGCGCCACTACCGAGAAGGCCTCTGCCTGGTTCCCTGTAGCTTTGCTTCTCGCAGTGAGGGAACCGCCAGAAGGCCCTCGGCGCTGGCCTCAAGCGTCCGGGCAGACTGATGGGGGTGGAGACGCTCCTTCAGGTATACTGGACCGAGGCCGTTTAGGGCTTTAAAGGTCAGCACCAACACTTTGAATTGTGCTCGGAAACGTACTGGGAGCCAATGCAGGTCTTTCAAGACCGTGTTATATGGTCTCGGCGGCCGCTCCCAGTCACCCAGTCTAGCTGCCGCATTCTGGATTAGTTGCAGTTTCCGAGTCACCTTCAAAGGTCCCCGAGCCCAGCTGCAATCTATCCAAGTGGCCCATAACCGCAGGGCCACTCAGCCACGACCGAACTGCACACTCTGGCGAGACAGTCCGCAGGCAGATCCAGGGTCTCAGCCTACGTACCAGATGGAGCTGGTAAACAGCTGCCCTGGACACAGTCTTGCCTCCATGGACAGCTGTGAGTCCCAAAATGACTCCCCAGGCTGCCGCACCTGTCCTTCAGGGGCACCCAGTTACCCCCATTCAGGACCAGGGAATCCTCCACCCTGCCCGCCTCCTGTCCCCCAACAACAGTACTTCTGTCTTGTCAGATTCAACCTCATCTGTTAGCCGCCATCCACTCTCCAACCGCCTCCAGACACTCCACAGGACCTTCACCGCCTTCACTGGTTCTGATTTAAAAAGAGAGGTCAGAGCTGGGTGTCATCCGCATACTGATGAACACCCAGCCCAAACCTCCTGATGATCTCTCCCAGCGGCCGCATGTAGATGTTGAAAAGCATGGGGGAGAGGACAGAACCCTGAAGCACCCCACAAGTGAGAGCCCAGGGGTCTGAACACTCATCCCCACACACCACTTTCTGAACACGGCCCCAGGAGAGAAAGAGGAAAAGCAGACGGAAATCGATACTGTATAACAGTGCCCCAGCTCCCAGCCCCTCAAGACGGTCCAGCAGAAGGATGTTATGGTCAATGGTATCAAAAATGCGCTGAGAGATCCAGCAGAACTAGGAAACAGCTCTCACCTTTTTCCCTAAGCCCGCGCTGAACTTCCTGTTGCACTTGGCTGGAGCATCCTTCCTCTTGCAAGTGGACTAGCAGGTGGTTGTGACCTTACCAGACCTGATAAGAGGCCAAGTCATGCACCCGTCCTCTCTCTTTCACCTTTCACCTTCGACCTGCTTCCAGCTTGGACTGCACTGCTGGCTCTCAGCCAGCACTGGATCATTGCCCGATATGGGGTAAATGCACATTGTACATACTTGTAACTTTAAGCCTTAAGCCTGCCTTCAGGATTCACACCGTGTTCTCTTTGAATGTAAGTAAACGACTTTTTAGCACTTATGAATAAGACTGCAGTGTCTTTATTCTTTAGGAGGGATTAAAGGGGTCTTTAATCAGCCAACCTTGCAGGTCAAAGTGCCAGTGGATAAATAGGCACTGCTCTGGCAGGAAGGTAAATGGCATTTCCGTGCGCCGCTCTGGTTTTGCCAAAAGCAGTTTAGTCATGCTGGCCACATGACCCAGAAAAACTGTCTGCGGACAAATGCCGGCTCTCTCGGCCAGTAAAGCAAGATGAACACCGCAACCCCAGAGTCGTCTTTGACTGGACTTAACTGTCAGGGGTCCTTTACCTTTACCTAAAGGGGTCTTACCAGGAATAATAGAATACATCTCAATCTGGACAAGCCAGATTGAATTGCCTATAGTCTTAAGAGACTCACACGAGTCTGCAACCAGTTTCTGCTGCATAAGAAGGGGAATGCACTTTGCTAAATAAAGAAACTTGCTAGCGCAAGTTAGGATATTAATAATCAATATACCCTCTCTTGCCACCCTCAACATTCCCACAGTTTGGTTCAACAACCCAAATGTCAGCTATTCAAAGGCAAATTTAGGGGAGCACGGCCAGTTCAGCTGCACTGGGTGTGGAGCCTGAGGGTCTCTGCAGGAGATGCCACAACTATTATTCAGAATGGAGTGCGAGAGGCATGGGTAAGGTGCTGAATTTTGGCATTGCTTAGGGAGCTGCTGAAATTTGAGATCCCAAGGTACACCGAGTGGGGTCCCCTTTTCCTTTTCATCTTTCTCTTTGTGCCATTCAGAGTGCGCTCGACTGAGGCTGGCTCCTTCCATTGCGATGATACTGGTCTCATATGTGAAGTGAAAGAAGCTGTGACCTTAACATACTACTTTGATTCATGGCCGAAGCTCCTGGAAGAACAGAACACTGAGGAGTTGCATGTCGCTGGCCCTCTGCTCAACTTTAAGGTGGATGCAGCAGAGGCTGTGGCATCCATTTGCATCCCTCACTTCTTGTGCCTTGAAGGTATGTCAGGGGAGAAGTTTCCAGCATTATAACCATAATAGGAGGAGTCCTAAATGTCCATTGATGTTTCCAGAATGGTCAGGAGTGCTGGCATACCAGACTTTGTGATTTGTTTCAATTTTTCAAAATGTTCCAACTGTGCTGTTTTATTATTTTCTGTGATTTGCATTCTGTTTTAAGCTGCCATGCAAGCACATTGTCCTGTGAAATGATGTTATAAACCTCTTAAATGACAATGAGAAAATGAATACTTGCATGAAATAGGGAGGGTTAAGTGATGATATTTTTGTCACTTTCCCACTGCTAACATGTTTGTCTTTTCAGGTGAAGATAGTTCCCATGTCTACATTGCACATTTTGTTGAAGGGGAGATGAGGCTGGAGAAGCCAGACAGAGTGGAGCCTCACCATGCTGTGTTGGAAAACCCCAAGTTCTCTTCCCTTGGAGTCGTTTTCAAAAAGTGGTTTAAGCAAAAGATCAACACTGTTGTACTGCTCTATCATAGGCTTCATCTGGAAACGCCAACATTTCACCTGTACCTTCTGCCCAACGACCCTTCGATAATAAAGGTAACCAGGAATCTCCATCTCTGGTATTCCCGATTGCCTGGATCATTTGCTTGATCATATTAACCCCGACTATGCACAATTGTTGGACTTGATCTCTTCTACCCAACATCAACATGCCAGTAGAGAGAAGATTAACAAGTTGCCCAGTGCGGGTTACTTAGCTTCCCACCAGCACTGTTGGTTTAAAGTGATTTTTCCAATATTGAAATATGCCCTTTTCATTTGTTACACAGCCTGTCTGGTTCTCTAAACAAACGGGTTGTCACTGACTTGTGAAATCCTAAGCACATTCTCCTGGAAGCCTTCATTGAAATCAGTAACACTTCCTTCAGAGTAAACGTATTTAGCAATGAACAAATACTGCTTCTTTCATTAAGGAATCAGCTTGGTAGTTACGAGCTTTCTCAGATAACTCCTGAGGAAAAACATTCTTCCTGATTTGCAGTGTTGGCACATGGGAGATAAAGCACACTATCATATTGCCTTCTCAATTTAAACTTTTCCTTAAAATGTCTTCTTATGCTTCATTCAAATAATGAAGTTTCATGGCTTCTGTGGTTTCCTGCATGGTCTCATCAAGAGAAGATGCAGGTGGACCCAGGATTCATGGTACCTCTTGGCCACTTCATAGTTCAGGCTGCCCAGTCCAAGAGCCTTGGCTTCCTTCAGTTCCTCATGAGGCCAGGAAATCTCTGCTCCACATTTTAGTTTCTATTGCCATAGTGGTTTAATTTTCTTTATATTGCATATGGAGAATCTATGTCTCTGCAGATGTGCTTGAACTATGAAACCCATCATCCTTGGCCCATGCTTGTTGGGGGAGGATATGAGTCCAACAACATCTGGAGGACACCAGGTTCCCCATTCCTGCATTACCTGGTGCTACAATGCCAAGAATGTTGTAGGCATCTAGTCTTCCAAAAATTTTGGTCCCTCTCTGCGTATGTCAAAAGTGACTCTCTTTACCCTTCCCAGGCGGTCGATAAGCGTGAAGTAAATTCAAAGAGAATAGAGAAACCCCCTGTGACCCTGAAACCTCTGATGATTGGCTCTCAGGTCTCTCTTAGTACTCCAGAGGATGTCACAGTGTATCCCGAGGTGAGACATGAAGATGATGGTGGTTTTTTGATGGGGCAGAACCAAGACTGTGAAGTCTGAGAATGGGAGAAATTCAATGAGGATCCTTCTTCACCCTTTGATCTGACTCCCTTGGAATTGGTGGGTTGGGCCAAACCAGATTCACACCTACAGAGGTTTCATTCTTTCCCACAGGAACTGCATCTTCAATACCTGGATGCAGAGAAACTGCAGCAGTACGTAGAACTGTCTGCTGAACAAATGCAAGAGAAGTTCAACTTCTACCTGATGAAGAAGGGCACGACTGAAGTTGTTTGGAAGGCCCATTTAAAAAAAAGTGAGTTTTGAACAAGGGGTGATCGTGAGGTTGAGTCATAATAATAATAATAATAATAATAATTTATTATTTATACCCCGCCCATCTGGCTGGGCCTCCCCAGCCACTCTGGGCGGCTTCCATAAAAACCAAAAATACAGTAAAATATCACACGTTAAAAACTTCCCTGAACAGGGCTGCCTTAAGATGTCTCCTGAATGTCAGGTAGTTGTTTATCGCTTTGACATCTGCTGGAAGGGCGTTCCACAGGGCGGGCGCCACTACCGAGAAGGCCCTCTGCCTGGTTCCCTGTAGCTTTGCTTCTCGCAGTGAGGGAACCGCCAGAAGGCCCTCGGCGCTGGACCTCAGCGTCCGGGCAGACTGATGGGGGTGGAGACGCTCCTTCAGGTATACTGGACCGAGGCCGTTTAGGGCTTTAAAGGTCAGCACCAACACTTTGAATTGTGCTCGGAAACGTACTGGGAGCCAATGCAGGTCTTTCAAGACCGGTGTTATATGGTCTCGGCGGCCGCTCCCAGTCACCAGTCTAGCTGCCGCATTCTGGATTAGTTGCAGTTTCCGAGTCACCTTCAAAGGTAGCCCCACGTAGAGTGCATTGCAGTAGTCCAAGCGGGAGATAACCAGAGCATGCACCACTCTGGCGAGACAGTCCGCAGGCAGATAGGGTCTCAGCCTACGTACCAGATGGAGCTGGTAAACAGCTGCCCTGGACACAGATTTGACCTGTGCCTCCATGGACAGCTGTGAGTCCAAAATGACTCCCAGGCTGCGCACCTGGTCCTTCAGGGGCACAGTTACCCCATTCAGGACCAGGGAATCCTCCACACCTGCCCGCCTCCTGTCCCCCAAAAACAGTACTTCTGTCTTGTCAGGATTCAACCTCAATCTGTTAGCCGCCATCCATCCTCCAACCGCCTCCAGACACTCACACAGGACCTTCACCGCCTTCACTGGTTCTGATTTAAAAGAGAGGTAGAGCTGGGTGTCATCCGCATACTGATGAACACCCAGCCCAAACCTCCTGATGATCTCTCCCAGCGGCCGCATGTAGATGTTGAAAAGCATGGGGGAGAGGACAGAACCCTGAGGCACCCCACAAGTGAGAGCCCAGGGGTCTGAACACTCATCCCCACCACCACTTTCTGAACACGGCCCAGGAGGAAAGAGAGAAACAACTGTATAACAGTGCCCCCAGCTCCCAGCCCCTCAAGACGGTCCAGAAGGATGTTATGGTCAATGGTATCAAATGCCGCTGAGAGATCCAGCAGAACTAGGAAACAGCTCTCACCTTTGTCCCTAGCCCGCCGGAGATCATATCTTGGGAGGCAGGATGGAAAAGGACCACGGGTCACATTCCCTCTTTGACTGACTTTTTCTTCTTGATTTTCAGATGAGTTAACTTCAGGGCAGATGGCTTCTCCTATTATACACCCAGCACAAGGTCAGCAGGTTTTAATTGTTTCTTTCATTGTACTTGTATCTTATCTTCCTCCCAATAGGAAGTGCTGGTGACACAGTAGAAGATACACTGCACAAAAATGAAAACTAACTTTTGTACAGTGGTACCTTGGTTCTCAAATGCCAAAAACCCGGAAGTAAGTGTTCTGGTTTTCGAACAATTTTCGGAAACCGAACATCTGATGCGGCTGTCAGCTATTGTTTCTGGGGTGCCTGCACCAATCAGAAGCTGCGCCTAGGTTTTCAAACATTTTGGAAGTTAAACGGACTTTCGGAATGGATTAAGTTTGGCACTTTTGTTTCTGCTATTTATTTTGCATTTTGGTTTTTGAGGCTTTTCCGGTTAATTTGTTTTTGTGACTGTGTGGAACCCAATTCAGCTACTGATTGATTGATTGATTGATTGATTGATTGATTGTGTGACTGCAGAAATGGATAAAAGCCCCCCATCCAAATAATGGCTATCATCAGTGCAGGTAAGATTTTTTTTTTTTATCATCTACAATATTGTCTTACTTTTTTTATAGTACAGTACATTGATTATTAGGGACGTGGGTGGCACTGTGGGTTAAACCACAGAGCCTAGAACTTGCCGATCAGAAGGTCAGCGGTTCGAATCCCCGTGATGGGGTGAGCTCCCATTGCCCGATCCCTGCTCCTGCCCACCTAGCAGTTTGAAAGCACATCAAAGTGCAAGTAGATAATTAGGTACCGCTCCGGCGGGAAGGTAAACGGTGTTTCCGTGCGCTGCTCTGGTGCGCCAGAAGTGGCCTAGTCATGCTGGCCACATGACCCGGAAGCTGTACACCAGCTCCCTTGGCCAATAAAGCGAGATGAGCGCCGCAACCCCAGAGTCGGTCACGACTGGACCTAATGGTCAGGGGTCCCTTTACTTTACCTTACCTTACCTTACCTTACCTTACCTTACCTTACCTTACCTTACCTTACCTTACATTGATTACTGCTTTCATTTTATGGACCAATGATCTCGTTAGATAGTAAAATTCATGTTAAATTGCTGTTTTAGGGGTTGTTTTTAAAAGTCTGGAATGGATTAATCCATTTTGCATTACTTTCTACGGGAAAGTGCACCTTTTGTTTTGGAATGCTTTGGTTTTGGAACCGACTTCCGTAACAGATTGAGTTTGAGAACCAAGGTACCACTGTAACTTTATTCAACAGCCTTCTTAGACAAGGTTGTCTGGGCTTATTGTTTTGTTTGGTGCCAGATGAAGATCTTTCAACTCACCTAGGTTTTTAAGAACATTTTTTACCCAGATGCAACTAACCTGACATGGCATCAGAAGGGCTCCCACTAATGCAATGGGGCTTTCTCCTCAATATCCACCTTGTCCCTCTCCCTCAAGTCCTCTCTGGAGGGTCACAATAATCCGCAGAACACAGTTCAGAGGGAAACTAAGAGAATTGTTCCATCTGGCAAGCAGAACAGCTTTTGCTGACATTGATCTCCTCACTCTAGGTTTTACAGTGTGAGCTTCTCAATTTTAAAGTGAGTGGCAGTTCTTAAAATATGAACTGTTACTTGCTCTTGTTGTCATTTGTGATGAAGTGATACTGTAAGCATAATTCATAAATCTGTGAGACAACGTTCCATAACTTTGTCTTCTTCCAAGGACAGAGGCCTTGTGGATAAGGTTTTCATGGCATCATCATCATCATAAATTTTATTTATATCCAGCCCTCCCCGTCCAGGACTGGGCTCAGGGTGGCTAACATCAAAGTATATAATACATTAAAACATAAAGTCAAACAATTGATTAAAATACAGCTTAAAAACAAGTTAAGATCAGAATGATGGCAACCCACGAATTATAACTATAGGGGTTGGGAACATTAAGGGCTCACCAGGCCCAGTTCTTTGTACTGGTCTTATATGACCCGGCTGAAGGAGTGAGAGAGGTCACTTACATGCAGGGTCTTGTAAAAAGAGGGGGGGTCAGACTGGGCCCAGACCAAAGGCCTGGAGGAACAACTCCATCTTGCAGGCCCTGCAGAAAGATGTCAAGTGCCGCAAGGCCCTGGTCTCTTGCGACATAGCGTTCCACCAGGCTGGGGCCAGGGCCGAGAAGGCCAGTCTAACCTCCTTGAGGCCCGGGACCTCCAAGGTGTTATTGTTTGTGGACTGTAAGGGCCTCCGCGAGGCATACCAGGAGAGGAGGTCCCATAAGTATGAGGGTCCTAGGCCATATGGGGATAGTGGAATTTGGATAGTGCCTCTGTGGAAGAAAGCTGGGTTCAGTAATGATAACAACAATAATAATAGAAGCATAGAATTTGTAGAGTTTGGAGGGATTCCAAGTGTCATTCAGTCCCACCCTCTATCAATTCCTGGGCTTTAAAGTAAGAAAAGATAAAGCTAAATATAATACTATGTGAAATAGTAATGAATTAATTGCCTGACAATTTGCTGTTGTTTATGATACCCCAAATTATGATGCCACCTCACTCTCCCTAATGGTAGGGCTGGCCCCAGCCTTGGCTCCCTTCCAACAGCTCTCACTTATTTCAGTTTTATACTTCTTCAACAGTTATGGCTTTGCCCAGTGAATTCTGGGAATTTTAGGCAGGTTAGCTACTAGGAATGCTCTGTTCACGATCCCTCCCCTCATGGAACTACAATTCCCAGGGCATGGGGGAAGAGGTAATGAGTTGGGGAACCAGTCTTAAGCCTGCAGTGTGAACCTGTAGCAAGATTTCCATTCTTTCTCTCTTTCCTGGCAGGGCCGCTGTTTCCAAACTCTTCCAACGTGCACTTCATCGAGCGGCACAGGGAGGCGTTAATCCAACGGACCATCCCAGTGGAACCAGTGCTGGATAGTTTGCATGACTCCGTCCTCAGTGAGGAGCAATACCAAAAAATCACTGCCAAGGAAACTAACCCAGACAAGATGCGAGAGCTCTACAAGCTTGTGCCAAGCTGGGACCTCCAGTGCAAGAATAAGCTGTATGAGGCACTGAAGGCCAAAAATCCACATCTCGTGAAAGACCTGGAAGGGCAGTGAGGCCCCAAGGGAAGGCAGAAGACAAGACCCTTTTCAAGGCACCACAAATCCACCTCCTTATTGCTAGGGGACTCCTGAAGACAAAGCCATACCATGTATTTTCCCAAGAACTTACATGCATACCCTCCAATATTCCCATAAGAACTGGAGTGTGATTGGAGGAGGCTGTTCTCTACTCTGTCAAGTATGTCACCCCTTTGCTCCCTTAGGCAGTTGCCCAGATACCATTCTCATCCCCACCTCTCTATGATGTTCTGTTGTAGACTGAGAGGCACTCTCATATGGAGCTGTAACACCCCGCTCCCTATTATCAGCTTTATTTCTCTCACCCACTCTCCCCCCACTCTCATTAGGGCCTTCAGCTTTGTTGGTGCTGATGTCATTGGGAGTGGACACTGGATGGTTGGGGTTGTGCGACACTCCACTGTCACCTCATTCTCCTTAGAACTACTGTGTGAGGAAGAGAGAGTGAGACTGAATGCTTCCACAGCTGAGCTACGGTTGGGTCTCGTGGGCTTCCATTGCTCCAAGGAGGAGGAGGACAACGACGACAACAACAACAACTTCACACCACAACCGCAGCCCTCACTGGCCACCATCCATCAGCACAAAGTTGAGTTGCGGAGCCTCTTGCAGCTGCTGCCCAACCCTTCTCAAGGCTTCATTATCCTCCTCCTTGTACATTTTACTTCAGACGATGGAGCCGTGACCTCAGAGGCGGCATGGCTCTAGGACTGCCACACTGGCTCGGGTGCCTGCAGGCTCCGTGCTGCCCAAAACAGCACCGTGGGGCTTGCATCTGCCCGCTGGAGGTGGTGGGTGGACCCCATGGAGGTTCCACGCAGTGTGCCCCTGCCCCAGCTCACCCCTCCCCATGGACAGCTTGCCCTGCCCCCATGGGTGACTCGCCCTGCCCCCAGGCGCAAGGCGTGGGCACCGGCACGGGCACCCAAGTGGCTAGCTATGCCACTGATGAATTCCTTTCCTGGTTCAAAGGGTGCAGGTGTTGCTGTGTTGAAAATACTAAACTATCACTTGCAAATAAATTAGTTTTGTGACTTATTTTTGCAGCTGGACTTTCGTGTTTCTGTAATGAATTTCTTATTAAATTAGCTGACAGTCAAATAGAAAATGCATCATACCGCTGTCTAGTGTCAATGAAGCACCGCTATATTAAACCCATTTATTCTAATGGGTTGTGCAGGCCGAGTGGCTTTTCCTCATCAGGAACAAATCACACCCATGCTAAAAGGTCTGTGGAGTCCACCTATTAGCTACTGAGCCTACGCTAAGGTCTTGCTACTTACATGCAAAGCTCTAAACAACTGCAGACCTAAAAGCTGTCTTTTCCTTCACTGCATGGTCAGGGCATTAAGATTAGCAAATGGTTTGTTTGGCCTATCCCTAACCCTTAGAACACCCCTTTGAACACCCTAACCCAGGGGTAGGCAAGCTAAGACCCAATCCCCTTCTCAATCCAGCCCACGGTCCTTTTATTTAAAATGCATCTCTGGGTTATTTGTGGGGCATAGAAATTCATTCATTTTTATTTTTATTTTCAAAATATAGTCCGGCCCCCCACATGATCTGAAGGACGGTGGACCAGCCCACAGCTCGAAAAGGTTGCTGACCCCTGGGTTAGAGCATTGGAAAAACTCAGCTTTGGCTGAGTCGTGATGGCCAATTTACACGGACAATCCTGATCCAGACCAGCCAAGACAGGAACCAACCAGCTGAGACAGAGATCCTGCTACATAACTGTTATAAGTTTGAGGGGGGGGGCGGTAGGTTGTATGCCTCAGCCTCCTTCTGATTCCTAGATCCAGAAGAGATACAATTCCTGGAATAGCCAAGCATATGTAAATTTCATTACCCATAAAATCAGCTGCAGCGCAAGATGGGGCAATGGCACCCAGTATTGGAGAAACTCAGAGCTAACCAAAACATCCCAGGAAAATCTTGAGCGGGTTTTGGAGTCCTTCCTTCCTGGGGGCCCCTTGCACACTCACTTAAACTCAGGGCTGAGCAGGAGCACTGGAAAGGAGAGAGCAACAAGAATATTTATGATTATGATTAGTTATTACATTTCCTAGTCTCTATACAAAAAAGTCTCAAAGCAACTTAGCAATATAAAATACAGCTGGATAAAATCAGTTAAAATTAAACCACAAGACATCCAAAAAATACGGAGAAATTGTTCCAATTTATAGTGCTTTTTGGGTTCTATTCCAATGTTTCTTTAGCCATTCCACTGTCAAACAGCTCTTACTGTCCAAAAGGTCTTCCTGGTGTATTGTCGGAATTTTCTTGTAACTTGAAGCCATTGGTTTGAGTCCTTCCCTCTAGAACAGAACACAGGCTTGTTCCCTCTTCCATGTGACAGCCCTCTAGATATTTGAAGACAGCTATCTCCTCTCAGTCTCCTCTTTTCTAGGGTAAACATACCCAGCTCCTTCAACCCTTCCTCTTAAGGCTTGGTTTCCAGACCCTTGATCATCTTGCTTGCTTTCCACTATCCATGTTTCCACAGATATATTCTGCTTTTTTTGTTTGCCTGCTTGCTTTACCTGCAGTGAGTCTTATGACAACCTTTGATATTCAAAACTAGGGAAACGACTCCACCTCAGATTTCCTTTTAATATCATAAATCAGTGCTTTTTTCTGGGGAGGCCGCAGGGACATGTATACCCCTAAATCTTTGTACTTTTGTCCATTTACTGTATTTAATTTTCCCCAATTTGAACAATAAAATGATGGTTTTCTTGAGTTAAAATGAGAGTACCCCTAAACATTTTTTTTAGAAAAAAGCACTGTCATAAATTCTCTGCCGGCGTTGCCACAAATCCGCTGCCAGCGAAAAAATCCAGAGGCATAGCTGTCAAGCATAGCTGGAAGTGAGAGCTGGACCATAAAGAAGGCTGATCGCCGAAGAATTGATGCTTTTGAATTCTGGTGCTGGAGGAGACTCTTGAAAGTCCCATGGACTGCAAGAAGATCAAACCTCTCCATTCTGAAGGAAATCAGCCCTGAATGCTCACTGGAAGGACGGATCGTGAAGCTGAGGCTCCAATACTTTGGCCACCTCATGAGAAGAGAAGACTCCCTGGAAAAGACCCTGGTGTTGGGAAAGATGGAGGGCACAAGGAGAAGGGGACGACAGAGGACGAGATGGTTGGACAGTGTTCTCGAAGCTACAAACATGAGTCTGACCAAACTGCGGGAGGCAGTGGAAGACAGGAGTGCCTGGCGTGCTCTGGTGCATGGGGTCACGAAGAGTCAGACACGACTAAACGACAGCTGTCAACTTTTCTCTTTTCTTGCGAGGAATCCTATTCTGAATAACGGAATTTCCCTTTAAAAGGGGTAAACGTTGACAGCTACGGATAGGAAGGCGACCTCAGAGGAGCCCGCCCCCGGGGTTTTTCTGACACTCCTTCTGACTAGGAGGAAGCAAGAGCGGGACAAGACTGATCGGTAGCAGTAGAGCGGGTTGAGCTCCTGCTTGGGAAAATCAGATGCAAGAAGACGCCCCTTCGAACGTGCTCGCGGCAATCGCGGGCTCCGTCCCCGCCGTCGAGTCCGCTGGTGTCGAAAGCGGGGTTCCTTCTCTACGGACGCGACACGCCACGCGACCGAGAATGCGGGCGGGCGGCCCACAGACAGAGGACAGAAATCGGCGCAGGGCTTCTCTGCCCGAGGGAAGAGGAAGTAGCAGCCCGGTAAGGAGAGAGGAGTCGGTCAGGGCCGTTGGAAGATCTCTGAGCGCAGGCGGTGGAATGCTGTGGACGCGGCGGCACCAGATCCTCCCCGTCTATAGCCCTTTGCGCTGTTCCGTGAGCGCCCCAGAGACTTTGGGGGGGCAGGGCGCAATGGGGGGGAGAGGCGCGTTGCAGAGAAAAAAACACATCTTCTCGGAGGATGCCCTGGACCTTGAAGGATACTACTCTGGCACTTATGACTCTGAAAGGCCAAGAGCCCAACTGAGGCAAATACACTTCCCCTTGTTCGGTGCTCTGGGCTTTGAAGGATACAACCCTTACGTCCCCAATGATGCCTACAAACCTGCTGACATCTATGGTGACTTTATCTCTGGGAGAGAAAACCTCTTCCTTTCAGGCATCCAGGTGGGGAACTGCAATACCCTCTGCTTGAAGAAGTCTCTGGCCCCTGCGGTTCATTCTTGGAGCTCTTCTGAAGAGGATTCTGGGCTCCCAATGAAATCATTTCTGCTGTCAGGTCACCATTTGACCTATAATAGAGCCATCTATGGTCTCCTGGCGTGCACCCTGGAGAGTTTAGATGAGTCCGAGCTAAAAAAGTTCAAGGGCGAACTCTGCCATTTCTACATTCCGATGGGCGATCTCCAGGTCACCCAGGACTGGCTGCAGGAACGTGGTGCTTGGACTCTCTGCCATCTGCTGCTCAGGCACTATGATGTGGATGGTGCCGTGGAGGTGGCAGCCAAGGTGCTGAAGGCCATCGACTGCCAGCCGCAGGCGGACAAGCTTCTCTGTGGAAGGGCAAGTAAGGACCTCGGAAAGGGGAACATTTGTTTGAGCCTGATTATCTCCTCATGAAGAAATGTTGGCTGGAGGAAGAGAGGTTTCTTTAGCTGGGTCGTGTTTGTCATAAACTTATTATTTACATTCTCAGTGTGTCTTAACCAATTGGAGGGAGGACTCAGAAATCGCAGGTCTCTCTTCCTATATTGATATTATTTTATTGCATAAAATTTATACTTCAGTTGGTTGTAAAAAAACCAACAACCCTCAAGCAGTTTTAAATGCCCCTCTTTGCCCTTCCTCCATCTCACATTATTTCTTCGCATCGTTTCAACATGGACATTAAATGGCAAGAATAACATTATTTATCTTCTTTGCATTGTAGCTCTCAATTCCTCTTTCATGCTGTATTCATTTCCCCTTCTTTGCAATTATTTTGAAAAATGACACTACAAATACACATGGGTGCACACAACCAGTGATCTCAAACAGACACAGTTTTCTCCTGTGACCAAGAGCAGATGTCTTTTACTAGTTAGAAGTAGTTTCATCAGGGTTTCTACTTGTAATCAGGTCTGACTTTCAGTATAGAATAAATAGGAATTTATAGTATGAGATAAACAATGAAAATTTACAGCAAAATTGCTGTGGGTTCCATCCCTCTTCAGATCATCTCTTGTTTCCATTTCCCCACTTTGATTTATCCATGTCAGGATGCCTGTGTTATCAAAGTTGTGTGTGTGTGTGTGTGTGTGTGTGTGTGTGTGTGTGTGTGAGAGAGAGAGAGAGAGAGAGAGAGAGAGAGAGAGAGATTGGGTTAACAACCGAATTAGTACCATCTCTACTTTTTGCATTCCATTTCCTGACGACCCAAAGGTTTACAGTCCCAATCTGAACTTAGTAGGCCTTTCCCCTATTCCTCATACAAGCAGAACAAGGTGAAAATAAAATCACTTGTTTTTACAGGCATTCCTGAGTTCTCGGTGCAAGTATCAGAATCCCCTCTATTTGCAGAGAAAGGACAGTGCCGAAAGACAAGTCCTGCAAATTCCAGTAAAAGTGTATTTTGCTACCAGTGTCTTAGAGAGGTAAAGGACTGGACTCATCCTGATTTGTATTAGCCCCTTTTAACATGTAACTTGTGAATTTGAATTTCAAGCTTAGGTAAGTTTGTGGTTTTGCTATTCAACACGAATTACAGTGGTACCTCGGGTTAAGTACTTAATTCGTTCAGGAGGTTCGTTCTTAACCTGAAACTGTTCTTAACCTGAAGCACTACTTTAGCTAATGGGGTATCCTGCTGCCGCCGGGCCGCCGGAGCACGATTTCTGTTCCCATCCTGAAGCAAAGTGCTTAACCTGAGGTACTATTTCTGGGTTAGCGGAGTCTATAACCTGAAACGTATGTAACCCAAGGTACCACTGTACTTGGAATGGACAGGTGTCTCCAACACAAATAATTGTTTTGTTGTTTTTTGTTGTGAGCTGCAAATGGCCAACTGCACGCACTCCTATTGTGATTGCTGTATATAGCGTGGAAATGTTCTGTGTGGGATCTATCCTATGATGTTATCAATTTGCAATAATCCCATGTTTCAATAGAATTCTTCAGATTTCAACCTGTCCCCAGTGTCTGAAGGAGCAGGAGGGAATTCTTTGACTAAAGAGGAGGGTCTGCATCTTGACTCCTGTGTACCTGCATGCAAATGCATTGATATGACTACAAAATGTTGGTTCACTACTTCCTTGCACACCCACCCATCCTTATCTTTCCTTACCTAGAGAGTGCAGGTAATTTAATATTTTTGGGTTACATCTGCCTTTGGTAAGTACACTGAGATCTTTGGAAAGAATGGCAAATATTCTGTAAACATTTTTGGGGAAAAGTCTAGATTAAAAAGAAAAGAAAAGACAATGCCTGTAATCACCATACTATAGCTCATTGCCAAAACAAACACCAAAGGCTGATGCTGTGAAATAGCATTTAGTGTTTCCATAGGGTGGGGCTCAAGCAGTGCCCCTTGGTGTAGGAACTAGGGCACTGCAAGAAGATAAGAATGCCTATATTTTCAGATAGGATGGGCAGTATGGCTTAAATATTAATCATTACTGCTTTGCCACAGGATCTTCCAGAGAGAATCATACCAGATGTGGTTTGGGATTCACAAAGGAACCATGAAATCTACAGGTGAGATCTTTTTACAATCTCTGCATTCAAATAATGTTTTCAACATTGAATTGTCTGCTGGCAATTCTGGGAAAGGTACTACAGAACACATTCAGCTAATGTGGGTCTCAGGGAGGCATACCCAAAATCACCCCAGAAATATACAATGTATATGTGTGTGTGGCAACATCTCAGAGAGATCAAACACAGAAGTTTCCCACCCTTCTCGTACTGCAGCACAAAGGCAACGTGATTCGCAGGGGGGTGGGGTTGCTGATACAGCTCCTTGCAAGGGCACAAAAGACCCTAGGTACATCTCTGGGGTCTCATGGTCTTCATATAACCAGCTTACATCTGTGACAGCATGTTGTGATTGTGCAGTGGGTGAATTCTGTTACAGAAAAGCTTATCTGCCATGGAAATGGAAGGGAGACTGGAGCCCTCCCCATGCTCACTGGATTTGGCTGGTTTAGAGAATTACTAAGAGTCACTCACACAACCTTTTGTTAGTTCCAGCATTTAAAAGCATTTTTTTCCAGTACCGTAAGATGCCTTACTTACTTCCTGGGCAGTCTTGTAGCCAAAATACTTCTCTATGACAAAATGCTGTGTGTGTGTGTGGCAAGATGTTTGCTTGGGAGATTCTCTTTACTAAAAGCTTCATCCCTATACTTGGCCACTGTGTAGCAAAGAGCTTTTAAAGGGGAGCCCATATTTTTCTTATCCTTACCCTTCTAATCAACTCTCCTCATCCCCATACAGCTTCCAATATGTTATTTGCATAGGTCTGCCACCCACACAGCTGTGGAAATGTTCACGGATGCAGGAGAGGATATATTGTTTTGATTATAGCCTTTCCAACTTGTGTAAACAAGTTCACAATTTAGCAGGGTAACATTCCCCTTTTTAAACTCACAGCAGATGTGTTTGCTCAGGCTCGCTAAAGCCTCTATAATAACTGTTCTGGTATTTTCCCCCTTATTCCCTCATAAAAGATAAGACACGACACAGTCTTATTTAAAAGTATAAAAAGTTTACTCACATTCTGTTCACAATCGGATCCCAGAAGGCAGACTTAGCTTAGAAAAGTAACATGCACCTGGAAACTATCCCATAAACAGACAGTCCCTTTGTCCTCTCTTGGCTGGAGGCCAAGAGAGCATCTTTGGCTAAGCAGATGTTGCTTCTTCGACAAAAGTAGACACACAGAGAGAGATGGCTGCCCTGCCCTGTGCTTTTGTCGTTACCTGCACAGGTGAGGCCACGCCCACCTCTAGTCACATACATAGGAAGTCTGTCCCAGCCCAGAAGGAAACAGGAAGTTAACCTGCTGGCTGGACAATCATTCCTCTCCATGTGTAAACATGTTCACTCTAGGAATGTTGTACTTAACTGCTCTTGTGTTTCACATCCCACAACAGCTGCATCAGATGCAGATGAGCCAAGAGCAAAGAAGCAGAACATGCAGGCGGTATTGAACTTTTACTACATTGTCATTAGTATGAGAAGAACATGCAGGCCGTACATATTAATAGTTGTGAGATGAGCTACAGATACATCTAATACAAGCATGTATCAGGATCTACCGGTAGATCACTGGATGTCTATGGTAGATCACCAGCTCCCCCCAAAAACCCTTAACAACTTTGGCTCCTCTAAAAAAAAGCTCAACATTTTCCCCCTGCACCCCCCAGAAATGGGGCTTTCCTCCTCTCTGAAAAAAGCTCAGCTACTTTGGCCTGAACCCCCCAAAAGTGGGTAGATCACTGCCAGTTTTTAACTCTGTGAGTAGATCACAGTCTCTTGGGAGCTGGCCACCCCTGATCTAATAGAACAGCAGGGGAAACTGCACTGATCACTGTTCCTTTCATCTTTCTCTTTGTTGCATTCAGGTTGTCCTCCCTTGAGGCTGGCTCCTTTCAGTGCTACTACACTGATCTCATATTTGAGGTGGGAGCGGGTGTCACCATAACATACCACTTTGATTCATGGCACAAGCACCTGAATGGAAGGGATGCACAGAGGTTGTCTGTCGCTGGTCCTTTGCTCAACATCCAAGCGGATCCACTCGAGGCTGTGGCAGCTGTTCACTTCCCTCACTTCCTGTGCCTTGCAGGTACGGTGGGGGGGGGAACCTTCCAATGGTATAACTGTAACTGAAGGAATGAATACTAAACAAGAATACGATATAACATGTGTGGGGTGTAATCCACTGGGAGCAGTCAAGTACAGCATTACCTGTTTTGACTCAGAGATGGCGGGTAAACAGGAAGGAGCTGTTACCAGGAGGGCTGGTGCTGAAAAGAGAAGGGCTAGTGTGCAGGAGGAGATATCTGGCTTTAAAGAAGAATGGGAACATTTTACAAATTACTTAAAACAACAACAAAATGAACTGGACTCCTTGGCAGGTTTTGAATAAACATACACAAATTTATTATTGCTAACATAATAGACAGATAAATTAAGGATCTTTACAAGTTTATATTATGCAGAGAATAATATGTGTTGAAAAATCAGAGAGAGGAGCTGAGGGAAGTCTTGGGGGGAGGGAGGGAGGGTTTTTCTTGGGGAGGGGGAAAATGGGGGAAATGAAGATGATATGTTTTTGATAATTTGTTATGATGAAATTCTTAATAAAAATTATTTTTTGAAAAATGTTTAGATAACCTCCAGAGCCACTGCCCTAAGCAAGCTACCTATTATTGACTCATATTCCATTTGTGTTCCTTTTTTTTACAGATGGGGACAGCTCTCAAGTCTACATTGGACATTTTGTGGAAGAGGGGATGAGTCTAGAAAAGCCAAGCAGAGTGGGGTCACGTCATGCTGTGTTGAGAAACCCCAAGTTCTCTTCCCGTGGAGTAGTTTTCAAAAAGCCTTGGTTTAAACGGAAGATGAAGGTCCACTGCATCACACTGCTCTATCAAGTGCTTGAAGTTCCAGCTCAAAAATTCCACCTATACCTCCTCCCAAACGACTCTTCTCTAAGAAAGGTAATTGGGAATCTTTCACTCTGCTAAGTGGCATGAGACTTGCAATATAATTAGATGCAAGAACTGTGGGCAAACTCATTCATCAAGGTGTGCTTGGATTGATTTATATTGATTGATTGATTGATTGATTGATTGATTTTGATTGATTGATTGATTGATTGATTGACGTTCTAGCAAACATGAACCCACATTAGCAGTTGCCCCCCACCAGCATTAGTATTCAAATATCCAGTATAAAAATAAACCCATTTCCTTTGCTGGGCAGAAGCCAAATGACTATCTTCTTCTCTAGACACAGTCATCGAATTGTGTAAAGAAAATACCTTAATGCCAGGTTATGCAGCATGTTGACTTGGAAGTCTTCCCTGTGGTGAGGCTTGGAATTGGCTTAGCAGCTTGGCATCTCCCTTGCATGTCTCAAAAATCACTCTGTTTGTGCTTCCCAGACAGTCCATGAGAAAGAAGAGAAATGCCCTTCGTGGAGATTGGATAAACCCTCTGTCATCCTCAAGCCTCTGAGGATTGGCTCTCGCTTCTTTGTGCAGAAGTTAGATGATGTCGAAATCTGCCCCAAGGTAAGATGCAAAAATGATGGAAAGTGTTACCTGGAGGGAGTCTGTGTGGTATGAGAAGGGGACAGCTAAACCAGGATCCCTTCAACCTCTTATTTACTCCCCTTAAAATTGGCAGGCCATGGGCTAAGCCATAGTCACACAGCTTTCCCTCTTTCCCACAGGAACTGGAGCTTCAATATTTGCATGCAGACATGGAGCAGCAGTACCTTGAACTCTATGCTGAACACAGGCAAGATAAGTTCCACTTCAGCCTGATAGAGAAGAAAAGGGATGAACTCATCTGGGAGGCCTTTGTGAGACAAGGTGAGCTTTGCTCAAGGGAAGACCGCAAGATTAGACCATAGCTTGAAAAGGCCACATGCACTCTCTGACTGCATCTTCCCTGTTCTCTTTCAGAAGAGCTGAAATCTTCTAACCCAACAGAAGGTCAGTAGGAATGCAGTAATAGCCTACCCAGGGTTGCACATCTGGAATGGTGCATATTCACTATGGGAAATTATAGAGTGAGATTTGGAAGTCATCCTTGTAGTCTCTGCTTGCTTCATGCATCTACTCATTCCCCCTCTCTCTCTCTTTTCCAGCTGCTAGTGGCTACATAGAGACTACTGCACTGTTCCTCAGCAGTGCCTCTGGAACATGCCATGGGTTATTTCTCATATTCTCAGCCATAAATGTCTGGGAGGCAGGACAGCTTGAAGACAAACTAGGCCTTCTACTTTGATCACCTCTCTCTAGAGCTCACTGTCTTGAAACATCCTCTGAAGCCATATTTTAAAAAGAGCATTTTCTTTTATTTTTGTCTGACAGAGGCAAGCCCACCTTATCCAATGTCAGTCTCATCAAAACAACATTTCATTGAGCAACACCGGGAAGAGCTGATCCAGCGGACCAGCAACGTTGAAGCGGTGCTGGATATGCTCCTTGGCACCATTCTGAATAATGAGCAGTATGAAATGATCTCTTCGAGGGAACCAACCAAGAGAAAATGAGGGCGCTCTACATGCTGGCGCCAAGTTGGAACCGCTATTGCAAGGATCTGCTTTACAAAGTACTGAAGAACAGAAATCCATATCTTTTTGATGAACTGGAAGGGAAATGAGACCACAATGAAGTCAAAGAGAGACAACAGGAACTCCAACTGCATGTACTATGTGACTTCAGTTCTTCCTTAATCAATAAAGAAGGGACCGTATGAGGTCACTTCCTTAATGCTTTGGGGGGGGGGGATTCCAACAAAGGAAATAATATTATGTATTTGCCCCTGCATGAGCTCTCTTTTGTTTATCTTACTAAAACATGTGGTTCATTCTTAGCAATGAGGACAAAGAAGGGGAGGTCAGCTGACCACAAATAAACAGGTGCAATTGCCTAATTCCTAGCTTGCAGTGAGCTGCATTAGGGTTTTTTTATTCTGCTAAAAGGGCTTCACAGCCTGTTTCTCAAACACGTGTGGGACAGGAGGTTTAAAGTTTAATTTACAAAATTAATCCTCAATCCATTGCCATCAAAATCAGCAATTGCTGCTGGCTGAGCCTTGTCCTTTTCTACTTTGTCCATCACCAGAGAAGAGTGGGAGAAGAAACTTGCTTATTGCAAGAACCAGCAGCATGAGGGAGATGTCTCTCCCTAAGCAGATGTCTTAAAAATAAGGGGACTGCTTGCTTTGGCTGCACCAGTAGGGAACAGGCACGTCCACTGCCAAATCGAGCAGCATTTAAACATACACACCAGTCATCAACAGTGAGCTATCAGTGTGGGATGTAAACACAGGAGCAGTCAATGACAACATTCCTAGAGTGTACATGTTAGAACATGGGGAGGGATGTCTGTCCAGCAAGCAGGTAAACTTCCTGGGGACAGACTTCCTCCGCATGTGACCAGAGGTGGGTGTGGCCTCACCTGTGCAGGTAATGACAAAAGCACAGGGCAGGCAGCCACTCTCTCTCTGCCATTTTCCTTTGATAAGGAAACATCTAAGGATGCTCTCTTGGCTCCCAGCCAAGAGAGGACAAAGGGACTATCTTGCTATAAGATAGATTCTAAATGTATGTAAACTTTTTAAGCCTGTCTGCCTTCTGGGATCACATTGTGAACAGAACGTGAGTAAACTCTTTTATACTTTTATGAAGACTGTGTCGTGTCTTGTATTTTTAAGAGGGAACAAAGGGGAAATTACCAGAGTAATTATTATAGAGGTTCTAGCGAACCTGTGCACACGTTACCGTTGCGAACTTAAAGGGGAATGTTTATAAACTCTGCTGATATTTTGGGAACTTGTTAGCACAAGTTGGATAAGGATATAATTAGTCAATATATCCTCTCCTGCACCCCAGAACATTCCCACAATCAGAAAACATACAAGGATTTTAGGCTGACAGGTTTTTCAACCTAAATCAGATAAGTTCTGGTTTTAGATTGATAGAAAAAGTGTCACAGTTATTTCTGAAAACCAGAGTTATGGGAGCACAACAGAATGGCAGGAAATTGCCCAAATCTCACAGTTGTTTCATTCATTCATATATATATATATATATATATATATATATATGCAGGTTTTGGTGTCCTCGGGTGTCTTCCCGTGTAAAAATTGGGGTGTCTAGGCGACGTTTCGACGAGGTCTCACTCGTCATCTTCAGGCTGGTGCTTTCGGCTTCTTGTTACTGGAACAGAGCTCTGTTCCAGTAACAAGAAGCCGAAAGCACCAGCCTGAAGATGACGAGTGAGACCTCGTCGAAACGTCGCCTAGACACCCCAACTTTTACACGGGAAGACACCCGAGGACACCAAAACCTGCATTCCTGTACCCGTGAAAATCTACGAAAACATATATATATATATATATATATATATATATATATATATCACAAGCCCGATCCTCTGTCACTTAACTGTGTCCCCTCAGCTTTTCTTTCAGCTTCTTCCCACCCTAACTTTTCTCTCAACAGTCCAGCAAAAACAAAGCTCTGCAAAACCAGCAAGCACTAAGCATAGGTTTGTGCAAGGCAGAAAAGAAGTCCTCAAAGAGCTTCACAGGCTGAAGAGATCTCCAGAAGAGTTCCTTCTGCAGTGTAGCGAAGAAGTGGGGAGAAAGAATTGCAACAGGGGCTGCTCCAGGCTGGACTCTGGGCCTCAGGCTGAGCCCCCTGCCTCCCTCACACTAACTAGAGGGACTGGAAATGGCAATGGAATGAGACACTCCTTCCTGCTTACCTCTGCAGTGTGGGATGTAATCCATTGGAGCAGTCAAATACAACATTTCTTGTTTCCCTAGAGTGGACACAGGAAGTGTTACTCCAGCCAAGGTAGAATTTCCTGTTACACCTGGTCTGGAGCTTTCTCCCCCTGCATGTGCCCAAGTAGATGAGCATGACCCTTGCAGACCTAACAAAAGGCCCAGTCATGCAACCATCTATCTCTCCTATTTTGGCCACTGCTCCTGGTGCATTTGATGCTGTCTGCTGGCTCTCTGCCAGCAGCACATAGGCCCATCCTTACAAGGATGTAAGCCACACTAGTCCTGAGAGATCTGCATTGGCTTCCAGTATGTTTCCGAGCACAATTCAAAGTGTTGATGCTGACCTTTAAAGCCCTAAATGTGTGGGAATATTCTGGGGTGCAGGAGAGGATATATTGACTAATTATATCCTTATCCAACTTGTGCTAACAAGTTCCCAAAAATATCAGCAGAGTTTATAAACATTCCCCTTTAAATGCGCAACGGTAACGTGTGCACAGGTTCGCTAGAACCTCTATAATAATTACCCTGGTAATTTCCCCTTTAGTTCCCTCTTAAAATACAAGACACGACACAGTCTTCATAAAAGTATAAAAGAGTTTACTCACGTTCTGTTCACAATGTGATCCCAGAAGGCACAGCTTAAAAAGGTTACATACATTTAGGATCTATCTTATAGCAAGATAGGCCTTATCTCCTCTCTTGGCTGGGAGCCAAGAGAGCATCCTTAGGTGTTTCCTCGTCGAAGGAAAATGGCAGAGAGAGAGAGATGGCTGCCTGCCCTGTGCTTTTTGTCATCACCTGCACAGGTGAGGCCACACCCACCTCTAGTCACATGTGGAGGAAGTCCGTCCCCAGGAAGTTTACCTGCTTGCTGGACAGACATCCCCCCCATGTTCTAAACATGTACACTCTAGGAATGTTGTCATTGACTGCTCCTGTGTTTACATCCCACAAAATGGCCTCGGTCCTGTATAACTGAAGGAATGTCTCCACCTCCATCGTTCAGCCTAGACACTGAGATCCAGCGCCTAGGGCCTTCTGGCAGTTCCCTCACTGCGAGAAGTGAGGTTACAGGGAACCAGGCAGAGGGCCTTCTCAGTAGTGGCGCCTGCCCTGTGGAACGCCCTCCCATCAGATGTCAAGGAAATAAGCAACTATTCTAGTTTTAAAATACATCTGAAGGCAGCCCTGTTTAGGGAACTTTTAATGTTGTATGCTGTATTGTGTTTTTAATATTCAATTGGGAGCTGCCCAAATTGGCTGGGGAAACCCAGCCAGATGGGCAGGGTATAAATAAATTATTATTATTATTATTATTATTATTATTATTATTATTATTATTATTTCTGTAACTACAAGCTAAAGCCTGTCTTCAGGGATCATACTTTGAACTGAATTTGAGTAAACATTTCATTACTTATAAGGAAGACTCTTGTGTCTTTTTTCTTTTAGGAGGGAATCAAAGGGGTCTTACCAGGAATATACCATATTTTTCACCCCACAAGACGCATCTGACCATGACACACCTAGTTTTTAGAGGAGGAAAACGGGGGGGGGGGGAATATTCTGAATCAAATGTTGTACTCAACTATTTAATAAACTACCATTATAATATCAGAGGGAGATGGACAGGAGCTGTAAGTTTCTTTAGCATGTGCGCTCAAGGAGCGACGAGCAGGGAGGTAGCACACCCCCAGACGGACCTGACACAGGAATCCCAGCAGCCTCCTCTCGTGTAAATGGCTCCTCTCCCTCTTTGCTGCTTTAAAGTGAGCCCGTCCCTCCCTCCCTACTCCACAGCTTGCTTTAAAGCAGCAAAGCAGGACAGGAGCCACTTACACCTAGCTTCCTGCTGTGTGTAGAAGGGAATGAACTCTGCTCTATGACTCACTAGCTTGAGTTAAGAATGATAATATTTAATCAATATATCCTTTCCTACTATCCACAATTCCCACATGCAGCATCTCCCGTTTTGTGCTTTTTTACAGGGCTCAGCTGGTGCTGACTTTGAATGGGTGTGATGGTAAAGATCATCCACAGCCATCTTTTGGACATCTTGAAGGACTTGGGGAGGAGGAACTCAAGAAGTCCAAGGGCAAATTCATTCAGTTCCTTTAGTGAAAAGGTTTAGGTATTTGGGCTCCTTTAGTTTTTATACTTCAGGGTCTACAGAACTCCCTGCCACAATAAATTTAATCAAACCTTGTTTTGCTTTTTTCTGCTGCTATCCATTCTCCTAGAAGGCCTTCAAAGTATGAATGGCACAGGCCTGAGTTTGACGCTGGAGACGGAATGATATATTAACAAGGATGGCTAATTAAAGGTATATTTTGTACATTAATGGAATACTGATATTAACTTGGGGTCTTACATGAGTTTGTTGACAGTTTTGAAGGACTCTGTTGTCTCGATGAGAGATGTGAAGGAGAAGACCTGTGGTCTTGCAAACAATTTCCCAGAGAAGAAGTTACTCTGCAGTTTGCCCATTAATCCTGGCACTTACCCGCTGCACACCTGAGGCTGCCTGGTTTCCTAACTGTGGTTAGATCAGGAGAAACCTGTAGGCTTGTGTTCTCCTTCCTGCTGTCTCCTCTCCTGGCGGGTTGGTGTCATGTTGCATGTCTTACTTACCTAAAAGTTAATGGAAGGAAATGAAGGTCAGCAGAAGGCCATATATCCCTCACAATATATACACCAGTTGAGAAATACTTTCCAATTATTGGCCTTTAAAATGAGGAACAGAAGTCCTCTCAATGAGGAAGAAACTCTGAAAATAAGGGCACACTTAGGGATCTGAAACTTCAAGCCTGCACGCCTTGCCAACCCTAGTCCCGATCTATGCAGGCCAAGTTGGATTGCTGGACTTATCTGAGAGCACAGGAATATAGGAAGCTGCCTCATGTCAGTTGGTCCACCTGGCTCAGTATTAATGACACTGACAGTGACTCTTCGGGGTCTGGGACAGGGGTGTTCCCAGCGCTGCCTGGAGACCACAAGGGATTGAACCTTGGCTCTTTTTGCATAAAAGCAAGCGCTCTGCCATTGAGTCATGGACCTTCCCCAATCAGCCTAGTCTGAAGTTTTACGCACTGAATGTGCTCCAACTGCCAGCATTAGGAAGTGAAGGCAATTGTCACACCATATACAGCTAAATGCAGGCATGATGGAATATTCTGTTACTGATTTGCTACTAATGCAAATAATGGTGTATCACTCTACCTTTCAACCTGTGGAGTTGTGACCGAGTTAACCAGATGATTCTGATGTCGTTTTAATATATCACCCGGCTCAGCTGCCTTTAATTTGTTTTTTCCTCCAGCTTCATCCCACCAGAACATCTCTCTCTCCAGTCCTGCAGAAACCACATGCTGCAAAAATCAGCATTTTTAAGTGCATGACTGTGCCAGGAGAAGGGATATTCCCAAACAGCATCATAGGACACTCCAAGACAGCCGCTATTTTTGAATGGGGATTTCAACCACACACGAACAAATTCAGTTTGCGCAATTAAAGCAGATTTGAAGCTGTTGTGCAACATTCTCGCTTTCCCAAAAGGAGAGTGACAGAAAAATGTTGTGGGAAATGTCAGACAGCACTTGCTTTGAAGCAACATCTAGCCTTCCTGCAAATGAATCAGAGCAAATGCTGCCATCTAATTTCCCTGCAAACAAATTGGGATAAATGCCCCCCGCAAGAAAAAATGACCATGTGGAAGTGACCATAGGTAAAGGGACCCCTGACTGTTAGGTCCAGTCGTGGCCGACTCTGGGGTTGCGGCACTCATCTCGCTTTACTAGCCAAGGGAGTCGGCATACAGCTTCCGGGTCATGTGGCCAGCATGACTAAGCTGCTTCTGGCGAACCAGAGCAGCGCACAGAAACGCCGTTTACCTTCCCGCCAGAGCGGTACCTATTTATCTACTTGCACTTTGACGTGCTTTCGAACTGCTAGGTTGGCAGAAGCAGAGACTGAGCAACGGGAGCTCACCCCGTCGCGGGGATTCGAACCGCCAAATTTCTGATTGGCAAGTCCTAGGCTCTGTGGTTTAACCCACAGTGCCACCTGTGTCCCTGGAAGTGACCATGGACAGCACCAATCACCCAGTGGTGGAGTTAGCTGCTCCAGCACCCAGAACGGCATGCACCCGGGGGGTGGGGCTAGCTGCCTGCAGAGGCGGGCCTAGCACTCCAAGTGGTGGGGCAAGCGTCCCAGGGGGGTGGGGCGAGTGTCCCGGGGTGCACCGCCCGTGCCAAGCATCTGGGGGGTGGGGCGGTGATGTCACCCCCCTCAGGGATGACATCCGGGGCGAACAGCACCCACCTTGCTCCGCCTCTGCAATCACCCAATAAATGATGAGGGGGAGAAGTGCAGGCAGGATGGATTCAGGCTGAACCTCCTCATTCAGGCCAGAGCTCTGCTGTCCATTAGCACTGACCGGGGTTGCAGGAAACTGGCAGCAAAAGCAGACTCTCCCAACTAGCCTTTGCAGCCTCTTCTTTGTGCCTTTTTCTGGCATTGGCTCAACTAGTGCTGAAGGGGCATGGTGGCAAATCCTGCCCTTGAACCATCTCTCCAGGACTTGGGGGGTGGGGGTGGGGGTGGGGAGGGAGAGATGAGCTCAAGAAGTTCAAGGGCAAACTCAACAGGTCAACCCATCAAGAAGGCCTATGACAACATGTGCAAACTGAATTCCTGAATCCTGACATGAAGAAGCGGCATTTTGAAGTGCACGTTGCACACAGGTAAGAGAGCTGACAACCTGGGAGAGAAGAATAGGGGGGGCTCCATCTGGCAGACCCACATGACATAAGGTGGTCTTTGACTAAGGGGAACCTCTGGGTGGGATGCAGCTGGGAGTACCACAAGGTGGAAGAGGTAACAACATCTTGGTCATATTCCCTGCCTTTTTTTCCCTTTCCTTTCCTTTTTTCTTTTTTTTCTTTTTTTGACTTTTTGACTTTTTGACTTTCACACAATACAGCATCTCTACTGAGATGAAGACTCCAATAAATAGCTCCCAAGGGATTATGTTCAGGTCTTAGAAACTAACATTTTGTTGCTTTCCTTCTGAATTTGTGGCTTTTGAGACTTCCGAGAATCATTTGAGGAAGTGAAAAATTAGGCAGGAAAAAAACCTTTTGTAACAAAGCTGGTATTTTGAGGCAGTGAGAGACATGAGAAAGAGGTCCTGTGGTCTTACAGAAAGTGTATCAAAAAAGTTAATCTCCAGATTCTCTATTAATGAATACAGGCGTGCTTTCGCTAATGGGGCCTCTTGCTGATGCTGCACCGCCGGCACACAATTTCTGTTCTGAGGCAAAGTTCTTAACTCGAGATTATTCTTCCAGATTAGCAGAGTTTGTAACCTGAAGCATTTGTAACCTGAGCCATTTGTAACTCGAGGTACCACTGTACTGATAATTTACCTGGTGCAGAAAATAGGTTGCCCCAACTCCTAACCCTCCTTCCTCCTCTCTCCTCCGTGGAGGAAGACTTCCCATCACATGTCTTGTTTAACCAAATGTTAATGGGAGGAAATGAGGATCAGCAACCTCCCAAAATAGCCAGGAAGTCAAATGCAAAGAGAGCACATTAGGGCATCCTGACTACTTCAATACAGTTCTGGAATTAAGGAGAGGGGTGAGGAGGCCCTGGTTCTTTTTTTGTGCACAACTCGGCTAATATTGGTGGGACTTATGCATATCCTAAAAGGCAACACCAAATCACACACACCTGACTCGCCCACAAGAGAGCAAAGCAGATTCATGCATTTATTTATAAAAGTATTTGTATACTGCTATACCATTAATACCATGGGTAGGAAAACTAAGGCCCGGGGGCAGATCCAGCCCAATTGCCTTCTAAAATTGGCCCATGGACAGTCTGGGAATCAACGTGTTGTTACATGAGTAGAATGTGTCCTTTTATTTAAAATGCATCTCTTGGACTGGCCCCTTGCTGAAAAAGTTTGCTGACCCCTGATTAATGCACAATATAGCAAAGTGGTTTACAGCAGCAAAACTATGCAAAAGAGAGAGAGAAGTTAAAACCAGACATCGCTTAACCATTATGGAAGGATCATTAATTTCCTGCATAGGCCAGGAAGAATAGAACAGTTTTCAGAAGGGGTTTAAAAGTTGGCACAGAAGGTGCCTGAATCTCTGGGCGGAAGACACTAAAGGTTCTATTTCTTATTTTCAAATGAACCTCTATGAGGCTGAAAAATTCATTTATCAGCACGGAGTGGTCCCCCTCCCCACGTGCATCGCGCTGCGGTTGCTCAACCACCTGCTGCTTCCTGTCTCTTCCTCCCGCTTTCCCCCGGCCTTCTCCCAGCTTTGGATCCCGGGGACAAGAAACCCCTTCCCTTCTACCACAATGTAGGAAAAACCTCTCTCAGAAAAGCTTAAGCAGACTTCGAGTCCTAAGCCGCGCAACTTGCGCGCCTGCCGAAGCGCACGGCTGGGCAGGGGCGGAAAAGAGAGAGCAGCGGGAAGAAAAAGCCCTTCAGGCCATCTCGTCCCCGCCGTCGAGTCTGCTGGTGTCTGAAGCGAAAATGCTCCTCTGGTTCCCCAGGCGATTGGGGGCGGGAGGCGGGGAAGGCGAGAGTCTCAAGATCCCAGCACAAAGGATGAGGAAGTCGCGTGCTAAGGAGAGAAACCGAAACGTCGCAGAAAGCCTCCAGCAGGCTTCGGCGTCCTGGCAGAGACTGCGCACCTGCTTAAGCGCAGGGGTCGGGCAGGAGCGAGCCGCGGCAATCGCGGTCTCCATCCCCGCCGTCGAGTCCCCTGGTGTCTGAAGCGGGGCTCTGCCTCTCGGGGCTTCGACGGGGCGAGCGACTGAAGCGGGCAGGGAAGGCGGCTGGGAGAGGCCACAAACCCGCGCAGAGCTTCCCCGCCCGAGGGATGTGGAAGTAGCCCGTTAAGGAGAAGGAAGCCGCTCTTGCAGGGCCTTTGGGTGGGGGGGAATGCTGTCGGTGAAATGTTTTCTGAGCTGCGCTGGGGACGGGTGCTTCTCTGAAGAGGATTCCTTCCGCTCCTGCAGAGCATCTCGGCCGCCAAGTCTCCGCTTGCTCCGTGGCGCCAGCCGTGGCCCCCTGAGTCTCACCCCGGCGCGCTCCGAGGAGGGCGAGCTGGAGAAGTTCCCGGTCGAGCTGCTCCGCCACACCTGCGAGAGCAGCGCCGTGGAGGTGGCGCCCGAGGCGCGGAGCACCATCGACGGCCGGCGCCAGGCGGACAAGCGCCTCCGCAGCAGGCAAGGTAAGGACCTCGGGAAGGGGAGCCGTTGCTTCGCCCGGATCTCCTATGGAAACGTTGGCCGGGAGAGGGGAGGTTCGCTTCCCGGGGTCCAGCTGTACAAGCGCGTGGCGACAAAATTGGAGGGACGACTTGGGAATCCCCTGCCTCTCTTCCTATATCCCCCGCTTTGCGCTCCTTCTCACTTTCATTATTCCATTGCATCATCTCGACATGGGCATTAAACAGCAGGGACGACATTTCGAATATATTGTATCTCTCTTCTATGCATTATTCTGAAGAACACTTTCTTACTCAGCCTTCCTTTGCAACAGTTATTTTTGAAAAATGGCAAGCAGGGCTAGGAAAGACTTGCCTCTATCTGCCGCCTTGGAGAGTCACTTGACCTTGAAAGTTGGCCCTGGGAAATTAGGCAGGCAAGCGGTAGGATCCAGTATAGGGAAGCTTCTCATACCCTGTTGAGGTTCTCGTTCTTTTTCTGCTGATGTCAAAACAAACAAACAAGCAAACAAACGTTTCTACAACAGGTAATTTGCAAAATGTCACAATGTCTAGTGATGAGATGATCCACACGGGAAGGAAACATCTATGGAAAATTCCTGAAAAGGACCCAGGACACATTTTCGAAGAATGTGAGAAAGGTCACAAATTGCCGATTAGAACTGAGGAAAGGGGTATGAAATCTTGTCACCAATTTGTGGAATGCGTAGAAATGGACAATTGGAGACAAAGGCGGTCGTACAAAATGCAGCACAAGGTGAGTTTGGTTTAGGGTTCTTCCTAATCCTCAAGGACAATGAAATTTCTCCTTCGTTCACAGTACAGCTATGTGGGATTATAAATAATTGCCCTTATTTTACAGAGTGGAATCAAATTTCAATCCAGATTCCTGCCCACTCAGTGCTGCGGTGAGGAAAAACCCCAGTTTGTAGAAGAAGAAAGCAGTAGTCAGACAGATGAGACTGCAGATTTTGGGGGAAGTGTCCTGTGTAGCAGGTGTCCCAGTAAGGTAAGGGACTGGACTCAATCTGATTTGCATTGCCACCCACAGGAATGAGGAATACATTGATACTTTCAAGGTGAATCTACCAAACTTGAAATTCAAGTTTACTGTGGAAAGTAATTTGTTTGTGAGAATGTTAAGGAAGGTAGGAGAGGATATATTGTTTTGATATTATCCCTCCTCACGCTAATGAGAAAACAGCGGGGGGGGGGGAAATCCCTTTGCACCTTATTGAAAGCAAGTTGATGATTCATTAGAATCATTTAATTAAGCAATCCAGTCTGCCTTGTCCAGTCTGGATTGTTGTTGTTAAGTTTCCACTTTATTTCCCACTTAAAATAATAACACAACATAGTCTTCTTTAAAAGTAAGAGTAAAGTTTTGCTCACATTCAGTTCACAGCAGTAATCTGAAGGCAGGCTTTATCTTGTGGTTACAGTGGGCTTTTGGGCTCCATCCTATGTGAAGGTTGAGCCATGTGCTGGCTGAGAGCCAGGAGAGCAGGAGTCCAAGAGAGAGATGGTTGCGTGGCCAGCCCTTGTATCTGGTCAGCTAGGGTCATGCCCATCTACAGTACCTGGTCACACACAAGGGCAGGAAGCTCCAGAGCAGGTATGACAGGAAGTCCTCTCTGTCTGGGAGCCACATTCCTCTGTGTGTCCATTCTAGGCAACAGGAAAATGTTGTACTTGGCTGCTCTAGTAATAATACATCCCACACCTTTTAGAACCATTGGTGTTGGTTTGTGTGTGTGTCAATAGATAGTGGTAAAGCAGTTTCCATACAGTTGGCAATGGAAGTAAATAGAATTGCAATTGACTTTCTGGACTATCACACTGTGATTCTAGTTTAGGGGGTAGAATCATCAGTCCTATTCACATTTTACAGACGGTCCACTGAATGTTATCAATTTGAAATCCACACTTTTTTCTGGTGCTTTAACATGTTTTAATCAATGTACATTCAGCTTGTAGTGGAATTCTTCAAATTCAGCCCACCTTCATGGAATGTCTCCTACACTAAACTGCCTGTTGAGGATTTTGGGGAAGAAGGACATTCTTATTTTCAGATGAGATTGGGTGTGGGTGTGTGGGTGTGCATTGGCATCAATATTAATCATTACTGCTTTGTTAAAGGCTCTTCCAGGAAAAATCAACCCGGAGGTTGTTCTGGATTTACAAGGGAATCATGCATCCTACAAGTGAGTAATTTATCTCACACATTTTTCAGCCTACCTTCTAGGGAATGTTCTGTAGACTCGCCTCATGTGGGTCTCGCAATCATTATAAATGTTGGTGTTCTCTAAAGCACACCCAGGTTACATATGTAGCTGCACATTTATGTGGCAGATCAGTAGCAGTGACCAAGATCTACTGTATTTCAAGGAAGCTGTGGGTCAGCTACTATATCAGATGCAGGAAAACCAAGGATGAATAACCACAAATTTCAGGCAGTGTTAAACTTTTACTACATATGTTTTACCAAGCAAGCACATAGGACAATAGTTATGATTTCTCTTAACAGCAAAGGAATGTGTTCCACCCCCTTCCCCATCTGACTTTTTCTTGCTTGCTTTCAGGGTATGCTTTACTGAGGCTGGCTCTTTCCGTTGCTGTTATACCGATCTCATATTTGAGGTGAGGGGAGCTGTGACCATCACATACCAATTTGACTCATGGCCTAAACACCTGAACAGGAGGGATGCATGGAAGTTGATGGTTGCCGGCCCTTTGCTCAACATCCAAGCAGATCCAGTCGAGTCTGTGTCAGCTATTCAACTCCCTCACTTCTTGTGTCTTGCAGGTACGGTAAGAGAAAGCTTCCATAACCATTGTAACAAGAATCCTAAATGGGATCGACTATCATGGGTTGGGAGGGAGAAGTAGGGAGACTTGGCTTCCTAACCAAAGCTCTTGTTTTCCCCCACTTGTAACATGCTTGTCCCTCTTAAACCATTTTGATTGTGAGAACAGTAGGGCAATAAATCAGCATCAAGCATTGGGTTTGACAGAGTAAACCCACCGAAAGGGTCCATTCATTTCAAATGGGTCAATTCATTTCAATGGGTAAAGATTAGTCATTTGGGAGGTAGGACAGGATATACATCTAATAAATAATAAATGTTAGTTGAATAGTTCATGTGAACTTGAGTATACACCTCTTCAGTGTTTACACACTCTTCCAAGGACAAAATACCTCTGCTGTCTATAGCCCATGTTTTCTGGTTTCCACCTTGGTAAATCACTGCTCTTGATTTGCATTACGGGAAGACGTGCAGATGCTCCTTGAACTTTAGTTTCCATTCCTTACTACCAATTCAGATAATGAATGCTGCTGTGTGATTTGAATTGCAGCTATTTTATTCCAAGGACCGCCAGATCCATTGTAGGTGCAGAAAGTGAATCTCAATCCAGACAAAACTGTTGATTAGTGGAAGGAGAGTTCTAAGGGGCTGGCAGAGAAGTCTAGAGGACCATCTCTGGCCCCCAAGACTGAGGATACCCACTTTTGCTGCAGTGCCTCAGCTAAGGAACTTCTTGTTGCAGTAGAGCCAGTTCATGTCTTACAGTATTGGAATCTGGGCAACAGAGAGCAGATGCTCATTTGAGACAATCTGTGCTAGACATAAAGCAGCATCTATTATCACAGGCTATCAAAAAAAGGAAGCCAGTTATGCAAAAAAATAAAATAAAATAAATAAAGGCTGGATAAATTGATGGTCAGCCATCACTTGAAACAGCATAACAGCATTCCAGTGTAGAGTATTTTGAACCTTCTGGAGTCTTCAGGAATGGGTGAACTAAAGGTCGTAAGTACTAGGTGCCTACCTTAGGGCAGTGGGTCTACAGGCTAACTACTATTAAACTGTGTTTCATTTGCATTCCTTCCTCTGATAGGTAAAAAGGGTTCCCAAGTCCGCATAGCACATTTTGTCGGTAGGATGATGTGTCTGCAGAAGCCAGCCAGAGTGGGACCACTTCATGCTGTGTTGGAAAACCCCAAGTTATCTCCCTGTGGAGCAGTTTTCAAAAAGTTTTGGTTTAAGCAAAAGATAAAGGTGCACGCTGTGGCCCTGCTCTATGAAAAGCTGGAAAACTCTGCTCCAAAATTCCACCTGTACCTCCTCCCCAATGACTCTTCCTTTAAAAAGGTAACCAGGAATCTCCAGTTCTACTAGGTTCCAAAAATTTACAAGATAATTAGCTTGATCCTGTTGATCAGAGAAAGGATCTGGTCTGAAGGCATATGAAGCCATCATCTTGCTGAGGCCAAGCAGGTCAGGGTTTGGTCAGTGCCTGGGTGGGTGGTTAATTAGGAACTGCATGTGTGGTTTCTTGGATTCCATGGTGGAAAAAAGACAGGGAATCCATTGGCCAAGATTCAGTATTGAGTGTCAAAGTGACCTAGTTTTCCTTATATGTTGTTAGTCTCAGAAGTGTTTACCCAGAGAATATCTGAACCTCTGCCAGTTCAGTTTGTTGGAAAATCCTCCAGCAGTTTGTCATCTTCTTTGAATGTCTGAAAAGTGACATTGTTTGCTCGTTCCAGGCTGTCCATGAGTATGAAGTGAAGTGCCATTCACGAAAAATGCAAAAAAATCCTGTGACCATGAAACCTCTTAAGATTGGCTCTCGCTTCTTTGTGCAGAAGTTAGATGATGTCACAATCTATCCAAAGGTACAGCGCGAAGAGGGTGAAAGGTTTTGCTGGGAGGGTACCTAGCCTGTGAGGTATGAGGATAGGAGAAACTCAGCTCAGAGCTCTTCAGCCTTTTGCTTACCCTCTTGAATGGAGGGCTGGGTGGAAAGCTGTGGGTTAAGCAACATTTGCACATAGAATCATAGAGTCAGAAGGAACTTTGGGGTCATCTTTTCCACCTGCCTCTACAGTCCACCTCCCTGCCCAGTGCAAGCTCTTCAAAGAAGGATGCAAATACCTGTTAAATCCCTTTGGAGATGACTGTGCAGCCTCTTCTTAAATAATGCCAGTGAAGTTGGGGCCACCACCTCCCAAGGCACTGTCCCAATGGTAACAACTGTTACCATTAGGAAGTTTTCCAAAAAGTTTTGCCAAAATCCACTTCCTTGCAATTTCCTCCCATTTTTTTAGTCCTGCTCAACAGAAAAGAAGTCCATCTTTCACTCATTCTCACAGGAACTGAAGTTAAACTACCTGAATGCAGACATGAAACAGCAGTACATTGAACTGTGTGCTCAGCACATGCAGGATGAACTGGAGCTCAACCTGATAAATAAGAAGGATGAACTTGTGTGGAAGGCCTGTGTGCGACACGGTGAGCTTTGATTGAGAGAGGACAAAAGGTTGGACCATCCATTGGGAAGCAGGCTAACGGAGGACATCCCAGCCACATTCCCCCTCTGATTTCCTTTTTTCTGTTATCTTTCAGATGAGTTGACTTCTTCTGTTCTGCCCCCAGCACAAGGTAAGTTTTATTTATTTATTTTAATTGTTTATTCACTTCCCCTGTGTATGTGCTTGTATCCCATCCTTCTTCCCAATAGGTGCAAAGAGTAAGCATTTAATACTAGATACTAAGGCAATGCAACACACACCCCCAACTGGAATACAATTCAGGATCAACCTTGGTGATCCACATCTGGTTCAGTTCACATTAATATGGATCTGGTCCAACCCAATCTGGAGTCCTGATCTGAATTGCAATCCAGGAAAAAAACAAATCTTCAAAAATCTCATTTGCTACATTTGGAAACCAAAACAGCTATAGCCTTTTGTTTGTTTGTTATTTCACATAGGTGGTGAAACTTGGGAGACATGAGGGGATGAACATTGCCAAATTTCAGACAGGGTAACTCTGGGTTAGCCACCTTTAAACATTTGAACAAGGAAGGACTCCATGATTTGACCAAAGCTTGAGATGAAGGATTGATAAGGACATCCCAATCACAGTTTGTCTAACTTCCCTCTTTTCTGTCCCCTTTCAGAAGACTTGACGCCTTCTGTTTTCCACTCAGTACAAGGTCAGTAGGAATCTATAATATGGTCTCATGTAACCAGAGGTCAGTCTCTTGCAGCATCTTCTAAACCTCCCCCACCCCTTTAAATGTGAATTGTTCTTCTTTTGTCTGACAGATGCTCCTCCATCCAGCTCCTCTGACTGCCATTTCATTGAACAGTATCGGGAACAGCTGATCCAGCGCACCACCAACGTTGCAGCAGTCCTGGATATGCTGCACGGCCAAATCCTGGATGAAGAACAGTACCAAAAAATCTCTTCAAGGGAAACTAACCAAGAAAAAATGAGGGAACTTTACACGCTGGTGCCTGGCTGGAACCACTATTGCAAGGATCAGCTCTACAAGGCATTGAAGGCCAAAAACAGGTTCCTTATTGCTGACCTTGAATGGAGCTGAGGCTGCAGAAATGGAGATATCTATCCCAGGTGATCCAGTTGCATGCATTGAATGATCTCATGCCTTCCCTTTGTACTGAATTAAGGAAATCAGCCCTGAGTGCTCACTGGAAAGACAGTTCCTGAAGCTGAGGCTCCAATACCTTGGCCACCTCATGAGAAGAGAAGACTCCCTGGAAAAGACCCTGATGTTGGGAAAGATTGAGGGCACAAGGAGAAGGGGACGACAGAGGACGAGATGGTTGGACAATGTTCTTGAAATTACCAACATGAATTTGACGAAACTGCAGGAGGCAGTGGAAGACAGGAGCAGTGGCGTAGCGTGGGTTGTCAGCACCCGGGGCAAGGCAAGTAATTTGCGCCCCCTAACCCGTGGATTTGCGCCCCCTAACCTGTGGATTTGCCCTAACCCCAGATGTTGCGCCCGGTGCGGCCGGGCCCCCCTGCACCCCCCACGCTACGCCACTGGACAGGAGTGCCTGGCGTGCTCTGGTCCATGGAGTCACAAAGAGTCGGTCACGACTAAACGACTAAACAACAACTACTGAATCCATTAAGCTGTTCAAAGCAGAATTTCCTACTGCCTGAGCCTCCATCCTCTTCCTGTCTTACTCTTGGTCCACACACACTCGCAGCTAGGGCTCTGCTTTGAATCTGTTCTTCTGTGCAAAGACCGTGGGAAGGACAATTTGAATGCTGCCTCCAGAGCCTACCCGCTCTATGAAGAATTCAGCGATATCCTTCCCACCCGACCCTTCCCTCAAGGCCCTCAACCGGGCTGTCCTAAACGCCATCGGGCGCCTTCGGCGGGCTCTGGAGTCCCAGTTCCCCGGGCAGCACTTCGGCAGAGGCCGGGAAGGAGAGCCCCGAGGAGCCCTTCCGCGCGCCGAAGGCAGAGGCGGGAGAGGAGAAGGAAATTCTCGAGAGGAAGGAGCCCCAGTCGCAACAAGGCTGGCGCCCCCGACGCGAGGAGCCTCCACCAAGCCCCGCCTCCTCCCTTCCGGAGGACAGAAAGCGAAAGCGGAAGCTGTTAGAGCAGAGGAGCTTCCTCAGACGGGAGGAAAGCGAAAGCAAGATGAGAATTGGAGCCCGGAGCTCCGCACCCGCCCCCTTCCGCCCGCGCGGCCAATCGGAGCCGACGCGAATGGCCAGGGAAGCCTTGGAATCAGAGCGTGTTCCTTTCGCGCCACCTGCCGGGCTCCGCCGCGCTGTCGGGGAAGGACGAGACCCGAGGGCCTCCTTCTCCCCTGCTGCTTGGCGCCTTGCGGGACTTGCAGGAGTCGCATCTGGGGAAGTTCAAAGGCGGATTCCATGCGCTCGTCTGGGTTCCCAGAATGGGCGCAGCCAAGGGGGGCAGGTGTCCCCCCAATCAACCCAGCCAGATGGGCGGAGTATAAATAATAAATAAATAAATAAATGTGTTTGTGTATATGTGCATAAAGCTTTCATCTGTTGAATGTCTGCCTGTCATGCGTCAAAAGCCTCTAACGTGGGAGAAAAAGAGATTAAGCGGCGGGCCCGAGGTTCGCTCTGTCAGTCTATCAGAAAACTCGAGCGGAATATATGAAAGTCTCGCGCCTTAGGTTTATAGAAAAGGGACGAGGGGTTGCCTGCGTGTGTGATTTCTGTGATGTTTACGAGAACAGACCCGCGCCTGGCTGTTCGCATGGCTTTCCTCTTTATTTCTTACAAACCTGCTCCGTCCCCCCAAGTCCCCCCACCCCTATCTCTCCAGAATTTCGCTCCTGCAAGAGCCGTGTGCTGCAAACCCGCCAAGTGTCCCTATTTTCAAAGGACAGTCCCGGATTTACAGGTTACTGATTTGATCCTGGAATGTCCCGCTTTTCTATTTTCATCGGAGAAATGTTGGCGGGTGGTATGGAGTTTTGCTACACCCAAGCCAAGGAGATGTAAGTAACTAGGGAACCTTTAGAAGAAACCTAAAGGCAGCCCTCCATAGGGAAGTCTTTCTTAAAGTTTAATGTTTTATTATGTTTTTATATACGTTGGAAGCCACTCAGAGTGGCTGGGGCAACCTGGTCTGATGGACGGGGTATAAATAATAACGTTGTTATTATTGTTGTTGTTCCCCTATTTTCATCAGAGAAATGTTGGAGGGTTTGCCTGCACAACTTGGCACCAGGAAGAAACAGGAGCAGCAAGGTCAGGTGGTATCTGGTGCGGAAAATTTCTTCTTCTTTTTTAAGAATTTTTTTATTTTCAATGCAGAATCATAACAAAAATTACAAACATTGAATCCAAAATAATACTGTACAAACAAAAATCCCCGGAACATATAGAAAAAAGGGGGGGGGGGGGACAGAAAAGGGAAAGGGGAAAAAAACACACCAAAGGAAACAAAACAAAACTAAACAAAAACGAAAAAGCACACATCTACAGAAAAAAAACCATATCATTATGTACATAAACACAAATTGACTTCCTTCCTTTGTTCTAAGACCTCAAAAAATTTACTCTTACTGTATTGTTGTGTCTAATTAGATTACTTCCACCTTGGTACTTTTTTTTTTTTACACCATTTTTCTTTTTCTTTAACCCTGTAAAGCATCATTCATTACATACCAATATACTAACTCCAGAACAATGTTTTTTCATATACTCTTTGGCACAACCCCATTCTTTTAATAATTTCTGGTCCGATTGTCCCCTTATGTAAGCTGTGAGTCTTGCCAGATTTATGGTGCGGAAAATTTCTTGCACCCCCCCATTGATTTTTTTATTTATTATTATTATTTTTGCCTGCAAAAATGGTTTGACTTTATTTCATATTTTCTTACAAAGGAATGTGGATTCTGAGGCTCTGATAACCAGCAGGCGACTGTGGACAGATACTGTGGACTTAAATCTACAGGATGGATTGTGTTTTGGCTTGTGTTATTTTATTTATAGCAGGCACGTCCAACTCTCAAGAGACAGTGGCAACTGGCAGTGACAAAAGTTGCTGAACTCTTTTTTTTCGGGGGGGGGAGAGATCGCGGGGCCTCCGAGGAGGCTACCTGCTGCCCTACAGCTACACCTTCCTTGCTCCGCCCCTGCCAGAGCGCCTTTTGTAAGCAAATGTTTATAATGGGAGAAACCGTCTCTGCCCAGCGTGCTAAGAAAACAGACAGAGAAAAGCGCGAGAGCCTCGGGGGAGCGTTTCCGCCACCTTTTGGAGCTTTCACTCAGGCCACGCCTCTCTCCTCCCGCTGCACCAATCCGAGTCCTACATCCCCATCTTCCACCCCACCCCAGGCACCATGCCTGCTTTCAATTTTGCAGCTTCCGCGAAGCAAGTTTCGTTTCTTGCTGGCACTGAAGGAGCGCCATGGCGAGGAGCGCGGAGGACCGCCTGCTGGTCTGCCTGGAGAACTTGAACGAGGACGAGCTGAGGAGGTTCAAGGCCAAGCTGAACAGGTTCCCCATCTCCAAGGGCTACGACAACATCCCACGAGGGCGGCTGCAGAAGGCGGATGCGCTGGACCTCAAAGATCTGCTCATCAGCTTCTACGCCGAGGAGTACGCCGTGAAGCTGACCGCCAAGGTGCTGAAAGCCATCAACTGCAAGGACCGCGCCGAGGAGCTCCTGGCAGCCACTGGGAAAAGTAAGGAGCGGCTGGGGAGGGAGCGCAGCGGCCAGGCTGATCTTGCGCCCCTGGCAGAAGCGTTCAGATTGCGCCCCCTGGCCACGGAGAAATTAGCTCTCTCCTCCAACCCTCCCCCTTCCACGCATTCAATTCCTCACGCATTTCACCTTGCAAGGAATTCTTTCACAGACAATCCAATATTTAATTTATTATTTCTTAGTACAAGGTTTCCGGGGGCTGCGAAGGACCCTCCAGCGCAGCCAGCAGGTAAAGCCCCTTCTTGCCTGGGGTCCACCCCTTTTCGACTCCCCTGAGCCCAGGAGAGCTCCCCTCCGCATACCCAACCCCCGGGTGTTTCCTTTCCTGATTTAGCAGAGGAAGATTTTCCTCCGCCTTTGAAAGGGAGTTGCCGGCAGCTTCCCGGCCCCGTTTGATTCCTCTGAGTGGCCAATGCCCCCCCGGTTCGGGGCAGCCGTCGGCGGATCTTCCTCCGCTCCCCTGAGGGCCCTGGGTCAGTCGGTTCCGCGGGACAGCCGCTCCAGCTCCCTTCTTGTCCTTCCTCCTCCAGGGCTCAGGATGCCTTGCAAGGGCCAGGGGAAGAAGGTGCCGTCGGCGCAGGCAGCCGGGACAGGACGCGCACCCCAGAGAGGACGCACAGCCACGAGAGGACACGCAGCCCCCCCAGGATCGGGCGCTGCCCAGAGAGGAGGCGCAACCCACCGAGGATCGGGCGCAGCCCAGAGAGGACACGCAGCCCCCCGAGGATCGGTCGCAGCCGAGAGAGGAGGCGCAACCCACCGAGGATCGGGCGCAGCCCAGAGAGGACACGCAGCCGCCCCAGGATCGGGCGCTGCCCAGAGAGGAGGCGCAACCCACCGAGGATCGGGCGCAGCCCAGAGAGGACACGCAGCCCCCCGAGGATCGGGCGCAGCCCAGAGAGGACGCGCAGCCCCCCGAGGATCGGTCGCAGCCCAAAGTGGAGGCGCAGCCCCCGGAGGATCGCTCGCAGCCCAGAGTGGAGGCGTAGCCCCCGGAGGACCGCTCACAGCCCAGAGTGCTTTCTGGCTAGCCATTTAGCTTTGGCCCTGGCAGCTGTGGATACTAAGGATCGCGAGGGGGGGGGTCTGGAGGGGAGCCAAACTTTTGCCTCGTCCCGAGTTCGGCGAGTTGCCGCGAAATGAGATACTCCGGTGGTTTAAAGCGGCAGTAGAGTAAAGGTGGTTGAGGTTCATTAGCGATTTTGCTACATTTTGGGGAAGGGGGACGACTTAGCAAAACTGGGGAGTGGGCACTTCCACTGAAAGCCTCGTCTTGCCGCATAACTGCCCTTTCGCTTCTCTCTCTATCTCATTTTGTAACTGAACCAGGAAAACCACAACACAATGGCAGGAAATTGCCTACGTCACACAGTTTCCTATGTAATTTTCTTAACCTGTCACCAAGCAATTACTGGCTAAACTGGCCTACTGCGCAATTGTTGTCGTTGTTGTTTTATTATTATTGCAATAACAACATAAGGGCTCAGGGTCCCTTCCAAATCTATAGTTCTAGGATTCTAGGTTTTTTTTTTTTTTTAAATTCATCTTTATTGGTTTGTCATAAATTCTCAAAAATCTTTCTCATACATGTCAACATCCACAATAAGCAAATAAAATCTCAAAACATTCAACATTCAAAATGTGTACTTAAATAAAAAAAGGGAGGGGATCCTCTACATGCGGCTGTAGGGGCTACGGAGGGATCCCACCACCGTCCGAACTATGTATAGCGCATGTGCGGCGTCGCTATATACAGTGCATGCTGCACATGCGCACTGTGTAGCAATGCCCCACCCAAGGTGTAATGACGCCATCGTTCACCCCTGACTTTAGCACCTCCTGCTGGGTGCACCGTTGGGCAAGGACAAGACCCAAGAGCCGCCTTCTCCCCTGCTGCTCAGCGCCCTGGGGGGCTTGCAGAAGTCAGATCTGGGGAAGTTCAAAGGTGGATTCCACGTGCTCCCGCTGCGGGGGGGTGGGCGGGTTTGTCTGGATTCCCAGCATGGGCGCAGCCAAGAGGGGCCAGGGGAGCAGTGTAGGATGTGAAACACAAGAGCAGTCAAGTACAACATTCCTAGAGTGAACATGTTTACACATGGGGAGGAATGTTTGTCCAGCCAGCAGGTAAACTTCCTGTATCCTTCTGGGCTGGGACAGACTTCCTCTGCATGTGACTAGAGGGTGGGCTCCTGTGCAGGTAATGACAAAAGCACAGGGCAGGGCAGCCATCTCTCTCTCTTTCACCGCATCGAAGAAACAACACCTACTAAGCCAATGATGCCCTCTTGGCTTCCAACCAAGAGAGGACAAAGGGACTGTCTTCTTATGAGATAGATTCCAAGTGTATGTTACTTCATTAAGCTAAGTCTGCCTTCTGGGATCCGATTGTGAACAGAATGTGAGTAAACTCTTTTCATACTTTTGTTTGTTTTTTTTAATAAATTTTTTATTAGTTTTCCACATATGAAATAAAAACAAACAAAACACAATACAAAAACATACAAACATGTAAACATGTATAATTTCATAACCTTATTTTCATACACCTTGCTTCTTGGACTTCCCCATACCACCCCTTTTCTGCATCCTTATTTCAAATTTTTTCAGCAACTCCTTTGATCATCTAATTATTCAAATCATTTCTTTTAGTTTTCTTCCTTAACTTATTAATTACAGCTGTAATTCTTTGTTTCCCATTTCCCTGACATCTTAACATTCCCTCAATTTTACAACAATTTTTCAAGATATATCTTGAATTTCTTCCAGTCTTCCTTCCACTGTCCTCTTTCCCCTGGTCTCGGATTCTGCCAGTCATCTCCGCCAGTCCCATGTAGTCTATCACCTTCGTCTGCCATTCTTCCAAAGTGGGTAGTTCTTGTGTCTTCCAATACTTTGCTAAGAGGATCCTTGCCTGCTGTTGTAGCGTACATAAAAAACGTTTTATCCTTTCTTGACACCATTTGGCCCACCATGCCCAAGAGGAAAGCCTCTGGTTTCTTAGGAAAAGTCCTTTTAAGAACTTTCTTAATCTCATTATAGATCATTTCCCAGAAGGCCTTAATCTTCGGTCTTTTTATACTTTTGTAGAAGACTGTGTCGTGTCTTATCTTTTATGAGGGAATAAAGGGGGAAATACCAGAACAGTTATTATAGAGGCTTTAGCGAGCCTGAGCAAACGCATCCCGCTGCAAAGTTTAAAAATAAGGGGAAAGTTACTCTGCTGAATTGTGGAACTTGCTAACACAAGTTGGATAAGGATATAATCAGACAATATATCCTCTCCTGCATCCCTGAACATTCCCACAAGCAGGTGCCCCCCAATCAATACAAATCAATACAAATCTGAAGTTCTCCCCCCCCCCCCCGTGGGAATGTTCCGGGATGCAGGAGAGGATATATTGTTTGATTATAGCCTTTCAAACTTGTGTTAACAAGTTCCACAATTTTAGCAGAGTAACACCCCCCATTTTAAACTCACAGCGGATGTGTTTGCTCAGGCTCGCTAAAGCCTCTATAATAACTGTTCTGGTATTTTCCCCTTATTTCCTCATAAAAGATAAGACATGACACAATCTTCTATAAAAGTATAAAAAGAGTTTACTCACACTCTGATCCCAGAAGGCAGACTTAGCTTAGAAAAGCAACATACAGCCGGAAACTATCTCTCTCCTTATGAGATAGTCCTCCGTCCTCTCTTGGCTGGAGGCACAAGCACAAGACACACACTTTTCTAATAAACAAAAAGCCTGTCTCTTTGTATGCGATTTCTGTATGTAAAGTATAAAACTGATCAATGAACTCTGTATTTGCATGCTACCGGCAACCAACCAATCAGAAGCTCAGGATTTTGCCAGCTAGCCAATTGCAGTTACTGAACAGCGCCCCCTATCGGGCAGAATTCAGAGCCCGCAGAGCAGCTCTTGATACATTGTATCTAAGACTGTGCCAAAATGTTTCCTTTTAACCAAACAGCTCAGAAAAAGATACCTAGCTTTAGAAATTAATATAAAATCAGCACTTTGACCGATTCTTTCAATTCCAACGTCATTTTAACCCTCAAGGAAAGGACTCTTTTTGCCTTTATCTCCCACCATGACCGCAGAAGCAGGAACTCATGAAAGCACCAGGAGTTAGGCGTCCCGTCATCAGGGCCCGCGTCTCCCAAGCCTTCCTGGGGCCCTCAGGGGAAAGGGAGGCCGCCGGCAAAACAGCACGGCTCCCCCACCCCCAGAGAGCAGCCCGGGAGTACGGGGCAATGGCGCAAAGACTCACTCGGTCTGAAACTTCTCTGGACACGGTCCACCCCAAGGCAACCACTTTCAAATCTCAACCATTTCATGGTGGCAGAAGCGGTGGCTGGCAATATAGGTTTCCTTGTGAATAAGCCTTCGGTTGAACCCGGTTGTTGTTGTTTCCTCCCCCCTCCCCCCTTGAAGGCTCTCCTCCTGCCTCCTCCTCCTCCTGCACCTGCACCTACCCCTGAACCCACCTACACTTTAGCTACAATTCCCAGATATCAATCCCTCTTGCATGGGTGAGCTGCACGGGGGGGGTGCAATCTGCTGCACACTGTGGTGTTTGCTGCGGGGACAGCTGCGAAGGGAGCTCAATCCGCCTCATACTGCGGTGTTGGCGGCAGGGTGGGTGATCCCCACGCACTGCATTGGTGACAGCTGGGCAATTCCCCGTGACCTGCATCATCGTCAGGGCGGGCGGGCGATCTGCCATGCATTGCAGCAGTGGGCCGAGCCCCCTGCAGTGTGCCTTTTTGTCACCCCTCTCAGGGATGGCACCTGGGGCTGCCTGCACCCCCACCCCTTCATACGCCCCTGCCCTGAGGGCAAGGAAATGTAAAGACTGTTATTGTTCTTTTGGTGGTGGGTACTTAGGAGGTGTTGGGAAAGGTGTCTGGAAAAGTCAGCAAATGTTGAACTTGTGGACCAGCATGACTAAGCCGCTTTTGGCGAACCAGAGCAGCGCATGGAAACACCATTTACCTTCCTGACAGAGCGGTACCTATTTATTTACTTACCCTTGCTTTCGAGCCACTAGGTTGGCAGGAGCAAGGACCAAGCAGCGGGAGCTCACCCCGTCGCGGGGATTCAAACTGCCAGCCTTCTGATTGGCAAGCCCTAGGCTCTGTGGTTTAACCCACAGTAGTAATGATGTATAAGTGATGCTGGGTGAAATGTATTCTGGGGATTTGGGAAAAGTTTTAAAAGTCAATGTTGCCCCATGCTCGGGGTTCTTACTCTCGTGGGGACCTGTTGTGCAACAATAAAGATCTTGGTCTACTAACAGCTGTTTTGCTCTGGTTTTTGGCTGGAACTTCCTTCCTTTCTGACCACACATACCCACGGCCTCAGTCCCGATGAGCTGGGCAGTTCAATAGCCTTAACCCAGAATTTTCCTTATCAGAAGGAAATCAGTGTGATTATTGGATAGATTTCTACCCAAAACTTTGCCTTCTCTCTCTTTTTTTATGGGGATAAAGCTGGCTTTACCTTAAAGCGCCTAATTGTTTTCCTCCCCTTGGTTGCTAGTTTGCTTATCATTGATAGTTGGAAAGAGGCCATGACTATAACATTGGAAAGTCCACCCAAGGGCAGGGCAGGGGAGCTAACTTGAATAAAATATTGGCAGGGGCAGGGGAAAGGTAAGCCCCGCCCTGCATAATTGATCACATGATGTGGTGCATGTCAGAATCTGTGTTTGACCAAGCTGATAAAGCTCATCTTCCTCCGGCCGAGTCCTTCGGAATCGCCCTCTGACATGATTAACGACCTGAGCCTTTGATGAGGCTCAGGCACATTCCCATTCAGCAGAGAATCAAAGCAGCACGCGGAAGTGATGAAATTTCTGGCTACATTGCTATGCTTTATTTCTTACTACGCAGACAGAAAACACATTCTCTCTCTGTGAGAGCAGAGAGCAACTGAAACAAAACAAAGGAACAGGAAACCAGTAACGTCACATCCGTCTCCCGTGAGACTTCCAACACCCTGGACTGTCTCTGGAATGTAAACAGAGTCTTGTGACTCTAAGCAGCTGCACAGTGGGACAAACAGAAACTAACAGTGCATGCACACCATTTGAATGACACAGCCCATCAACTGTGGGCGGTGGTGTGGGGTAAGGCTCATATATTTTATTGGGGGCTGCCGAAGGGACCTGGGCACCCAGAACTTCGCTCCTATAAGGCAGGGTGAAGTGTCTGCCTTAGGCAGCATGATCCACAGATACAGCAGATCCTGATGTAGATCTTTATTCTTGGTTCTTGATGTCAAATTCACTCTTCCCTGATCAGGAGGGGTGGCATTTTGTAGTTCACCTCAGGCAGTGCCATAGCTGGGGGAGACTGACTAGCTAGCCAGGTCTTTTGCCCCAGAGGAAACCTCCAAAGGGACGCCATTGAAGCTCCCAACCTGTGTGTGTGTGTGTATGCAAATGCACATGGGAGTGTGCCAAACTGGGTCTTTGATCTGAGTGAAAGAAAGCCTAGTTTCTTCAACCTCAGGTGCCAAAATGTCTTGAGAAAGATGATACAGAAAGACTCTGTATATTGCAGGGTCTGAAAAGCTCACCATTGCTTGAGAGTACTCAATGTGAGGGCTAATTTGATGGACTTTGCTGCCACCTCGTGGACTTTTGATATGCATATAAGAAACAACACTTTGGATTTCCTGGATCCTATCTGCACTGTATGTTTACAATGGCATCTTACCACTTTAAACTGTCATTGGTCCCCACAAAGAATCATGGGAAGTGTCATTTGTTATGAGTGCTGAGAGTTGTTAGGAGACCTCACAGAACTATAATTCCCAAAGTTACCTGGGAAGTGGGATTTATTGTTTTTTTTATTAAAAAAATTATTAGTTTACATCCAAAAAAAGAAAAAAAACAAGAAAAAAACATATTAGTTTCACATCAAAATATTACAACATATCACTTTCAAGACTTCCTCCAGCTTATCCGTAAATCATCCGTAGTTATAATTAAAGTTAGGCATTTCTTGATTTTATATTGACCTTATTTATATCTTTCTTTCTATTCCCTTTAGACAATATTTCTTAGCCTTTCACAGTGCTTCTTTAAATCCCATTAGCGTTATCTGTCCCTCACTTATATATTCCATATATTCCACAAATTTCCCCCAGTCCTCGATGAACTTTTGGTCTCTTAAGTATCTAATCTTTCCTGTCAATTTATCCAGCTCCGCATAATCTAACAACTTCATTCTCCACTCATCCACAGTCGGTATTTCCTGCTGTTTCCATTTCTGGGCTAGTAACACTCTTGCCGCTGTTACTGCATATTGAAAAAATTTGCAATCTTTTCTTTTTATCTCGTTCCCTAATATCCCTAACAGAAAGACTTCTGGTTTCTTTGTAAACGTAT